AATTTTGATCCTCTGCGGAGGGGATGGCACCCCCGCTTCGGTAGCCCGACGACCTGCGCACGAAGTCGAGCACTTTACGGTAGCACAGTTTAACGAGGACCAATACCGCACACCCTCAGACCCTACGCATACTGATCCAAGTGGTCACCCACCCGCTCACTGACCGTAGCCAGTGATGCTTGACTTCGGTGATCTGCTGGGAACCGTGTCTTAACGATCAGTCCACTGCGGGACACCTAATTGGTGAAAGATATTCACCAGCGAAAAATTCACTTATGAGATATTTTTCGCATACAGTAAAAATGATCCGTATTCACATGCGATTTGCAATTGCACGAAGCACGTCACATTCGCGCATGTGTGACATCCTGATTTTCGTAGGGGGATAAGGGGCAATTCTTTCGTTCGTGTATGAAGTTATTGTTTTGTTGTTAATTTACGTCACACTAGAGCTGCACAATGGGCTATTGGCGACGGTCTGGGAAACATCCCGGAGGATGATCCGAAGACATGCCATCACAATTTTGATCCTCTGCGGAGGGGATGGCACCCCCGCTTCAGTAGCCCGACGACCTGAGCGCGAAGTCGAGCACTTTACGGTAGCACAGTTTAACGAGAACCAATACCGCACACCCTCAGTCCCTTCGCAGACTGATCCAAGTGGTCACCCACCCGCACACTGACCGTAGCTAGTGATGCTTGACTTTGGTGATCTGCTCTTAACGATCAGTCCACTGCGAGACTCGTGTATGAAGAATTAATAAGTATGACTTGGTTTTTGAATGGCAGGCAAAAATTAAAAATCGATGTATTTGATTCAGGTCGAAAGCTGCAAGAAAAGGATGTATGTTATGCAAGAGTAGAGGCGAAAATGTATGGAAGCGATAAATACATTTCATTAATTTGCGAATGAAATGTATTTCTGGAACACATGTAATTAGTAAATGAAATATATTCCAGTAATGCACTTCATTTACTAATTAATATTCAAATGAAAAAGTAATTTCACACTCTGTTTTTTTTAATTGTGCTTAAAATTATTCAAGTACAAGGCTTAAAAGATATGAAGCATAAATTTTAATTCTGGAAACTAATATATAATTTTGGAGTGGGGGAATTGTATTTTTGACTATTTTTCGACTTTTTTTTCCTCAATAAATTCTTGCGAAATTTTTTAAAACAATTGAAGTTTTCTTTTTTACAGAAAAACATTATTTTCACTATCAATTCTGACATTTTTATTTCAGGTGCTAATTTGAAAAATTATAAAACTAAGATTTAAACATCAAAGTTGCTAAAACACTTGGCAAAACTATTCCTATTATAAATTATCAAGTGAAACAGAAGTATTGCATTCGGCTGAAGAAAGCTATATCCATTGCATAGGGCAGGGGTAGGCAACGCGGCACCCGCGGGCGCCCCCGATCGATTTTTAATGCGCCCTCGCTGGACTAATGTAAATGTATGATAGCCAGAGCGATTTACTTAACTCTTGTCAAACGGCGATATACAGCAAGTAGTCAGTTGAGTTTAGGATTGTGCATGATTATCTGTAAAATATGCGCCCTCGGTGATTTTCAAATTTAGTATTGCGCCCTTAAGGACAAACAGGTTGCCGACCCCTGGCATAGGGGATTATTAATCGTATATGAGTAAGTGCTGCTGTTTGACGTCACCAAATTTTTGAGATAATTTTTTTTATAAATTGCTCAAAAAATTGGATTACTGGTTGGATCATGTGTAAATTCTTAGTTTTAAACTAAATAAATAATATGGATTTTTCTTGTTAGTATACTTAAATAATAGGAAAATATCTGAAAATCAAAAGATTGCTATAAGAAATTCTAATCATAGTTTTGAAAATAGAACTTTGGTGTACAGAAATTCGGGTCAACAGTTACTAAGAATATCTTCAATTTTACAGCTTTAAGTGACACCATTTGTTGATGATCGGTTATTTGCTAAACATAGGCAGATGAACAAACTCGCACACAAATTCCTTAGATTAATTACACTTGGATGAAAGCTTGGACAAAGTATAAAGAGTACACATAGAGATCATAAATCAGTCTGACTAAAGTTTCTTTAGTAAAGAATTAAATGATCAGATTGTGAAAAGAAGTTTATCAGACATGTTAACAGCTACACCTGAAGCCATGCTTTCACCTGTTTTTCTTGCCAGACAACCAGTTTCCCCCCTTGAAGAGAAAGTTATGTATCAATTAAAATTGAACAAATTTTAGTTTACCTTCATATGGTTAAAAACATTACAGTTGCGTAATTTTTGCATAGCATTAAAACTTATTTATTTCATTAAAATAAATTATAAAAAAATGCATTCTTTTAAAAAATAATTTAAAAGGTTCTGTAATTCAATAAATTTAAAAGTATCACTTTTTTTAAATTTTTAAAAAAATTAAAAGTGAATGTAAATGAGCAACATCTTTGGAAATATAAATAATCATATTTATTAACAAATGAATATCATACACATGATTAAACAAAAATATCACATTAAAAATTACATTTCACTGAAATGATCACAACATTATCTTTACTCCACAATGAAAATATTATGGAAAAGAGATGCACTTAGCTTCTTCATTTCATCTAAAAAGAAAAAATGAGACATAAGTATCAAGTGACATATCAGTTTAAGCACAATTACTTCGAGTAAATTTAAAGTTTGAGTGTTTGGCCAGGAAGTTTTACCATTTCACCTGGCTGATTTCTTGTAACTATAAGTAGCAATTATAAACCTAATTTCTTTTCTTTCTGTCTGTCTGCTGGTGTGCTAAAAACTATTTTTAATTAATGCACCAACATATAAAACAGTTATCTGCAAACTATATCAAAATATAGTTTATGTAAAGATAATTCCACAGCAGAAAAAATATTTATTTTTGAAACTTAACACTTCATGTGTGGTTTATGTTTAGAGATTTTCAGCTACATGAACAATGAATTTGATACTTCTCCTCTTAAAATTATTTTTTTTAACATAAATTTTATTATTTTCCAAATAAAAATAGCATATCTCAATATGTCAGAAAGGAACTTTAAAATAGTTATATTCCATCAAACACCGTGATTTGAAGAAATGTGCCAATGATAGCCTTATTCACAAGGCTGTACTCAAGAAGGGGGGGGGGGAGAATACAAGCACAATTTTCCCAGGGCCTAGTTTAAATTTTTTTACAAAACATTTAGTTTTTTTCAAATGCAAAGAATTCCTTTATATTCATACAAAAACTCTAATTTTGAATAAGGTTTATCAAAAATTATACAAAATTCAAAATTAAGACTGTGATTTGAGGAAGGCGCCAACTATAAATTTTGTCCTGGGACCCGTAAAAGCTTTTTTTTAAACTTTTCTAAAGTTTAACTGTGGGTATATATTAGGCAGAAAAATTCTGCAACCAACTAGCATTAATATATATCCTTGCTCGTTGTGTTATTTCTGATAGAGACAAGACAATTCTAATTTTGATGGAAACTGATATAAGAAACTAAAATTAATAGATATTTTGATTTTTATATGCCACTCCTGTCCCATATGCTTTAATTAACCCCTTTACTATAGGTAGAAGTTATATAGAAAAGAAAACTAAATGCAGCTTTGACTAAGTTTAATATCAGAGGATAAAGCACCTTTTAATTTGAAATAATTTCAATTAAAAAAATAATATTAATTCACCATTTATTCACGTTAATGAAATATTAAATTATTATTTAAATATTCTATAAACATAAAGAGGTAAAAAGAGGTTAAAATCTTTTGATAATTCTATTTTTATATTAAAGAAAAATTTTCCTAAGTAAGACATGTTTTAGAAAATCTAGTTTAAGTGTTTATTAAAAAATGAAGGACGTATGAAATTTATATGCAAAATAGTAATAATATTAATAAAATAAATTTTTCCATAGGGAAAATTCAAAACCTACTATAATTTTAACCTATTAAAAAAGACAGTGTTCAAACAGTTTTATTTTAAAAAATAATATGCATTTTCTATTTTAATTATCAAGACAAACTGATATTGTTCTTATTACACTAATGGATATTAAATTATTTATTGGTATAAAAATTTCAATCAATAATTTATTTTTTTTACTTATAAAAATTCCAAGATCCTACAAAAAAAAAAAATTCTAAATATTCTGAGGTTCTTTTCTGAAAAATGCTTTGTAACACTACCAAACATGCTTTTATTTAGTCTTCATAAATGCTAAAGCAGTCCATGAACATAATTAATTTTTGGTATACATCAATGAAGGATATATCTCAAAACTATGTTCCGAATTAAAATAATAATTTCATAGTTAGTAAATATTTATAAAATAAAACTTTAAACTTACCGTTAACATCAACAATATTAGCATTTTTTTGTTGCAAAACAACATAGAGTTCCCTTTCGTCAGACAATTTTGCTATCACCCAATAATCACCCAGTGTTTTCCCATTGATCTCACCATAATCTTGCATCCTTTAGGGAAAAAAAATGTTTTTGTCACATTAGTAAATTAAGAAATCAATATTAAGTATATTGACTTCTTTTTTCAATATAAATTTTACAACTAAATAACAACTACAAATAGTAATAAAACATTTTGAAGAATGAATAGATCAAGAAAATTTAAAGAAATATTGGATGTGATAGTAAATTGTCATTATGATGTTAATGAGTTCCTCATATACTTAAACCAATTATTTCACTCTCAAATATAAAAAGTAAAAATATTAAGATTTATCAGATATTTTAAATTTTCAAACATGTTTTCTGTTATATTTATTAAATTATTTTAATTCAAAATAAGAAGTTAATTGCAACTCTATTCAAAAAAGAATTATCAAAAAAACAACAACTTGAAATAAGGTATTCTATTTTGATTAACATAACATTTCCAGAGAGTTTTTAACATTTATTTTTTAAAATATAAATAAATCAAAACAATTTTGTCTCATTTTCTTGAGATCATGTGATTCAAACATTGATTATGTACTCAACGAAAACAAAATGGTGTGACCATTTAGCAAATATTAATAATTAATAATCAAAAATTAGTAATAGGATTGAGAATATGTCAAAAAATTTAAAAATGGTTCAGGTTATTACTTATGGTTACATTCAGAGGCGTAATTTTAATGTATGTTTGAGTGGGGTTATCTCCTGATATATATATATANAATATATATATATATATATATATAAAATAATGGAAACACTTCTAAACTAATGACTTTTTTCAGATTTCTTAAGAAATACTTAAAGAATCATTTTATAACTTCAAAAGTGTTTAAATCATAAAATTTCTCATACTTATCAATGAAGTTTAAAGTTTCTTAGAGGTTTGAAGGATCGACAATAAATTACAAACGAAAAAAAAAAATGTTTTGAACATCCTATTCCAAAAAATGCAACAATAAAATTGTAACTTGTAACAATTAATTTGGTTATTTTATGCAATAATTGCACAAAACTTCATAAGCCCATCTAAAATATTTATGGAGATATGGGCATTTATATAGAAAAAATAATGTTTTTTTTCTTACGTTTTTTTGCCATAACTTTAAAAATATTCAATAAAATTAAACATAATTTTTAGAGCAATTTAAATTTAATTACAAAATTTTTACTTTAATATTTTAAAAAAATTCTTTAAAATCTGAGCAACATATAAGTAATAAAAATAGTTCTTTTATTCTGAGTATGCACGGAAAAAATGTAAATATTTTTTTTCTTCATAATTTAGTAGGAAATCGTATTTTGCAACTAATAAAAAAGTCCGCATGGATCCAAAAACCTGATCTCATCTATGGGCAAATGATAATTCATTTTGGTGAAAACATAAAAAGATTTTTGATTAAAATCTTTAATGCCTCTTGGTGTATTGGCAAATTGCCCAGAATCTGGAAGAACTCTATAATTATACCCATTCTTAAGCCAGGAAAGGATGCCATCAACTGTAAAAGTTATAGACTCTCTAACTTCCATCCTCTGTAAACTTCTGGAACGTATTATCCACTGTCGACCTTGGACTACCTTGTTGAGCATAATATTCTCCATTTTTATCAAACATCATTCCGAGCAAAACATGGTACTGTGGACCAGTTGTTTTACCCGAGTCAATCAATTATTGATGGTGCAGGAAAAACCTCTCAGAAAATCTGTTGCAGTATTTTTGGATTTATCTGCTTCATTTGACCGAGTTCGGTGGCAAAAACTTGTACATATTAATCACAGCATTAGAATAAAAGGCAATGCTTTGATATGGATCAACAATTTTCTCAGAGGCAGAAAATTCTCTGTAAAGTTTAATGGTGTAAGCTCAAAGTCATGCATATTATGGGCTGGTGTGCCTCAAGGCTCAGTTCTTAGTCCTCTTTTGCTTCTCGTTTACATGAACACCATTAATCATAATATTCATGTGGATACAAAAATTGCCTGCTATGCTGAAGATATCGCAATTCGGCACACCCACAGAGATATTACAGCATCTCTAAGGTGGCCTTAAACGATACACTAAAGAACATTGCGACTTGGGCAAAGAATTTCAAGCTGGCTATCAATACCAACAAAACCAATTTCTGTGTATTTTCTACAGAGTCACAAAAGCACCTTTAACATTGATATTAAAACCAATAGCTCTCAGATAAAAAGGATACTCTCTTACCCACCTCAGCTACCCCTGGATCCTGAACTTTGCTTCTCAAGGCACATACTGCAGACAAAGCTCTGAGAAAGTTAAATATTCTATGAAAATTATGTGGAACTACGCGGGGTTCAAGACCTACAACTGTAAAAAGCACATATTGCACCATCATATGACCTGTGTTTGAATATGCCACCTTTATATGGAATCCGGGTGCTGAGTCTTCAAAAATGTACTCCGTCCAACACAGAGCATGAAAAATCATTATAAGCGCAATTTCCTCAAGCAATAATAAAAGATTGAAAAAGAATGTGGCCTACCCTCCTAGGAGAACAGACTTAATTTTGTGGCCTACCCTCCTAGAACTGGCTTAATTTTGTAGCCTACCCTCCTAGAATAGCCTTAATTTTGCAACTTGTTCACCAACAAGCTCTGTAGTAACAACATGGATCGTATCTCTAACAGAGTATTCAATGAATGGAAAGGCTCAACCAGACTCAAGAGGTCCTCGAATCTCCAGCTGGTTCGGGATATCAAAAGTCGTATTAATCTGGAACATTCTTCTATTAATGTCATGGGAAATAAGGATCTGCCTGAACGTATTACAAATTTGCTCAAAGAAGGAAGACCCCAATATTCTTAAACAAAAAGTTGTTGAAACCATTAAAAAGCTCTCGCACGATAACCTGGCAATTGCATACATCAACGGTTCATCAGACAAATATCTTAATAAAAGAGGTGGAAGCATCCTCTTTCTTCTTCCAGATGGAAGTAAATATCAATATAAAAGGAATACTGGCCAGATAGCTTTAAATTTCACCAGCGAGCTCTTGGCAATTAAAGAAGCTGTCACCTAATGACAGAATTCACAGCTGACCCAATTTTTGGGTTTACGACTTCTTATGTTCAACTCCGTAGCCTTGTAATTTTGAACTCAATCCAGAAGACAAGGAAACTCCTGGATCAAGTATTGAGAGAAATTTGCCTTCGCAGAGGACTTTTTGATGGAACTAACCTGCATTTGTGTTACATGAAGAGGAAGATCACGAGAACCTCTCATGGTTAACCTGACGGCAAAGGGAGTCTAACATATGACATAGCTGCAGATTTCAAAGCCATGTTTTCTTTGTTTGTTCAGAACCCTTTCCAATAGTTGAGAGGTGGCGTGACACTGCTGCTGTACTAACTCCTAATTCTTTTGCAACTTCTCAAACAGTAATGTGAGGATTAGATTTCATAAGAGCTCTCAGTGTAGTGTCCTCAAGCTTTGACTTTAGTCTTCCACGTGGTTCATTTTCAAAACTTTCATCACCATCTTCAAATTTTTTAAAACCAACGTTGAATTGCCTTTTTAATAACAGGAAATTTCAAAAACGCACCATTATTGTTTCAAACAGTTACTGAGCTGCTATGACTACTTTTAAATTCATAAAGAAAAATAACACGTAAATTGCGATAATTCATGTTTAGAAATCGGTGGCAGAAAACATACAAAAAAAATATAAATAAATAAATTTAAGAGACTTTTAGTATGATAAGAAAGAGCACGTAATAACTTTAGAAAAATACATAATTTTTATACAATCTATAAACATTTATTAAAAAAAGATTAACAAAGTTGCTTTAAAGAAAAATCCAACACTTCTTATAGAACCTGAAATCTATTAAACAAAGCAATATAGATTTGGGACAGATCACTATTAATGCTTAAAAATAATTTTTACACACAAATAGTTTATAATAAAAAGATATGCACTTAAGTATCCATTATTTACTGAAAAAAATTAAATGATCAAGAGCATCAGAAATTAAAGCAGACTAATTCATATTTTTTTTTTTTTTTTTTACTTAAGAGAATATAAAAATTGTTTTACTTTATGTTTTACTCTATAGATTTATGCAACAAAAGATATTCTATTGTATAACTACTTTTGAACAGTTAAGTTATTAAAAGAAGCTTTAAGTAAAATAACTATATCATGGCTATATTTAGAAAACATTTTTCTAAAAAACTTACTTTGATAAATCGACATAGAAATCTGCAAAGAGTTTCATAATGTCACTTGTGATCAAGGCATGACCAGTGCTCTTCATGTCAGCATGCATGCTGGTTTTCTGAGCCAAATTCATGTGATTAAAATACATGTACATGAACTTTGACTGTTGCTCAGCATTTAGGCTGAAAAATAAATAAACTACATTTTAATTTCATATGACAAACAAAGAAGCACAATCCATATTAAAAAATATGTGATAGAAATAAAAGTGTTTTAAAAAATGATGTTATAATGTTTAAGCTATTGATTTGCATTTTTAAACGCTTTTTCTAATTTAGGAATTTTTTGAAAATTTGAGCATTTTTTTAAAAATCTTTATTATTTTTGAAATTGCGTCATTTTTTTTTTTTTTAAATTTTTCAAATAATTTTGCTTTTTATGCTGCAACGCTTTATGTATATTACATACATGTAACTTAAGATAGATATTAATACATTTTTATTAATTTTCTCCAGTTTTTTTAAATTTATTTACATTAAATGTGTCTCATTTATATTTAGTGAAAATTGCATTTCTTTTTCTCTTCCTATACATATTTTAATATAATTATATATTTTTTAAGAAAGAGATAATATTTTTAAAGGTATTTTTAAGGTCATCAAAGTTTATGCTCTAATAACTACTTTAACATTTAGTAATAATAAATCTCTTGTTATTTTTAATAGTTTTTTTAAATTACTCTGGCCTTTTTATAATCACTATTTAGTTCTATACTTAAGAAATGTAACACGATAGTATCATTTAATTAAATTCAATCAAGAATCTTTAAAACATTAAATATTTTTTAGTATTTTGAGAAAATGACAATTTTTATCAGAATATTTTGTTTTAAGCAGGAGTTATTTTTCCCTTTGACAATACCATGTTCACACAAAATTTAAAAAAAAAACTTTTGCACTCTTTTTGATTTCTTCAGATTGATAGATGAAAATTATAAGGAAACAAATTGATTTCAATGCAAGTAAAAAAAATAAGAAACAAAATTTTAAACAATATTCACACATTACAACCACTCAGTCAACATGCATGTAGCTAAACCTGTGAATTGAAACTTTCAGTTCAAAAGTACACAATTTATATCCTTTAACTTGAAAAGCAAATTATTGCATCTACCAAATCAGATTTTAAAGCAATATTTGAAAGAAAATTTATCCAGGAATACTTATTTTTAAACATGTTAACTTATTAAAAAGAAATGAATATAAGCAAAGTAACATTGAAATCACTTCAGAATTTTCTTCAATTTTAAATGTACGCAGAAGTTACACTTGTCAATCTGATCTGTAAGCCACTTTAAGTTTAAAAACCTATAACTGAAAGAAACAAAGCAAAAATAGCAGAAAATGTAAAACAATAAACATGAATAGAAATAAGAGCTTATGTTTAAGACAATGAGAAACATGTTATTGGATCATGTGTTTAATTTCTATGCACTTGCAAGAAAATAAAAAGTGTAATTTTAGCAGTTAACTTTTACTATGTTTACAGCAATCATTTACTAACTACAATACCGTCTTTATGCATGGGTACACCCGGGGGCCACAAGCACTCATGGGGGCCCTTGAAAATCTTACTTTCTATAAATCGAATTTAAAACAAAAAAAGTAAGAATAAATAACATTGCATTATAAAATTTAAAAAAAATATATATTCTCATGTAACATGTGCGCATTTTTTTCTACAAACAGTGATTGATTATCATGCAAACACCAATAGTTTTAACAGTTTATCATCAGAAAAACTTAAAAAATCAACCGAAATATATTTTTCTACGTCAAAATTAATTTTTTAGGTACTCAACTCTCTAAGTCATAATGTCTCTAAATATGCTTGGCCTCTACCAACTCTGTTTAGTATTTATAATTCATTAAATAAAGTAATAATTAAAAGAGTTTAGAATTAATTACACAGCACTATGGGACAGCAACTTTTAAGCTGGTTATGCTTGATGTGCATTGAAAAGTGTTTAAATAACTGACTTTTTAATAGTTTGACGAAATAATTCATACTTTTTGAATTTTTTATTTGCCTCATGTTTTTTAATTTAATTATTTTAATTACCTTCTTGGTTTTGAAAATTATTTTATTATTTGAGGATTGCAACTTGTTTAGCATCTCAATTTTTTTTAAAAAATTATGCATATAGAGGTTTTAAATTAGAAGTTCCCATTTTAAATTAAGATCACACGTTTAAAAATGCTTTATTTTGCTTGCCTTGAGTTTTTGGGGGTAATAAAAATGTATTAAGTTTGTTAAAATTATTGCATATCTTAAAAATGATTTATTTTACGTATGTGAAGTTTTTAAGTTTGATTTTAAACAGTATAACATGTTATAGGGGGTCCTGCTTGCTATTAAGATGACCCTGACTAACTATAATCTAAGTATATTCATAAATGTGTCTCTTCATGCATCTCAAATTAATATTTGATAGACTAGAATGGAATAGAAAACTAAAAACATAGCCAAGAATGATATTGTAAGCAAGAAAAACAGCATTAACCACAGAAACTTGAGAGCATGATACAAATGATTTATGAAATTCGTGAAATTTCAAAGAAATTGTTTTTTTTTCCTCTTTATGTTTATAATACACAAAATGAGGTTCTGTTTTAGAACTTGTTATGATTGTAATGAATTTGCCTGAAATCATACTTATGTATTTTTATGTGTAAAAAAAAAAACTTTTAATGCCAATAGAAATTAAATATACCACTGTTTCGCTGATGCTGCATAAACACAAAAATATGTCTAAAAATAACCCCCTTTCAAAACTCAAAATTTTCTTGTTTTATTTGTTTTTGTAAAAAAAAACTATATCTAAAACTTTAACCAATCTAAAATATTTTGTATCAAACTCAATACCCATAATGAGAAACAAAAAAAGATGTTAAATATAAATATTTTTTATTTAAATGCTTCCAAGATACCAGTGCTTGTAATGTCCTTAGAATTTTTCAAAAGTAGTAGCAGAAGTTAAAAAATAAAATGTCTTTTTATAAATTAGTGTCCACATAATGCTTAATTTTTCCAAATAAACATACCTAGTAACATAATTACAGTTTCTGTATTTTTAATATTAAATTGGAAGCTAATAAAAATACATTTTTAACTCTTTCATTATAATGCTATTACAGTCACCCCCACTTAATTCCGTATCTGATAATCGATTAACCCGTTTACATGAACAAAATTTAATGGAACCAAATAATTTTATATGAAACTAATGTTAAATTTCCTCATTTAAATGGATATTAGTTGTTTCCAGCCCTCACTTAATTGCATGAAAGAGAGGTATTGAAATGAAAAAATCTGTTTATTTTTAAGAAATGTTTCACCAGCTAGCATGGAATTTTCAGTTAAGAAGATAAGATTACAATAAGTGATCCTCTCAATAGGGACTTCCTGTTTATTTGTTGCTCTGAACGGATGTTAGGAATATAGCTTAAGAATTAAAATCTTGCTGGCATTGGAGTGACTGAAGGGGGGTTTGGAGTGAATGAATGAAGTTTTACTCCTATTTGACTTACTTCACACATTATTTTGAATATAAAAAGCTACAGAGTGATTTGTTTCACAATGAAGACTTATGCCCCTCTCCCTGTTATGCCCCTCTCCCTGTTAGTTTTGATAAGAAAAAATTTCAAAAACCTAACACACTAGCCTACCGTGTGTCTTTCTCTAAATTAGAATAATCATTGCTTACTCCAGTGAATACAAGATGAGTGTGAAAAGGAATGATTTGAAATAATCGATAGGGTGCATAGTCAGATTCTTCAACAATAAATAAGCACCTTTTAAATGCTTTTTAAGCACTCAAAAAATACTTTTTATCACTTTCCAGAAAAAAATAAAATAGGATCTGTGCAGTAATAAAAATTATTTTTTTCTAGAGTTTAAAGTTCTTAAATGTATAAACATGAAATTTAAAAACACTTTATAATCATGATAAAATAAAATAGTTTATGATAAATATTGCAAAGAAAATTTTGAAAATAATGCATTTTTTGTAATTTAGAAAGGAAAAATCAGATTTTAAAAGATAGAAAATTAAGCACTTTTTACAAACCCCGAAAAAAAAGCACCTTTAAGAGCTTTTAAAAAACGCAAATCAAACATAAGCACCTTTAAGCACTTTTTAAAAATGCTACGCACCCTGACTGAAAGAGAGAAAAAATAGAAGTTTTGGAAGAAATAAATTTCAAAAATTCCAAACTGAAGTAGCAAATTAATTTAAAATTTCTCAAAAAGGATTTTAAAAAAATTGAAAGTATTTGAAAAGAATATGCAAGTCATGAAAGTCTTAGCAAAAAAAAGAAAGGAAAATCGAATTTTGATAAATTGACAAACAGTCTGACAAAAAGTTGAAAAAAGTAACAAAAAGTTTTAAATTTTTTAAATAATCAAAGAGAAAACAAACATAACAAGATTATGATATTCACTGTAAAAAACATGTTTTTTCTTTTTTGCCCATAGTGGACAAAAAAGAAAAATTTGATACTTTTATCTACTTACTAAGAAAAAAAATTATCAAATGCATAAATATTTTTGTAGCATATGGATAAAATACTTCAGCAAAATGCATATGTAGTTGATAAAAAAAAGGCCTTACTGATAAAATTAGAACAAAAAGTATCGAAGAAAAAGTTTGATAATTTTAGAAAAAGCAAATTTGTGTTTAATGCATGTTCACAACAAAATAGAAATGTTAGTTTAAATAAAAAAGAGAACACATACATACTGAGAAAAAGTTTTTGAAAAGTGTTCTCCGATTTCTGAAGCTAGATTTGAGAGATGTGATCCCAGAGCAGCATCCAGGCTCTTGAAAAAATCACATTTAAATTCATATGTATCTACAAATATAAGAAAAAATGGGCATGATGAGCATAAAAATGTGCAAGGACCTGAAAAGTAGATGTTTTTTTCTTCCTCTACATTAAAAAAAACTGTGTATACAATATAATAAAAACAAAATTTCTATAATATTTGAAGTAGTAGCAAAACATCAACTAAATATACAAAGATTATTTTTAAAATTTTGTCAGCATTCAAAAACAGTGCGCCTATGAGGTCTCTTATATGCAATTACTTAATATGTTGTGCCGGTTAAAACAATTTTAATCAGATGATAAAGCAAAAATTTTGCAAACACATCAGGACTCACTGAAAATTTGTGGGGTATAAATGTATGCAAAAATGTGCATCTTCTAAAAAGAATTTATCATTTAAACTCTAATCTCTTACGAGCTGCAAACAGTGTGAAAACCTTTTCTCCGAATATATAACTGATGGGATAATATGAGTCACCAATTTTTATTAATAACTAAAAAAAAATTTCTGTATATAAAAAGAACAGATAAATTTTAACCAATTTTTATATTTTGAGCAATACCATGCAGAAAAGACAAGCCTCTTATTTCAAAAGACAAGAAATAATTTTATTAATATTTTCTGTCCCTCCTCATAAATTTTTAGTTTCACATAAGTCAACATGACAATAGTGTTTGTCCAGTCCCACCAGTTTTAAAAATTTTTAAATTAAGTAAAATGTTTTCATACACTGTTGCATGCCAATTTGTTACTGCTTTTTTATTTATTTGAATGTTCTTCTCTCAGCTTTGAAATAACAATATAATATTTGCATTATTGTTCATCAAAGAAAAAAAAGAATTTAATTGATTTCATATGTATTTTTGTCCATTAATTCAATTTCATTTATTTCATATGAACTTTCCAGTAACAGTTATAAAAAAAGTCACTTCCATTCAAAATGTTAAAAAAAACACATTGATGTTACAAATAACTAACTATTATTTATATTTGAAATAATTATACACAACAATAAAAATTAGTGCTAAAATGCAGATATTTATTTACAACAAGCTATTTTCTTTAAAAAAAATTTACTAAATTAGCAGCAATAAAAATTCATTACTTTTTAAAATATTATGGAAGGCATGAATGTCATTAAGAAGCCTTTTGAAAAGTTTCAGAAATAAACTAAATCTATGTTATAAACATTTATATGATCATAAGTTATTTATAAAATTGAAAATAATGATTATTTAGTATAAAGTAAAAATTGAAGAAAAAATGTATGCACTATATTTGGATTGTCCTTCATCAAGAAAAAATAGACTTTGGTTTATTTCATGTGTATTTTCCACCTTATAGTAATAGTTATAGAAGTCATAGCCATTCAAAATGTTAGAAAATAACATTAATAAATAAAATACTATTATTTACATTTGGTTTAATTATACACAGCAATAAAAATTAATGCTAAAATGCAGATACTAATTTAAAGCAAGCTATTTTTTTTAAAAAAAAGCAAAAATATGTATTAGATTACAAAAATTAAAGAAAAAAGTATGTTAAATTAAAACTTAAAATATATAAAAAATAACATAAAAAATATTAGCATAACGTCTTTGAAGGTGAAAAGGCTGACAAATAAATTCATCATAAATTAAAATAAATATATTATAGACACTTATTTAATCATTAGGTGTAAGTAAATGTATGATTCTTAAATTAAAAGTTTTCAAAAAATAGTACAAACTATTTAAGGAAACTTTACAGAATTGAAATTTTGTTCATAAATAATAATTCCTATCATTACACTAATTTATTTTTTTTAATATGGCAGATTTTATAAATTTTGGTAGAGAAAACCGCTAATCTTTGAATTATGTTCTTTATAAGTCAGTTTTATAACTTCAAGAATATAATAAATGAACTTTAAAAAGGTTAATTATAACAATTTTTATATAACTTGTATTATTTTGTTTAAAAAACTAAATTCTGTGCACGTACATAATGTTTATTTTAGTTCTTAAAATAGTGCAACAAAATACAAGCGCTGTGTTTAATGTGGATATTCCTTTTTGCAAAAGCCTTTTTCAATAAAATACTGTTTTAACCAAACTGTTCCAAATCGAATAAATATACATAAGATTTGTATTGGTTGGTTATTGACACTTTAATTTCGCTTAGAGAGTTAAAATATTGAAATCAACATAATTTCAACAGCTAATTTTTGTTTGACTCTATTAAAACTCAAATTTGAAAAAATGTAAGTAAGGGCAGAAATTTTAACATAATTTCAATCATAACATAACATATTTATTCATAAAATACCCATAATTATTCTTAACAAGCAAACCCATATTTATTCATAACATAATTTCAACAACTAACTTTTACTCTATTAAAACTTAAACTTGAAAAAATGTAAGTAATGGTACAATTTTTTATACCTTCAATAAAAAGACAGATAGTAGCATTTAATGCACGGTATGCAACAAGAAAGAAGCAGCCTTTGCTGAGAAATATCTTTGGTATGTTTTGTAAACCAGCTTCATCTTCTGGGGATTTAGGACCAGTCATAAACCTTAAAAAAGAAAAATTAAATGTATACATTTGCATTTAATAAATATGGGTTTAAGATTTTTTTTTTCTAATTTAAATTCTGAAATGCTCTCAAAAATTTCATGAGAATAACAGTTTCCAATTCAACAGCAAGTCAAGTCCATTTTTTAATTCAATATTGACCGCTAACAGCTTTAAGAAATCCCTTTTATCATCTTCAGTTAACAGTAACATCTTTAAAATTGAGAATGACGCGATCCCCAACATCTCTTAAAAAAAAGAAAAGAAAAAAAAAGAGAGAGAGAGAATAAATTTTCTATGAAGGAAATGTGATCTGAATTTAAAATAAAACAAAAATCAGTTACTTCATCATTCAGTAATTTTAAGTTTAAAATTTTCTTTCAGGTAATTCTAACATTTAATATTCTAAAAAAGGTCATGTGAAGATTATTTTAACGAAAATCATCAGACAGACACTTGATAATTTAACATTTTCATAAGGAAACACATAATACACTATAAATAACATTTACCAATATTAGAAAATGCATTACATATTAAAGGTGCAATGCAATGAATTTTTCAAACACATGAGTAATTTGTATTTTAAAGTGCATTGAATCTCAGCATATATCTGATCGATATAAAAATAAAAAAAACCAATATTTTAATCTTCTTTCCTAAAAAATAATTATAAACTAACTTTTGAATGTCCTTGGGCTCAAAACCACTCTAAAATCTTACAAGCAATAACACATGAAATACATAAGATAGCTTAGCCCTGTTGCTCAGATGCAAATTAATTTTATAGGACACAGTTTTCACATTATTGACGAGAGATGCGTAAAAGTTTTGACTTCACAAAGGATCAATCTAATACGTTTAATAGATTGCCTGGAAGTTTAATTGTGAGTTTTGACTCATTCAAACTGTGACAAAAAAAGACACAGTTCATGCCACAAAGTCATTGACAAATAACATCAAGAAATTTAACTAGTTGCTAAGACAACAAGTTGCAAGCAACATCAATGATCTTATAATTTGTTGTTATTACATTAAAAAGTTAGAGGCATAAATATAATCAACAAAGAGTAGTATTTTATAATTTAAATAAAATTTTATTGTAACATTTTCATTTTATTTCAACTTTCATAAAAAAACAAGCACAATAAAAATCATGTAATTGAATATTAATTTGCTGACTAGATTATGTAGTGATCAGGGAACAGGCCTTGTATCAGAAAAGTTCTGGGTTTGTATCCCGGGAAAGGCATCTGTGTTCCTTCATTCTCTGTACTATCTGTCCTTACTGTGGTAACAACGTTGGCCCACCTAATAGGGTGCCCCTGACAACAAATCTGCCTTAAAAATGTCTGAATTGAAGAAATGTTAACACAGGTGGTTATTGGAAACAAAAACATATCAATTTCAGAACCCTTGGAACAAACTATGTAAGTTCTGAGAACAAACCTTCCAAAATGTGTTCCAGAACCAAAAGCACTTGTTCTAGAAGGAGAGAATACACCACCCTTTAACTCTGAATCAATGAATGAGGGTATCAAATCCAGTGAAAGATGTTGATACACTATTTGGATGTCATCAGGCTCAAGACCACTCCTAAAACAAACAAAATTAATAAAAAAGATTTACTCACACTGCAATGTCATATAATACTCAAATCCGTATTTTTACCACCCAAACTGGAAAATTAATTTTGAAAGTTAAAAATGATGATTAAAATAAACTTATAATTGAAGAATTTAATCAAATATGATTTTAAATGACATATTTGAAAAAATTGAGATTCATAAGGGAAAGAACTTATTTTAATTCTCTTTAATTATACTATACTCTTTTATTTCATTAGTAAATTAAATATGAATGATTGCACTAAGGGACTGCCTTTGAATGTTTATGAAGCAAAAGAAGGTTTCAAGCACATTTGGTAACAAACATTAGATGAGTAACCTTAGAAAACCTGTAAATCTGCAGGAAAGTAAAATGGATGCAACAAATTAAAAGGTGAACACGCTGTGATACAAACAGTTTAAAAGTGTGTTAAAGTTTCACTGATTTCGATAATAAACATTTTTTAGAAAGGAACGAAATCAAGGCATAAACTTTATTGCCTACTGTGATGCCAGAATTGGCATACACATATTTATTTTCTATCTTTTAAAATATCTTTCATTACTTAAGCTGATTTTTTATTAATAGAATTACATTTAAAATAAATCACAAACTTAATCTTTTTAAACAAATGCTACTCGAAAGAAATATCTATTAATTTATGATTCATCATAAAGAAGAAATTAAATTTGTGTTTCCTTCAACTCTCGTCTTGCTTTTGATTTCGTTTTCATCAGGATTTCATCGAACAGTCATCCGTTACGTATCCTTTCAATTATTTATATTTTATGTTTACAACATTTAATTGAATTTAAAATTTTTGTATGACAAATTGATAAATCATTTGACTTAAAAAAATTTTTTAGAAGTTAAAAATATAATAGAAATATTTTTTTAATTTTATTTAATTACAACCTGAAATTTTGTAATTTATCCAGTTAAGCGGCATATTTGATTTTATTATTAGCCTTTTGGTGATGTTTATACAGTTGAAGAATTTATTGAAAATTGAATTATTGTTGGAATTAACTTAAATTCTGAAACGAATATATTTTCACAGGATTTGAATAATTTAGTTTATATTTTTATTTCAGTGATAAGGATTTGTAATTAATTAATATACAAAAGAAATGATAAGTCAAATCAATTTTTCCATATTTTATTTTCTATAAAAAAAAAATCGAATGTTACGTATTTTATTAATGAACATTAACGAAGTTTTCAGTGATTTTAAAGAATTTTTGTATATTCTTAGCAATAACATTTAAGAGTTTTTATTATCCACATTTGTTATTCTATAAAATGATATTTGAGTTAAGATTTAAATTGCTAACTCTTGAATTAAACTATTTTAACGTCTGAACAGAATGATTCAAATATACTTCGGTTTTCAAGGAAAATAAATTTGGTAAATTAGAAGGAATGTTTTTAGACTTCCTTGCGTTTTGTTTTATGATGTTATGGGAGCTTTAGTGTTTTTGCATCTGATTTGACCAGTAACCAAACTTTGTTAATTTGAAAAATATCTTCAACTCTTGTATTCATATAACAGACAATTTCTTCAAAGCAAAACAAGAAATGATTATAGTGTTGGTTAGGTGTAATTTGCATGTGAAGTTTCTTTTAATATCTTGCATTTACAGATCGTGAGGTGTTTGACATTCTACTTATGTATAAATTTATTTTCAAAGATTAATTTCTGCAATCAAATTAAGAATAACAGAACTTAAATATTCGTATCATATTGGTTCTTAAAAAGAATTTCAATTTTGTATAATTTCATTGGTCATTTTAAAATTATTTATGTTACCGTTAAAATTTTGGGTTGATCATTATCAAGCATTGCAATATTACAATAAAAAGAAATAGATTTTATACTGTTTGCCATAAATTGATATACTAGTTATGTATATTTCAAGTGCATTTTTAAAATTATTGTTGTTCATTTACAAATGTTCTTAAACTAAACCAGAAATGTATCTTAAATAATACTGATAATAATAATGATATATTTTATAAACCCTTATGCACACTTAAATTTTACAATTTAAATTAGCTTCAAGCTAATTAAGTTATTCTGAAGTACTCATAAATATCAATAATTAACTCTCTATTTTTTTGAAATGTTGCAAATTTCAAATAAGATAACAATACTTAATAGGGAATATTGACATCTACAAGAAAACACAATAGGGAATAACATGTTATTAAAATGTATTATAAGGATTAAGCTATCCCAAAGTGATTCTTAATCAATACTTATAGTAGTGTAACATAATTTCACCCAGATTATTTTAAGAAGTAAAATAATAAACACACAATTACACATTTTTGTTATCTTGGTATAAGTGTTTGCGAAATTTAAAAATTAAAGATTTCAGCATATATTTTTTTTCTTCAATAAAAAAAAAAAATTTCATTAACTGTCTCATTGTTGCTGTTGCTTTGCATGGAGGCATCTGTGCAGAATGATTTATGGTGATTTTCTTTACTAGGGCCCAGGTAATTAAAACTCATTAAGTGGCATAGAGATATTTTTATAATAATATGAACACAGTAATAAACAATTTGTGTAATATTTTTTTTTAAATTTTACAATAGCTATTATATTTAGCACAAATAGTTTTTCACTTACATAAGTAAGCCATTTTATTCATTACAAGTGCATATTCAACAGGGTTAATTCAAATAGTTACTCACGAATATTTTGTTTTATAGAAACAAATCCAAAAATTTTATTATATATAAAAAAAAAAGAAATTCTATTGATTTGAACAATGCAACTACTGAATATCTTGTAAGCATTTTAATTTTTATTAAATAAGTGTCCAACTGAGCTAAAAATTCATGAAAATAAGAATAATTGAGCATTTATATATAATATGACAATATTTTCCTTCATTAAAATGAAGTGAATTTTTATAGATGCAGTGAAAAATAAAAAATAAAATAACTTCTATCTTCTTGAATACAAAAATATACTGCCATGATAGTATAAGCGTTAATACAATGCATCATGTATGCAAAAATTCAGGTTAGAATCCTGATCATAGGCTTGCTATAACATTAATTCAGAAGTTGATAGGGTAAAAAAAAAAAAAAAACTATAAAATTATTTTACCTTGAATTTAATACTAGATAGCTGTGATAGTATAATTGTTAATACATTGTGTCACAAAAATTCAGGTTGGAATCCTGATCACATGCTTTCTAGATCATAATAGTTAGTTCAAAGGTTAAAAAAAAAATGTTAAATAAAGATATAGATATATATGCTGCATTTGTAGATAATTTTGCCTCTGAAATAATAGAGATGATTTTACCTCTTGAAATATAAGAGATGAAAATTTTGCCTCTTGAAATATAAGAGATGATAATTTTGCCCCTTATGCAAAAGGGATGACTAAACATAGGTAAATAATGTAGCAGTCTGATCAACTGTTTACTTAGAGCTAAAATAAAAGCTCATATTTTTTTTGAATGATATGCTCTGCTCAGTATGTTTGTAATAATAAACAATAAACTAAAGAATTTTTATTGACACTTATAATTATTTGAATATTTGATACTAATAAACATTTTATTGAGTTATAATAAGAAATATAGAATATGATATGATAAATTGCACTTACATGTTTAAATATTTTGAATTGTATAGGTATATCAATTTGGTAACTGAGATGATTTCGCAGATTATTATACTATTTGTTACTGATAAAGTTTTCTCAAATTAGAGAGAAATTAGAATATCCTGTCCAGGTGATGACAATGCTCAGCTAATTTTACATCAACATATGATTTAATAACAAGAGTATTGAAAATATATTTTTGAAGTATAACTGTATGTCAAAAATTTTTTTAATAGTAATTTTGCTTTGATATTTAACTTTACATAGGTGTATATTATTATTTTGTTTCTTGAATATATTATGTTTCAATGCATAAAATTTTTTTGTAACATGGGGGAGATCCATTAATTAAAAAAAAATATATATATCTATATATATACATATTTTTTTTCTGTGTTCAGCGGGGATATATGTGATGCCAGAATTGGCATACACATATTTATTTTCTATCTTTTAAAATATCTTTCATTACTTAAGCTGATTTTTTATTGATAGAATTACATTTAAAATAAATCACAGACTTAATCTTTTTAAAACAAACATAAAATATTTATTTCTTCTCTTCCAGATCAATGTAACGGATACTTTCTTTTTATTTCATTATTATGCAGACATATAAATTCACTGTCGCCTTTAATCGAAAACAAAAATCTATTTATAACTTTTTATTCTAATTTTCCAACGGCTAAATGTTTCGGTTGCATGGTTGTAATAATTCACATAAATTTGTTGGCGACTCGTGATCGCCAAGGTATTATTTTAACTCTATATTGATATGCTGGTTGGCCTTGTTTTGGCTATGCTATATTTTAATAAATCGCCAATTTTGGATCTCCTACCAATGCTTCGGTGTCCAAAACTACTTTTACTTTTTAATTTGGCATTTGACTAGGCAGGTCGTGGGGATTGTCTCCCATGGCCTGACCTATTTTAATATTACTATGCAAAACTGATTCAACTGAAATTTATGGATAATATTTAGTTTTGTATCTCGAGCTCTACAAATACTATACTACTAAATAAAAGCCTTTTATTAATTCTGATCCGGCTCAACTATTATTTTCATCATCTTCTGTTTTCATTACTATCTTCAACTGGCCCACTATACAAATACAAACTACTCCTCACCCACATCTTAATATTCCACCATCATCCCAACATAAATTGGCACCCAGAATCCCTTCTCCATAATAATGGCATCCTGAATCAATATCTTTCTTCATACCTACCATTAACACATACTTTTAAAGCTAACTAACCTGGATTCACTAAACTGTCACTTAGAACCTCTATCTCCTCACCTCTTTCAAGCTATTTTACCCAAATTCACTGCATCATAAATTAAAACATTCATCCAATTACCTTTTTGAAGCTAATTTACTTTAATTTCTTATAATGTCCTTTAACTTTTCTTTAAAACTAATTTTCATGAATTCATTAAAATGTCACTTCAAACCTTCCTCCACTCACCTCTTTAATTTACACAAATGTCATTAAAAACCTTTAGGAATTTCCCCCTTCAGTTATTAATTTTACCTATCAATACTAATTGATAATTAGGGCAATATTCAGAAATTTTTTTCAGGGAGGAAACTAACAAGACATTCCAGATAGAGAAGCTTCACATTCAAAAAATAAGTCTTTTTCCATATGCTTAATTTTTTACCTTTGTGACAATAAAGATCAGTTAAAGTACAGTTTTCAAAAAAGAAAAAATTCTTTTTTTGAAAAAGAAAATAAATGTATAAGTTAAATTTTGTCATATTATACAAAGTTTAGTTAGTGTAAAAAGTTAATCAATAGTTTCACAAAGAAATTTAAAATAGTTACACTAAAAAGTGACACCACAAATTACTTAAGACAAATTAAATTTTCATGGTTATTATTTAGTTTTTCGAAGAAAAAAAAAAAGAATATTATCTAAATATTTGGAAGAAACAGATGATTTTCTTAAATATCTTCTAAGCTGTAATCAATGTGCCAAACTAACAGATGTCTTTAAGCATTGAAAATTCCACTAAAAAAATATCTTTTATTATATAGTTCAAAATTAAACAGGTGAAGAAAAAAAACAAATTTGTTAAAATGAATATACAAAACAAATATTACAATTCATGCAATACTTAATAGCTGATATACAACAAAAATAAAAGAAAAAATTACAACATATATATATGTGTTTACGGCATATTTTTGTTCTCACCAGAATGATTAAAAAAGTAATAAATAGCTCTTTAATTAAATTTTAATTTATTGGAAATGGAAAATATTGCGAAGACTAATGGAGTTCTCCGATAAAATTTGTCTTTGCAATATTTCCTAAAAGTAGAAATTTCAGGAATTGTTACCAAAATTAGTTCTGTTTCCTCGTTAACATCACACCAGAGCTATGTAAACCCACTGGCGGTTCTGCACGAAAAAAGTAGTATTTTAACCTGCAGTCTCCACATATTATTATATCCGTCGTTGAACAGCCGACTCAATTTTTGGGTTTACAACTACTGATGTTCAACTCCGTAGCCTAGTAATTTTGAACCAATCCCAAAGACAAGGAAACTCCTGGATCAGTACCCCCAGAGGTATTGATTTGTTATGGGAACATGGAGGACTTTCCGACTCGACAGATTTAACGTGCATCAGTCACCATTTACTACACGGGAAGTCTTCGGCAAGCGGGGAATGAACCCACGAACTCTTGGACTAGGGCCCAGTGCTCTACCAACCAGGCTATCCCGGCCTTATATCCTCCGCATAGCAAAACCAGTTTTTCCATGTTATTAAATAGGGAAATAGCGAACTGGGGAGAAATATTCTCCCAATTTCACCCGTTTTCTAAACCGCTAGTATATGGACGATATTGGTGCAAATCACTCTTAGTCATTATCAAGGTCATTACCAGTGTGTTCTCACTGGTGTAGCAGAATTTAAATTGGAGAGGAGATGATGATATTAATCATTTAATCTCCGACTCCAAGTCCACCTTCCCAGCAGGCTAACAATTCATGGACATTTTTGGCTCTGAAACCAACAGGGATATTACTTTATAGTGAATTCAAAAATGCTAAGACCAGATTGGAGAAGTTGTAATCCAATCAGATACCCAAACTTCAGCAAGAGGCAAAAATTCATTCTATAAAATTAGTTTACTTATTTCAACCTGTGATAATTTTTATAAATTACTAAAAAGAATAATTGAATGTTAAAGAACAAAGCAATCACAAAAAATTTGGGTTGTTTAAGACGTATCTCTATAGTAAATGAAGCAAAAAAAATTTAAGTTTATTAATTAAAGTAAAAAAGTCGAACAATATAGGTTAAAATATTTGCAAACTTACCAAACAAGTTGATCATTGTAAAGAAAAACAGAATACTTCACACATCTGTAAAAGAACATTTATTTTTATAAACACCAATTTAAAAATAATTTCATACATTAAAAAAAAATAGCTCAAGTTTTTACATTAAAATTAAATACAAATGAATGTGAATCAATAATTTATATTTTTAATTTTTTAGATACACCCTTAAGATGATAGATGTTTTAAATCACACATAAAATAGCAACTGAAATTTTTTTTTTATTTATTATTGCTAGGAACATTTTGACTGTATACACAAATAAAAATTGTTTATTTTGAATTGATGATTTTTAAAAATTTAATCTTTATGAACAATTAAAAAATGTTTTAATTTAAAAAACTGAATAAAATTTTAAATTCCACAAGCCATTGATAAAAATGCAATGCTAATTCTTTCTTTAGTTTTAATTTCCTTTGCACTCCAAAAAGCTCTTTTAAATCAAGTACTATAACAATTTAAGAAAATTTTCTTTAATTATTTGTTTAAATATATATTAAAACAATATCAAAATAAATTTTCTAAAAACCTAAAAAAAAAAAAATTGAATTTGCAATTTTTCTATAATAGCATTTTTAGTGCCAAATTTTGATTTTAAAAGAGTGATGGTAATAATTTTGCTGAAATACTGTTTTGACATGTTTTATTGTAAAGATTAAGCAAGAAGTATTGTAAGATGGAAAGAGGATGTTTTTATTATCCAGTAGTTTTGTTAGTGTCACTATCTAGCTTTTTTTATCGCATCTGACAAGAACATTATAAAAATTAATTAAATTCAATACAAAATCTCATTTAAATTCACCAACTAATTTTTCAGGTATTTAATTTGATACGTTACATTTAAAAAAAAAAAAATTAAAACAAGGTAAAGATAGCATATTCTGTTTAAAAATTAAATATGTCTAGATAGGAAATTCTACTACTCCATTTTTCGAAATTTGTAGAAAAACAATTTAAAACTAGTATGAAAATAAAGCAATGCTGATTGTGTTTGCCTTTTATTTTATGCATATTTTGCTGTACACATAGCTCATATCATCATTCTCAAATATTTTTATTAAAAATTAAAGTGAGGAAAAACATGAATTTCACTGAAATTATATTTATTTATCTAACAACCTGATTCAAGAACAAATAATTTTAGTAATGCGTAAAAAATAATTGTTTTTTGTAACGTTTAATTTCTTAAATTAATTATTAAAATGGTTTTATTCTTATAAAAATATGGAATATACATCGAATAAACAGAGCATTTTTAATTAAACTGAGCCAACTCGTATTGCAATCTAATAATTAAAGCAACCTGTAATTTGGTAAAGAGACAAAAGGACAATGTGGGAGAGAAGATTCTGCTAAAAATTTAGACCCAAGCTTTCTAATAGGAGGAAAAAGTCATTGAATTGATTCCATATAAGAACGTTACTTCGTATAAACTTGAAATACTAGATTCATTGAAAAATGTGCAAACTAGCAAAACTTGTTCACAAATTGTTTAGAGTGTAAAAAAAACACAAAATTAGCAAGAACTTAGGTACTAGTGTTCACGTTAGTACCAGATGAATTTCAAATTATTAATTTTTTAGAAATTTTTTATCCAAACATTAATTTAAGTTCTCTATTTAACGCATTTGTATTTTTTCACATAAATTACCCCTTTCCTTTTTTATGCATTTGTTAGATTTTTATCTTTTCAGCTACAGAGCCACATTTTCTCAATTGGAGAGTATTGGAACTAAATTTTTTTTCTTCATAAAACAGTTTAAAATATTACTTGTAAAGAAAATACTACTACTAGATATTTGCATTATCATGAAAAGCAACCTAAAATGTTTATTTCATGTTTGATTTTTTTATTGATATTTTAACATTTAATTCCTTGTATAGGTTGAATAATTGTAATTCTCCTTTTAAAAAAAATTAAGGAGATTACATGAAAGAAATAATGAAGAGCAGTGATGTCACAGACTTCCATTTTTATTGGCTCGAAAATCACAAGGTAGAACCTAGTTTACCTACATTAATTTCCATTTACTTTTGGTTGTCATCAGCATAAAATTAACAAAAGTCATAAAGATATTGTCTTCTTGCTATTATTACATTTTTGACTTTATTGTTTTCCAAATCATAAGTTAAAAACTAAAAGAGTCGTTTCTTTATTATAAAGTAATTCTATGATACTATCTTATTACGCTACATTTTAAGATAAACTTATTGGAATCAGTGTCTAAACTTATTAACCGATTTACAATTATTATTTTTTTAGTGTTGTTATTGTAATTATGTAATTTTATTTTCATTATAGAATTACATTGATGTGCTAGCATAAATTACAGTTAAAGAGATTTGTTAAACAGGGGAGATTGTGAAACAAAGTAAAAAAACCTGAACACTTTATGTGCAAAAATTCAATATCAAGATATCAATTTCTATACCATACATGTTTTGTATTTAACATAATTTTTTTAATAAGATTTATAACTAAATTACCCACCAATGATGAATATCACATCGTTATAGTAACTAATCTCATTTCGTACAGGAATTTCGATGCTCGATTTTTTACAATCGTGTAAATATAAATCGCGCAGTTGGATTTTAAAATCGCATGAATATGTTATTTTAAACGAATTGCGATGTACGATTTTTAAACAAAGTGAATATGAATCGCAATGTGTAATTTTTAAATCAGGTAAATTCGAAAATCGATGTTACATATTCAAACCGTGTGAATAAGAATAGCAATAATAGTGGATTCTGGCGCAGTTTTAAATATTCAAAATGGCGAAAATCCGCTGAAACCAAAAGAATCAACTGGCGAATTTCTGCCCACTGTAAGTGTTTCGTTAGTGCAAATTAGCGAAAGTTTCAAAATTAGTATAGTTTAGTATAGCTGAAATATCATCCTTAAATATCCCATAGATTGCTTTTTGACTGGTCACTACTTTTAAAAAACAAATATAAGAAATAAAATTCCCTGTATTCACCAAGTTTGTAAGGAAAAACTCAAAATTCCCTGCATTGTCCCTCTTGTTTTAGGTGATTTTTAAATTCCCTGTGTTTTCCAGGTTTTCCCTGTTCTCCCAGTGGAGTGGCAACCCTGAACAGTTACTGCAAAGCAATCATTGGGATTGGTGAGTGGCAGCAAATAGGAAGCTTATCCCCTGGCATATTTTTAAATACAATATTGCTACACAGCAGCCAAAAGAATAGTTAAAATAACCATGTCAGTGGATCACAGGACAAGTTGCTATTAGGACAGCTGCTGTTAAGGATTAAAGAAATTGGAAGGTGTTATTTTTTAAAATAAAAATTATGATTCTCAAGGACTACGAAGATCCGAATAAATGAGCTTACACTGTAAATAAAGAGTTGTTTTCATTTTGAAAATGCTTTCCTTGTCTTTGATCAACATAACAATCCTTCTCTTCCCAACCACCATAACCTCACAATAATAAAATAGGTAAACTCATTTATTTTATGACTCATATAAAAACTTAAAAATCACCCATTTTTTCTCATTTACTTATTGTTTTCTTTAAGATTGTGACCTACTTTGGATTTAAGATGTATTTTAAAGTTTTTAAAATAATAAAAATGTTACAAAGTATAAAAATAAAATTACTATTCTAAGAAAGAGAGTGATTGAACTGCTTCATGTCACTATAAAATCAATTCAATGTTTGAATTGTGTAAGATAAACAGAAAATCAACTTTTAACATTTCGGAAAAATATGTTACACCTGATCTAAATATTTATAAAGAAATTTTTAGCATTTAAAAACAAAAAGCAGGTATAAAAAAAAACAGATATAATTAAGAAATATAAGTGCTATATTATAGAATGATAAGTTCACTTAGAGTAAAAGAGCCCAAATTTAAAAAATAGAACTTTTATTTTCTAACTTTACAAAAAAACAATTCTTTGTACTTAATATTAATAAAACTTTTTTTAATAAAACAAAAACATAAAAATGCCATGAATACAAAATAATGTACATAATAATGAAAAAAATTTGAATGGCAAAGATATATTACCATATGTAGTTAGTAGGGAAAAAACAAATAAAATAACCAATTAAAATACAAAAAATATCTGTATATATTAAGCTTAAACAGATGTCAATCAGCATTTACCTGATGTGAAAAATGCTTTCTTTGAAGCTGGTTGAGTCATACCATTAAATTAATAATAATAATAATAAACGTTTCTGGAGTATGGTTAGGATGAATTAGAAGAGGACTAGAACAGTTTTGAGATAATTTTGGGATAAAAATGCTTGTTTAGAAGGTAGTATGGAGGATATAGAATGAATTAAAATAATTGGAAAAAGCTATCCCATTATTGCTTTTTAAAGATAAGAGTGAAAAGCATTGATAGATAGATAAGACTTTTTGTGAACAAATATGATTAATTTAAATAATCTTTTAAAAAAAATCATTAAAAAAAAGTTTTACCTAAATTTTTCTTCAAGCTGATTTATAAAGCATAGTATTTTGAGAAAAGAATATCTCTCAAGTGGTAAAAAATGAATGCCTTGAAAAATATCTAAAAGATCAGCCTCACTCGACTTCAAATTAACAAGGTACTGAAAAACATAACATGCATTATTATAGAATTTTAATAATATAACAAATATCTTCAAGAATCTATTCAGTCTTTTACAACAAATAACCTAAATGAACACAATACAAAATGAAATAGGTAAGTAAATATAATTGCTGACAATCTGCCATGAGTTATCAGAAGAGCTAAAATGAATGAAAAAGATAAATCATAGACATAAAATGTGTCAAGTTTCTATTCACAGTATCAAAAATAAATTTAACTCAAAGTAAAAAACTTAGACTCATGTATTAGTCTAAGTAGAAAAAAGTCAAAAAAATCAATAGTTTCAATACTTTTTCTGTAACTTATAAGCTAAAATCATTTTGAGGTGGAAGAGAATATAAATAAAATTAATAATTTCAATCATTTCTGTACATAATTTAGCCACTTGGTTATAAGTTTAAATCAAATTTACAAGCTGTTTATTTACAAAATGCTTTTAAATTACTTATAACATAAGTAAATTATGATATATTAGTATATTTGAGCTTATATTTCATTCCATTCTTGTTATCTCATAATTTTAATAGATAATTCTTAGAAAAAATACAAAAATAAATAAATATTTATAACATTTAATGAGGCCTCTGACACAGGCTTTATGATAGATCAGGCACTGCAAGTTTTAGAAAAATAAAAAAATAAATAAAAAATAAAAATACTATTTCTAAAAGATTTGCTTCTTGTGCTAAGAAGTTTCGATTTTCATTACTATAGTAAAGTCATTTTATTTAGTGCGTAAAAAGAATAGGACAATTTACATAACTACAATAGTACGTAAGAAAATAAGCAAACTTGATTTTTTAATTTCATACATAAAAGAACTATTCTTATAACTCATGGCAAAACTCCAATAGTATCACATGTATAAAATTATAACAAGTCTTTCAACACAAAAACTGCTTTTGTTTATTTAAGGTGTGTCTAAAAAGTTTGGCAAATGGCTGAAAATATCATCTACAACATTTAAAATGCGTAGCCACATGCAGGAACATTAGTTAGGGAAGAATCTATGGAAAGCAGAGCAACATGTAAGGAATGCAAGTAGCTGATGTAGAATAATCTGCTACAGGATAAGGGTGTGGGTATAAACTTCCACCCTATTGAAATGGAACATATAAACAAGATATTTAATTAAAAATTGGGTAAAAGGCCTCCAAATTGGGAGTAATGTTAGTTCAAGCATAATAAACAGATGTTGTGAATGGTAAAAAAATGTGTTTAAGACTGCTTTAAATGCTTTTGGGAGGCAAAAACACGAAGGAAGGTAAGTGAAACAGATGCTGTTGAAGACTGTCTCCAAAAAAACTTTCACTGACACATTTGAGCAATTTTATCAAGTATGACAAAAATCTATAGTGTCTAGCGTATGTTGCTTCAACCGTGATTTAATTTCTTACTTTTCTACATTTCATTTTATTGTTCACTAAACTTTTGAGACACATTTTGTAAATTTTATTGATAGAAAACATTGTCATGCAAAGCTAATGTCAAAGATAGTTAATGTCATAATGCCAAAGCAAATGTCTTAGAACTATCTTTTATCTTGATCACCAGACATCTTTTAAACCTTCGTTCTCTTCTCATGAAAGATCCATCAGAAATTTTAAACCTTAGGTTCAGCTCAGAATATAATATCACAAATCACACATGAATGAAAATATAATATGGAATACAGTAAGACTTTTTAATTAGTGGTTCCATCTCAGATATTTTGCCTACATAAAACAAAATTATTTTAAAAAATAAAATGTTTAATATAAAAACTACATAAATGATACTACAATTCTTTGTAATAAAAGTTTTTTTTTTCAATATAAAATAACAAAAGTTTTTGCAAAGTAGACTGATTTATACACTTATTCACTACAATAATTCAACTTGTATTTAATCATATGATTGTATAGCACATTCATTTAATAACTAAACTGATTTAGTATATAGACTGATTTATACACTTATTCACTAAAATAATTCTAATTGTACTTAATTATATGATTGTACTGTGCATTCATTAAAGAACTGGACTGATTTATTACATGGATTGATTTATAAACTTATTCACTATACTAATTCAACTTGTACTTAATCATATGATTGCACTGTGCATTCATTAAAGACTGAAGTGAGGGTTATCAACTGTTCGTCGTCACTCGACAGTGCCCAGAGCTGCTTACACACTTCATTTCAGATTGTTTTGCTCCCTCACTTTTTTTTTGTCTTGTTTAATACTTCCTATTTTAAACGAGGATAGGGAATACTTTGTGCTACTTGTGAATAAAACAAGACATGAATAAAGCACAAATGAAGGTACAAACATTTCTGCCCTTTTGCACAGGCCTTATTTACTTCATTTTGCTTTATTCACTTCTTACTTTAGCTTGTTGTTGTCATAGGCCATTAAGGCACTTTTTTCCAGTGGCGCCATCTATGGCAAAGAATTTGACTTCTGCCACACTCATTTATAGGGTGGACGCATTCATACATCCATCCATTCATTCATCCCCAGATCGTAATTTTGACCTGAACCAGAGAACAATCAATCTCCAATCCAGTAACCTCAGAGGTATAATTTGTTACGGGAACATGGAAAACTGCACCAGTATTACACAGGAGTTTTTAGCAGGCTGGATTCGAACTCCCGTTCTCCCAAACGTGAGTCCAGAGCCCTACCAACCAGGCTATCCCAACCCTTACTTTAGCTCCTTTCAGACTTTATGTTAAATATATTCGTGAGCTAAAAAATAGCCAGCTAAAGCTTGCTGGTTCGCTTGTGCAGTTCTTTTCATATCACTTTGCAATTTTACAGGTCAAACCTGCAGTGAGAACTACCAATAAAGTAGTAAAAATTGTGATATTGGAATGGATTAACATAATAAAAAATGCAATTTTTGAATTTAATTTCATCAAAATTATAAATTTCAACAAAATAAAACATATTGCTTCTTTTCAAATATAATAGTATGTGATTGCATATATACACATTTCTACTATTAATAGTTATGCTGAACTAAATTATGCAAAAAAAAAAAAAAAAAAAAAAANAAAAAAAAAAAAAAAAAAAAAAAAAAAAAAAAAAAAAAAAAAAAAAAAACTTCTTAAAATCTAATGTTTTCAATACATCTTCAATAATAAAATCTATAAACATATACAAAACCTATATACACTAAGAATAAAATAATCAATATATTTTGTGAACTGACTTCGCTTCCCTCACGCATTTTATCTCCTTTCTATAAAATCCTTTATACTTTTATTACCTTATCAAGTTCACTTTAAATACAAATATTTTAAATGAAAAATTATGTTATTTTCAAAAAGATAGGAAAAAATATAAGTTCTAAAATAACTATGCATTTCTCAAATACTTAAAAATGAAAATTAATTAGATTTTAGATTTCATTTTTTAAAGTTGTAACTGACAATCTATTGCCCTCTTTAAAACAGCACTTAGAATTAACTAGACTTGAAAATATTTTAATTTTTGTTTTCAAAAATATTAAAATGACAAATCAATGCCATTATTAAATATTTAATGATACTAAAATGCAAAATCTTTAAAATATTTCATTTATATAAAAAGAGAAAGTGGAAAAAAAATATCAAATTACTAAGCCAATGAAAATTGAAACAAGAATATGTATATATTGAAGGTGAGCAAAGCTATCACTTAAAAAGGATTACAACATGTTTACACACTGTAAACTAGTAACATAAGAATTACATCTGAACATTTGTCAAGTCGATAGAAAAATAAAAACAGCTTTCAACTGCATGTAAAAAAAAAAATAAACAGTTTTTTAATAAAAAGTAATTTAATTAGATTTAACACAGCATTTTTCAAGAATATAAAAAGTTTTTTACTGTATATATAAAAACTCTGTATAATAAAAAAGTAATTTAATTAGATTTAAGCTTACAACATTATTCATCAAAATATAAAAAAACATTAAAATCAAATAAAAATAAAATCCAATTAATTAATATAATCAAATAAATTATCAACATACTGTATCATAGAATTGCTGCAATTTTTTCCTCAGAGAATTAACGTTTCCTTCGCCTTCTCCGACTAAACTGCCAAAAGTGCCATTCAAGAGCTGGAATTAAAATTAATTTACAAATTTAAGCTCACGATGATTCTAAAAAATAAACAAGAAAGTAATGGTAAAACAAAACAAGGAGATATACTAGTGAAGGAATACAAATTTACTAGCGGCAATTTTTTGGGCTATGAGTATAGTTTTGATACATAATCATGTAAGTCAAAATTGAAAATAATATAAACATTTACATTTAGCCAAGTAAAAATATGTATATAAATCTTAATAAAGATTTTTTACGCAATTATTTATAATTACTTAAACTATAAACACTCAACATACTGCAGTTCTAGCAATAGCACCATCTGTTGAGGAATAAGAGAAGTATTTTTGCTATTCGCGGATATCTTATCGCCATTTTTATTTTTTAAATTTCTTCAGCAAATACGGAGAAATTTGAGAATATACAGGCAAACAGCAGAGAGTTGTAAAATACAGGATTTTTTGTCAAAAAACAGGAGACTTGGCAGGTATGCTGCAATAATCCCATTCTTAAAAAAAAAAATGCTTTTTTATTACAGATTTTGCAATAGTACTCTATAATACAACAAAACTAGATATTTTGTTAGAGGAAAGAACACCAGGTGGAGATATTTGATACATCAAAACATCTTTTATATTTTCACAAGATAATGTATTTTTTAAATAAGTTTGAATAGTACATATTATGTACAAACTTGTTTTCTCCCATTTGCTACTTTTTCCCAGTCAACAAGATAATTTGAATCTTTAATTAAAATTGCAACCAAGCGACTTCTCATGTACAGTCAAACCTCATTAACGCGAAATCCCTTAGCGTGAAATATCCCTTTACATAAACCCATGTTTGGTCCAGTGAGTCAGCAATCAATTCTTATTGTATATTACATGTTTAACATGAAATTTTAAAGCTAATTATCACTTAACATGAAAGGAAACTGGACACAACACAGATAAGAAGCATGCAAATAAAGTGGTAATTATTCTTTTTGAGGAATCCTATTTCTGTTATTTACCTTTGTTAGAAATACCATACGGGCAAAGAAATAAAATGATTAAAATAAAATAATTAAATAAAGTTATTAAAATTTTTAAGCTTACTTTAATTTGTTTGGTACATAATATTATTGTTTAGGTACATAAATGTAGTACATAATAATACTGTTTAGGTACATAAATGTAGTACATAATATGTACTAATAGTACGTAATAAATTGTTTTCATGATGCATCAGATAAGATGAAATCTGGTTAACATAAATAAGATAGTCCCGCTAATTTTGCGTTAACGAGGTTCAACTGTATATATTTTAATACAATTAAGTTAAGAAAAGAAAAAGAGCTTAAAATAAAAATTCTTTATTTCACTCTATGGGAATTTTTCTTTGTTAAGGATTTTTTAATGTCGAAATGTTTTAATTTTTTGCTATTTATAAGTGTATTTTTAGGACCCATATAATAAGTGAGGAAATCTGGTCTCTATTGATAAGTAAAGGTTCCTCAGATGAATGAAACAAAAAGAAAAAAATTCAAGATGAATGGTTTCAAAGTCTAAATTTATTCAAATTATTAGATCAGCACAAAAAAGTCTAATAAAATTTTCAACTTAGAACAAATAGGGATGAGGTAGCTAAGTTTTACTTACTGTAAACATCCTATATGATTTTAATAAAACTGACTGATATACATGGTCTTGTATTTCATCTGTAAAATATTCCACATAGGACTGTCCATCTCTAGATTTTTGTTGGAAAGGAATGGTTAAAGTCTGAAAAAGAGTGAGGAGAGAAAGTGAAAAAATTTCTTCAAACACAAAATCTTAATTAAAAACTTTCTGCATGCATTGATTAGTTCGGTAAAAAACCAAAAAAGCTGAAAATAGAAATGGTATGAACACATTTTTGAAAAATTGGAAAAAATACTTGAAATTTGTACAAGGAAAAAATGAATCATATCAGTGAATATTATCAAGTGAAAAAGTTAATATTATCAAGAATATTATCCCCATTTTAATAAAATATATCAATGAATGGATTTTTTTTTTCTTCTTTAAATTGTGAGAATGTGAATCCCAATGTGAGGTTTTTAAATTGTGCGAATATGAATTAGCGATGTGTAATTTTAAATCTCAATAACACGATGTGTAATTTTTAAATTTCGTGGATAAGTATTGCGATATATATTTTTAAATGACGTGAATTCAAATCGCAAAATGTGAAAGATGCACAATTTTTTTTAAAAAAAATTTCTGAATACGAATCCTGAAGGGAGATTTTGAAATAACGCGAATATGCATCGTGATGATGTAATTTTAAATCTAGCGAATATGAATCATGACGTGTACTTTTAAATCAAGTGAATACGAATTGTGATGTGTTCGGTAATAATTATGCAACAGCTATAAAAAAAACTATTTTTGTTTATTTTATTGATTCACATGTTTCATTTCAATAATAAAGATCGCAATATCAGGTGCAGAGTTCATAAATGAACCACTAGAAGCAAATAACTGTTTTAGTCAGCAAACACGTGTAAATGTTATAGTTTTACATTTATATAGAAAGTTACACTTTAAATTTATCAATGTAATTGAAACAGTTATAATTTTTGCATGCATTGCTAACTGCAATATACTACTTAGTGTTAAATGTTGAATTATGATAAAATCTTTTCATCAGCAAATCTTTAATTAATGAGTTAATATAATAGATTATCACAATTAACAGACCAAAAAAATTTATTTAGTCCTAATAAGTACATCATTAAATGTGTAGCTTTTCAGTTTTTATAGGGCTTTCTTAGACTTGATTATAGCAGATACATCTGCTATAACTTAACTATATATTATTACTATACACTTAATACTATACGCTTATCTATACTATACTATATAATACTATACGCTTATACACTTAATACTATTTATCATTTTCAGAAAAAAAAATATTATCAAAAGTATGAGAGCTAAAAACCAAAAAAATTATCAAGTTTGGTGGTTTGCTTGACAAATTGTAAATGTAAAGTAATTTATAGAAAATTATAAAGAACTGCAGTTTATAGACATGTGCGTATATATACAAACACAGGCCAAAGAAAACATTTTAAATATCATTTTTTTTACAATTATAAACCTTTTCTACTTGATCAAATAAAAGATTTATGAGAGAATGTACCACTTTACAAAGATAAACAAATAAAACAATGTCATATTTTCAACAACAGCAAAATTATTAAATGAAATGCTAAAAAATTATTAAAACTATTGTAAAAAACATTTAAATACAAGTTTTTAAAAGGAACAAATCTTTTGTTCTTAATTAAGTGAAAGGTTTATGAAAAGAATGTTACACGGTACAATGAAAAATAAATAAAACAATTTTATAAAATTGTGTTTATTGAATAATGATAACAAAAAAGATCATTTGATTATAGCAACAAAAAAAAAAAAAAAAAATAGAGAGAGAGAGAGAGAGAGAGAGAATAAGATTTAAAATTTAAATAGTTACTTGTTGAAAAATAAAAAAGAATAAATGAAATTATTAACTAAATATAAATATTCAAAAAAAGATGATAAATGATAATAAATAAAACATTTTCAAAAACATATAAGAGTAGCAAAAAGTAATCAAAAAATACCAAAGTATAGCAATAGAAGTATAAGTGACAGGCTTATTATACAACTTCCCAATTTGCATAAGAACAATGGCATTATAATATAAACAAACTTAAACGATTCACTCTAAACGTTTCTTCTAAGATAATGCAAATTTCAAACTGGATGTTAAATGATGTTGCATTCAAAAGCTCTGATCCATAGAGACAGATCCTGCATTCATCCAAACAAGGAAAACTGAATTGAGGAAGAAAAAAAAAACGCAAAACATTGGTTATTAGGGGTGACTATGACACAAAATGAAAAACCCTGAAACTTTCATGTGCAAAAACTCGATAAGATACCAATTTATATACTAAAACTAAACTCAGTGGCGCGACAGCCCATAAAGGGCCAAGGCCTACTGTGCCCATCTCAGTTTTCTTGACCTTGGGCTCTGGGGTGCAGGAGCAGATGTTCCGGTCACGTGGTCAGTCGAACAATTTATATACTATTCATATTTAATATAATTTTTTTAAACTAAGTTTTATAATTAAATTACCTACCAATAAAGAATATCACGCTTTTATTGTAACTAATTTAAGAAAAAACTTAGTAAAGTTCTTACAAGAATCGTGATATTAGATTTCAAATATTAATCGAGATATTGGATTTTAGAACGCAAAAATACGAATCCTAACATTGGATTTTTGAATTGTGTAAATATGAATCGGGATACATGATTTTTAGAGCCAGAGAATACAAATAGCGACATTGGAATTAAAACTCACGGGAACATAAAACGCGATGCACGCTTTAAAATTTCGATTTTTATGCTTTTTAATGATCACATGAATAGGATTCACAATGAATAACTTTTAAATCAGGATAATATAAAAATCGATGTTAGATATTAAAATGGCGTGAATATGAATCAGGATATTAGAGGATTCTGGCATAGCTTCAAACATTAAAAGCTATGAAAATCCAACAAACCAAAAAATAAAAATAAATTTAAAAAAATTGCGGAAGAGTCACGTGCATGAAGACGTCTTGTTAACACGATTTAGCGAAGGTTTCAAAATGTAAATTTTAGATTGTAGAATTTAATTCTTACTTTAAATTGAGAATTTTCATGGAACTATAAGTTTTGATTAGTGGAAATCCGAAAATCAATGTTCGTGAGTTATGCGGAATTCGGCGAAAAAATCACATGCCCTGCTACTAGTTTCTAGACCTGGAGGGAAGATACAAAAAAACAGGAATTCCAAGGTACACCCGGAATACAATCACCACTGGGATATTGACTTAGTAATGTCCGTGAATCAGTGCATTTAATGTCGTTGATCCACAAACTGTTAGAAAATACACATAAAATATGTACCATGATCATCCAAAATCCTGGTTCAGGTTCTAAAAACACTTCTTTAGTTTTTTGAGTATGCAAGGCTTCACAAGCAGAAGTTCCAAAAGTTCTAAAAAATCAAAACCAAATAAATTTTGAAATCAGACAATGATTTTATAAGAAAAAACTTTCTAATGCTAAAATTTTAGAGAAGTACAATATATGCACTTTGAATGTTTTTAAAACCATATTTAGTAATTCTCTACTTTCTGAAATTCTTAAAATAGAAAGTAATAATAAGATATGCCTCCAAGTTTCATCAGAAAAACTAACTGATTTTAATGTTTTTCATCCCACGTTCATCATAGTGTGGAGAAAGATTTTGATTGAGTTTTAGTTTATTCTTTGTTTAAAATTCAATTTCTTTCCCTTATGTCTATACTTATTTTAATTTATTTTTGAGAAAGATTACAAAAATGTCAAGTATTTAACTGACTAGGTATTTCTTAGAAAATCATATTAATAAAGAAAGTCCAACTGGCCGAAGACTTTCCGTGTAGTAAATGGTGACTATTGCACATTAAATCTGTTGAGTCACAAAGTCCACAAGTCTCCATAACAAATTATACCTCTGGGGGTACTGAACTGGAGATTGATCGTTCTCTGGTTCAGGTCAAAATTACGATCGGTGGATGAACGAATGGACATATGAATGGGTCCGCATTATAAACGGTGTGGCGTACGGGTGTGGCGGAAGTCTAGTTCCTAGCCATAGATGGTGCCACTGGATAACATGAACAATCATACCCCTTGCCTTAATGGCCTACGACAGCAACAATAAAGAAAGTATTCTTGCACTATAAAAAAATATTGGCTTTATTTACCTCAACATTTCAGAGTAAAGATCAATTTATTTGATCAATTTTAGAATTATTTACTTCAGTTAATTTAGTTTTAAATATACGTTTTGAAAAGAAAAAAAAAGTAAAAAAATTAAAAATTTTCAGCAGACAACCACTTGGATGATATTGGAAATGAGCAAATTTGGGAAAATATTTTTGTACAATACAATGTTTTTCTACCTAAAAACATAGAAAAAGCTGGTTTGTGTCTACTGCATGAAGGATGATGAGTTAAAATAGAATTTACAATTATAATTAAAATAAGAATGTTTTGTATTAAAACTTACCTTGTTTTTAATAATGTAAGATTTCAATTTTTTTTTTAAAATTTACAGCTTTCTAAAGAAAAATTGATACATTTACAGTCTATCACAGTATTTTTTACATGGTGTTGTCGAGTCAGTAATCATTGAAATATTCAACTCCGAACTTTTCTCTGAGTTATACTTTAGTAAAATTTTTACACAATAGGGAAAAATTTATGTTATTTAATAAATGTTAATTTTAAGTTATATAATTTAAATAACCAAAGTCGAAGGTCAGAGTTGAGCAAATCTTTCACATCTGGACAACAAAATTATGGATATCAAATTTGGTTATAGTCATATTTTATCCAGTAGTTTTTTATTTTTTAAAACACATTTAACATTTGTAATTAGTTTATAGTAATATGGTACAATAAAAGTTACATTAATACTTAAAAATTAAAATTATAACACTTTACTAAATGAAAAAAAAAAAGCAAACTAAAATCACTTACTCAGTAAATTTAATTATAGCTTCACATAGCCCAACAGCTTTGATTTGTGTGTTCAATTCCACTTCAGTAGGATAAAAATATAAAATTTTATTCTGTTCCTATGAAAAAAAATTTTTTTTTTCAAGTTAAAGCTTTACAATTTATTAAAAAAAAATTTGGGAAATCACCAAATAAATAGATAGGTGCACTAGTTCTTAAAATGAAAACAATAAAAATATATTTAAGGCTTCAATATTTAAAATTTTTTTTTATTTAATATTTAAATAAAGGAATATTTTTAAATATCAATTGTTCTAAGCTTAACAGTTCTTGAATTACTTGAATCAGAACTGAGCATAAAGGGATATTTCCAAATAGGTACCTGTTCATGCCAACTACAATCACCAAGGTGCCAAAGGTGTTTCAAATATATAAAAAATTAAAATACAGTACAGAACCCGTTATCCGGAAATCAGTAAACCGGAAAACCAAAAAACCGGAACGAAATTCAATAAATTTTCTCCCCATTTTTCAAAAAAAAAAATAATTTTTTTTTTCCTCATAGGATTTTAGGATTTTTCTTTCTATTTTGAAAGATCTTACCATCATTTTGGAAATAATCATTAGTGTATTATTTCATCGTTTTTCTTCTTTTTAAGATTATTTTCAAATATTTTTTTTTAGTTGGGTTTAACAGTAAAAAAAAACGGCTTTTTGTAGCGATTCAGAAAACCGGAAAAATCAGTTATCCGGAATAGCGATGGTCCTGATTGTTCCGGATAATAGGTTCCCTACTGTATATATATAAATATATAGAGGTATGCCAGCATGTGGCTATGAGTAATACCTCTAAAGTTGGTTTTCTTCTCTGATATATATATATATATATATATATATTAGTTTCTCGCTGGCCATTGCCTAACGGTTGCTAAAATTTGGTGATTATTTTATTGGTTCTGGTACCAATATAGTAATCTTACGAAACATGAGTCTATTTATTACAAGCGAACTAAATATTCCATTTTCCAATAGTTCACTTTTTCAAAACGTTCGTTAAATATTTTCAACTGACAACAACTAATAAAAAGTTCCACATTTTCAACATAACTTTGAAATTATTAGAAAATTTGCACAAAAAATTTGTAAAACATGAGATACAAATAAAAATATCACACAATGAAATAAAGTTGAAATGCAAAATACAAAGCTATCCTAAAAAAAGCCATTATATGACTTTTTGGAATTCATTCCAAATACAAGAACAAAGCAGTGACACTTTATCATTTGCATTCAACACAAGAAGAATGTCCTTCTTTCCCTTCATATTCATAACTGAAAAGAATGATATATCACCGATAACATTTGTATAGATCTAGTCAAAACAACAGTTTATTAAGGAAGATTCCCACTACGGATATCAGGGTGCGTAGCCAAATTTTTCAACAAAAATAAGCACCTTTTAAGTAATTTTTAAGCACTCAAAAAATATTTTTAAGCACTACATACATTAACAAAATGCAATATAATTTTTAAAGACTTTACATGAGCATGATAAAATAACCAGTTTCTGACAAAGAACTCTTATCTTGATTATATTAACCATTATAAAAAGATCAAGAGGTTTTTCGGTTCGATATCTGAGGGTTGAAAATTAGGCCTGAAATTGAGAATATCTTGCAAAATGCAGCAGAGTTGCATATGAGAGTACAAGAATCTCACTGAGCCCAGCTCAATATATTTACATATGAACGAACCCACAAGTATTTCATCAAACATGTAAAATGATTGGCGCTTTCATGCGCTAAGGACCGACGGGATGTCGAAACAGATTGTGGTTGAATTTATTGTGAAAACCTTGAATAGAACAATGTGAAAAGTACGCTTTTGAATAATACAGGTCAAAAATTAACTTGGTAAAGAAAAAAAAATCTCATTTTCAAAAAGGGAAAATTAAGCACTTTTTAAAAACACCCATTAAGAAAAGCCCTTTTAAAAAATTAAATCAAGAATAAGCACCTTTAAGCACTTTTTAAAAACGCTACGCACCATGGATACAAATTGAGCAAAGTGCAATTTACAAGATGTCACTTTTGTGTATAATAAAAATACATTTATGTAATAATAGGTGTTTTTTTCCAAGGCTCTTCTTAACATATTTAACGGGAATATTTCTATATCGTCATCCACACCAAAGTAATCACCAAGTCCTAGACTTCAGTGGCCTGTGAGAAGCTAAAAAAATATCACAGAAAGGTATCAACCACTACACGTTTTTTTAAAAAAAATTGCAAGTTAAAAATCTAATTAGCGCTTTGGCAACTGCAGTTGTCACAATAGATCCCAACATGGAAATACATCTTATTTAACACTTATTATATAAGAAAACTGGCATATAGTGTTTAACCTGAGGATATTTACATATACATATCTGTACATGCCAATTACCATAGCCTAAACGGGGATATTTCTGTATCGTGATCTGACACGCCAACTGCAATTGCCAAGGCGCCAAATTGATTTCAAATGGAAAAAAAAAAATTTTAAAAAGAAGAAGATGTTTGTCCGGAGATGGTTATGAGTTATACCTTCTGTGATTTTTTTTTAGTTTCTCCAGGGATGCCACAAGATTTGGCTATAATTCTGCCACAGATCATGATACGAAATTTCTCCCTCGTTAAATACAAACAACAACTGACAGACGCAAAAAATGCCAACCTTGTTTATGAATTGATTTAAGTTTTCATAATAACATCAACATACTGAAAACTAACTTCAAGTTGAATATTCTCTAGTAAATAATATTAACTTTCCTTTTAATTTAAAAAAAACAAAAACAGTAGAGCTTAGCTCCGATTTAAAGTGTCTCGTAAAGCATTTTTCTACTAACATTACACTTTGGTAGATAGTGCCAAGTAACATGTCCCTTGGAATTTTAATTAACTACCTCTTTTGAAGCTGTTACGTAAGTTCTGAAACAAGGCCCAAACCAATAAATTTAAAAAGTAAATGCTTGAAAAAAATTTCAATTCTGAGTAATGAAATTTTAAAGTTATTGTACATGTCATACGACGAAAAATTTATAATAAGAAATATAAGAAAAACTAACGTCATCTTCTGTGTGACTATATGATGAGTTAAATACGAAGAAGTTTAACAATGATATTGGTGTTTTTGAAGACATATTTCTTAATATTATTAAGCATTAAGAATGTAGTTTGTATGAAAAAGCAGTATTTTTAATGTTTAAAATAATTTATGTCAGAAATAATAGCTATCCTTTTTACTCAGATTCATTTGTTTACTTTTTTATAAAAATCTATTTTGGGATGTTGCCACTTTACGTAATAATAAAGAAGGAAGGATATTTGGTCAATTTAGGAATTGGTAACTGGGCGGAGTGAGCTNAAAACATTTTCGCCTAATTTCTTTTTTAAACACAAATCTCCTCTTTTCCAGTGTCTGTTTACGAAATAAATGTAAACAGAATCCATCAATGAACCAATTGTTTCATCACACCAAATACGAGATTACGCGAGAACACAGACAGGCGTGCACAAAATTATTGAAATTTTTATTTTAATTCACAATAAATGCGATAACTTCCCAAATTCTTGCAACCATGAGTGATAGTCAACAGCCAATCACAATGCGAAAAGCCCATTGATCCGACGTTATCATTTCCTTGTTGCCATTCTGTAGTAGAAACTATGGTTTAAAATTAGTTACCAATTCCTTAAAAGATAGAGACCCAAGAAGGAAGAGAGTCTGCTTCTTTCTGACTTGAGCTTAACAGAAATAGGTAGTCAAAACCTTATCGAATCTTTATAACTTCTTCGATTTGTACAAAAGATACTAATTTGAAATTAAATAGATACGAAAAAATTCAAATATTAATTATGACTGTGGTTAGGAATTGTTTAATGAAGGCAGTTTTTAAGAGGGCCTTGCTTGCATCAAACACTGGAGCCAATCTATTTTCAACTTCATCCAATTATCGAAAAGTTTTCACTCTTCAAGATTTATCTGAATTTAATGAAACAGTACTTAAAAGTGAACTTCCTGTTGTAGTTGATTTTAAAGCAAGGTACTAATAATTTCGAAGCAGATATTTCCGTATCGTGATCTACCTCACCAACTTCAATCGCCCGGGCTCCAAGCGGATTTTAAACTTGTAAATTTAAATAAATAACGTGCTGAAGTTTGCCAGGCTAATTATGCACTTCGAGGAGAGATTTCCATATCCGGGCAGTGGTCTGCGAGAAACTAAAGGAAAAAAAAATCACAGAAAAGTACCAACCTGAAAGGTGTAACTTGTAGCCATCCCCAGTCACACGTCTATATGTTTTTTTTTTTTAATTTGCAAGTTTCGAATCCAGGCAAAATAATCGCCAAGTCTGGGCAGTGGCATGCAAGCAACTAAAAAAAAACATCACAGAAAGGGACCAACTCGAAAGGTATAACTCGTAGCCACCCCAGGTCAAATATCTACAGGTTTTTTTTAAAAAAAATTGCAAGTTAAAAATCTATTTGGCACCTTTACGATTGTAGTTGGCATGACAGATCAGGATATGGAAATATTCCCCGACGGATTACGATACCGAAATGACCCCACTTTTTGTTCCCCTTCTGCTATGTTTTTTTAATTTTTTTAGTTCTTCAAGGATCATGTTAAGACTTGGCGATAATTCAGATCACAGTACGGAAATCTTCCCATTTTTTGGTGATTTTCCTAGCTTAAGCTTTTTTAAGGCATCTTGTTAAGTCATATACTTCCTATTTTATTTTTTTGGTTTGATGTCAATTATTTTGCAGGGGTCTAAATTTAATTCCTTAGTTAAATTCACACTTTTTATAAATTTGTTTTAAAATTAGTGTAATTCAGAAATTTTAAAAATGTTGCGTGTCATAATAATAACTTATTAAAAATATTGGGATTTTAAAAATGATGTCGAAATGAATGGAAAAAGGACAAGTAATTGTAATAACTGCCAAAAAAGCAATTGAAAATTAATGTGGACTTAAGCTAGAATTGTCGTGAATCAAGCATGTGAAAAAGTGATTACTAAAATATGAAATCCACTAGCCATAACATTGTATTAATTACATCAGAATTGAAATAATCATGAGGAAATAGTCAAGAAACTGCTAACAGCTGCCCGAAAAAATTAGCCATAAACGACGTGGATTTTTGATACAAAACAAATGAAATAAAATAAAAATATGACCACCGAAGCCGACGTCTTCTTGGATTTTTGATATAAATTGAGTATGTCAAAATGTGGCTCCTTAAATCGAAAAACTTGCTTGTCATAATAACATAGTATAAAATTATCATAATAAGAAAAAACAAGTGGAAAAGGCAGGAAACGATGCGGATTTATGATGGATTCGTAGCAAATCGACTGCCTTAAAAACTGATAACTCAAATTCGAAATTCACATGTCAAAATAATGTAATATACATAGGAGTGTGAAAAACCAGGTGTAAAAGGCCAAAAACATGATAAATAACAGCCGAAAAAACTATCACGAAGCGACGTCAATTATGATGGAATGGTTGCAAATCAAACGCCTTAAGAAGTAATAACACAAATTCGGACGTTGTATTAAATCTTTTAAAGATATCGGAGAAGAAAGAAAAACCATGTGCAAAAGGCAAAAAAACTTATTACTTACAGCCGAAAGAAGTATTGGGTTATCCGAAACATTCGTGCCGATACATTAACTAGCATTATGGAATCGACACGAACATTTCGAACGACCCAATATCATTAGAAGGTGGGAAATTACAATGGAATCGATTGTTGTGATAAAAATATTGGATTTTTAAAAATCATGTTATAGAGGCTGATAAAATAATGAATAATTGCCGAAAAACCTTTCATAAAACGAAAAGAAATTGCGATAGAATCAAAAGCATCAAATAGTGATAACTCAAATTTGAATTTCGACCGTCCTACTTAACATATCGGAATTTAAAAAAACCGCATAAAAAGGCTGAGAAATTATTAATAACTTTCGAAAAGCAATCATCAAATGCAATGAAATTGCAATAAAATTGTTAGGAATCAAACACGCCAAAAAGTGATAACTCAAGCTCGAAATTCGTATATCATAACATCATATTAAAAAATATCAGCTTTAAAAATGTATAGCTTTTGAAAAAATTATCATCAAACGACATGAAATTACGATGGAATTGTCAGGAATCGAGCACATTAAATAGTGATAATTCAAATTTCGAACGTGGCTATAACATTGTATTAACGATACGATACTAAGTAAATAGCTGATTTTATTTCATTTATTCTATTAATTTTAAATATTTTTTTCCAGCTGGTGTGGACCATGCAAAATGTTAGAACCTAGGCTTGAAACTGTAGTTGCAAAAAATGCTGACAAAGTTCACTTAGTTAAAGTTGATATTGATACTTTTCAAGATCTTGCTATGGAATATGAGGTAAGAAAAGTAATTGGTTAACATTAAAAAAAATTAATTAGTGATGCAATATACTTTGCGACTTTACAGAAATAAAGTACCAAAAAATAGTTCTCAAATTCAGAAAGTTCTTAAACAGCATATGTGGATAAGAGTATTATTTGAAAAAATTTCCTTGCACACATGTTAGGATTATTTATTATTAATTAGCCTGTTATGAATTAGCACATTAAATAAATTGGTACAAGCATATTTTTTAGTTTTGGTATTTAAAATTTTTTTTTTTTTTTTAGTTTTTTTCATACAATTATCTAGACAAAAATAAAATATTTTTTGTTAAAAAAAATCATAAATCTTTTAAATGATAACATGATTCATTAAAAGTGAAAGATGAAGAGGAAATTTCAGGTATTGAAAAGAAAATTGATGTTTAACAGAAATATTTGTCATTAAACAAAATTTTTATGTGATGGAGGTGCCTGAATTGTATGATAAGAGTTAAGATTTGAAAAAAAGAAATCCATTTAATTTGTGTGTTTAAAAAGTTCCTAATACTTATCAATTAAAATTTCTTGAACAAAAAATACATTTCTAATATAAAGACATTTTTGAAAAGAAGTCAGTCATAGAGTATTTTTATGCTGTATTTTTTTTTCAAAATAAGTGCGCATATAACTTAAATATTATTTTTACACTCACAAATGACATTAAAACACATAGTTAAAGTTTTAAAATTTGATGGTAGAGTTTTGTTTCTGAATTGAAAATATCTTAATGTAGTGCCACAACTGACTGTGTGACACTTTGTGCCAAAGTAACGGAGGGAGGTCTAAAAATATTAAAAAAAAGTGCGACATTATTAATTAACATTGAGAAAGTGGGTAAATTATTGAGGGCAGCTTAAGGAATCGCGTTTTTCTACTCTATTATAATCAAAAATAACTGAAAGAAATAAGACATTAAATGTGACATGCCCTAGATCTACCCTCTACTTCATATAAACAATCACATGTATCCCATTGAACAAAAAGTGGCTAATAATATACTGAATTAATATATAAAATATTTTTCCATTTATTTCAGGTATGACAAGTTTCTTTCACATTGGAAAAAAATATCCCAGAAAAAATTGGTTTCTCCCAAGTGGAAGAAACATTTTCTAAAAAGATATAATATAAAATACTTAAATATTCCTTTCAAGATGTTTATAATCTCAATCTAGTTTAAATAACAGTATTAACTTCTTAAGATATTCAATATGTAATTTTTAATTAAATAAAAACTTAAAAGCAACAGTTACTAAGAAATATTAAAGTAAAAAAATTTGAGTTAAACTATTCGTAGTTCTTCAATATTTCATATATAAAGAACTATGGAGATATCAAGATCAAATTTTATTAATACTACTTATTTAATAAATTACATGCTAAACATATACTCTACTACTATTAATCACACATTTTATTTCCAATGAAAAACAGGATGTTAAATTTTATTTCGAATTTACGACTGTTAACTAACATGATTTATACATTTTAAAATTCTGTATAAAACTGAAATAAATGTGAAAAAAAATTATTTTAAAAAAAAAATTAAATGTGAACAACTTAAACTTATTTCTTTTTGTATTAAATTTAATTTGTTTAAATTTAAGTATTTTTAAACAATTGTATTAGTCATTATTTTTAGTTTCTTCCATTTTGTCCAGTTTTTTTCATTTTCTTCCAGTATCCTGAAAGAAATAAGTTTCTTTCTGACAAAATGGCAACCCTAATGAAATAACTTGTAATAATACAAAGAAAGAAATATCAAACCACTGGTATGCCTCAAAATTTTTTTATGCTTTTGGTTTTTTAATTTTTAAAGCGTGCATCAAGGAATTATTATGTCAAAGGGAAGGAAAGGAGTCCAAAAATATTTTTAAAAAAGTTTAACATCTTTTATGGAGGGCCATTAGAAAATCTAAATCTGTATAAATATAGAATATCTGAATGAATATATGTAGTATGTTCATTATGGGGAATGAACTTCAAACAATGGTGACAAACGTGAAGTGCTCAAAATAGAATAAGAACTGCAATTGTACAGAAACTAGCAACGCCTCCTAGCGAGAGAATATAGAGACACTCAGAGAGAGAGCGGAGGTTACGGTAAGAGACAGCAGTCGAATGATAAGCTTCCTGCCATGCAGCGCACATCATCTTTTCTTCTTTTGTTATATTGATGTGAATGTAGTATGTGTGTGTACTTCTATAGTCATGTTGTTATAGAAACCTCTATGTATTTTAAATTATAGTTTCTATTGACACATTTGTAAAAGTTTCATTTTACTTTTTTAGCTAAAACAATAATTTTTTTCTTCTATTTGTTATAGGTTGAAAGTGTTCCTTGTGTCATAGGTTTCAAAAATGGCAAAGTGCAGAAGAACTTCATAGGTTTACAAGATGAAGATAAAATCGAAAGTTTTGTGAATGAATTAATTGGCAGCTAAATAATTTGTAACAAATATTTTCATATTTAGTATATACTTCGAATCGCATATATTTTTTGTAAATTTTACTTTGTGATGAGAACTAGTTAAAATTCTTCTATAAAGTTAATAAATAAATTAGTTTTACATTGTTACTTCAATTTTTTTAGCATTTTGTTCATACAACATTATGTTGTCTTTTTTTTTAATATCAAATATTGGTTTAAACCTACTAAAGATGAGAAAATTATAAAAGAAATGTGAAACAGTTCTATCGCATAACATTTAAATTCCATATAACTGATTAGATAATTAAAGTTTAATTTTTGGTATAAATTTTTTTTTTCTCTTTAAAAATTGCATAGACGAATCAATACTCCAATTTTAGTTAGATTCATTAATGTGGAGCTAGATTTTTTAGTTTTTGTGGGTATAAATCGGTGAGCATGCCTGATTTGAAGAGTCATTCAAAATTGTATCTGCAAAAACAAAATGACTTATTTATTGTTAAGCAAAGAGTTTTCCTATTAAAGAACATACCGTGCATCTCATAAACAACAAAGAATTTGAAAAATCATTTAAAGTGGAAGGGAAGGTCATTGAAATGAACAGTTTGATTATTTTGCTTAGGAAAACAAGACATTTGTTCTAAGTTTCAAAATTAGCAGCATTATGTGTCGAATAACTAACTAAAAAAGTAAAGAAAAAAAATTAAACTAACCATCATTTGCAGCAAACAACGTGTAGGGTTCATAGTTGTCTTAATTTTCCTGGTAAAAGATATTTTGTCCTGATTTTTATCTTTTTGCCCTGTTATTCCCGATTCTTTTATGTGTTCAGAATTTCTCTTTTTCTAAGAATACAAATGCAGATTTTTTAAAAATTTGGATTTTTGATCCAGTATTTTTTTTATTTTAATTAATAATGCTAGTAGAAAACACAGAATTCAATGGCATATGATATAGCCTTGCCTGCATTCATCGTTTAACCCCCTGGCGGTTTAGCAAATGAGCAAAACTGGGAGAATGTTCCTCCCCGATTCACTATTTCCCTATCTAATCACATGGAAAAACCGGTTTTTGCTATGCAGAGAAGACTGCAGGTTAATGTACAACTTTTTACGTACAGAACCATCAGTGGATTTAACCTGTTTGGGATTTCAGTCATTCTACTAAAAAGAAACTCAATTAACAATTTTATAGTATCAAATTTTTAGGGTGATGAATTCAGGGGTCATAAGTTTATTTCTTCTTGCAAGCAAATGTAGAAACAAATCTTGTTGGGGTGGACTTTTGCTGTTACATAATTATTCATTTGTCTCTTTCATTTGATTTTAACAATGAGCGATTCTGACCAACAATGCAGTAATCATGCCTTAGAGTTTTTAAATGATGAATTAAGGGGTCATTCACAGAAATTACTTTTGCAAAAAAATTTTACATGGCATATTTACTGTGTTTTCATTTTGAGATGATTGAAATTTTACTTAATTATTTGATTAAGGTAATCTTGAGCTTGATGACAAATTTGAAATAACTAGGTGGCTCTCTACCCTATTTGTTCCCCGCTCGTGATTGTAACTCATTCATCATCGTTTTTTTTTCTTCTTAAAAATCAATTAAGATATCATTTTGTTTAAAAAATATATACTTACTATAACTTTATGTAAGCACCTTTTGTTTATCGAGCAAACTTAAAAAACACTTGGTTTTGAAAAATAATCAATTATACTTGGAAAAAAAATATTTAAACTTAGAAATACAGAATGTGCAACATAATAAGAAGCAATAAATGAGAAGTGGACAAAAATATAGAAACACTTCTATACTAACACTATATTAAAAAAATTTCTATTAGCAAATGTTTTGGAAGATTTGAAATATCATGCTTGAAACTTTTAGAAATGCTGTCCCATACAAAATGAGAGGAAGTTACCTAATATACAGATATAAAATACTTATATATCTATACAAATAGCAGTTCAAATTAGAAAGAGCTCTTTTGAGTTTTTTATACTATTAAAAATTTTGATGCAAGCATTAAAACTGATAAGATATTAGTTATATCTTATATTTTGATCGCTTATTTTTTATTTTATTTATCCTTTTTTATTAAACTAATTCGTCAAGTCAAGTCAATGAATTCATCAAGTTTTTAAGCACGAACTTATAAAATGAAGATCGCAAGATAAATAAATTTTTCTACAATAATAGATAAATAGTAGCAACAAAAAAAAATTTCAATAAGTTCACAAATGAAAATTGCATTACTGCAGAACAAATCACATGTTGTTTTTTTACTTAATTATTTCGAATTTTTCAATTCCCAAATTCAGTGTTTCCACTCCATTTTTTTTTATTTTTTTAAATTCAAGGACCTAAAATCAAATTTTTAAGTTCCTATTCAGTAACATATTCCTATTCAGTATGCTAAAATACATGTCAACCAGATTTTATAATTACGTAGAAGCAGAAATAGTATATTTTTAAAGCACAATGCTTGGTTGACAGAACAATTTTATTTATTAAATTTATCAAGTTTACATTGTTTAATAGTTGTAGATTGTTTAATATGCATTGTTTAATAGTTGTAGATTGTTTAATATGCATAGCCTACAGCTTCCAATGCAAATGTCTGATAGTTATTAGATTAAATATATTATTAATGACTGATAGTTGTATATAGATTAGAATATTGCTGTTTCAAGTCACTTTGGAAACTATAAAATATTTTTCAATTCACATTGGATACTTGTCAACTTTTAAAAACTGGTATCGGACAGTGAAACTTTTCATGAAATTAAATGAATCAAGTTAGAATTGAAAAATAATATTACATGAAACAAGCATTGTAAATAACTGATAGAATTTATTATGTAACTGTACAGTTATTGAAATACAAAGAATCTTTATATGAATCATGATATGCCATGAGTGAGTCGAAATTATATGAAACCTGTAATTAGTCTTGTAAATCATGTATCACAATGTGCGATTTGCAAATTGAAATTGAATTGCAATATATATTTCCAAAATAGGGACAATATGAATAGCAAATGATACAATTCGAAAAACGCACGAACTAACAAGTAGTAAATCAGGATACATAAATGACTGAATCCTGTTGGATGATTCGTTAATCACCGTAATACGAAACTCGACGCGAGATTCGTTAATAATTTTCATGCAAATAGCGATGCTTATATTGGTAATCACTATAATGCAATTCGTGATTCGATAAGCACTTAATTGAAAATAGCCATACGTAATTTATAAATCATTTTGAGAAGAATCGCGATTAGTGATTCTTAAATCTCTTTCATGCAAGTCGCAATGCATAATTCTTAAATCCTTCTAATACAATTCCTAATGCGTGATTCGTAAACCACTTGAATGAGAATTGCTATGCATGATTTGGAGAGAACTTAAATCAGTGTCTGAATCGGAAATCACATTTGCGATGTGTGATTGAGAAATTACTTTAAAAATGAATCACAATGTGATTTATAAAACACCTTATATGAATCACGATGCGACTTGTTAATCACTTCCATGCGATTCGTAGAGCAATGTATATGAACTCCGATGGGTAAATAGTTAATCACTTTAATGCGAATTACAATGTTTATTTATAATTCACGACATCTGGAGAACTAAATTTTACTTATTAGCAGTAAAAAATTGGAACAATTAGAAGCCTTCTAAATATCAGAGAGATGAATAATAATCTGGCATGAGAAACCTAGAAAAGACAAATTTCGCATCTTTTTCAAGCATTAAAAAGGGTATCTATCATAAATTACTAGATTTTTGGTATAGAAAAGGGGAAAAAATATCAAAATTACGCTAGCCCCCTCCTTTCCATATTTATTCGATCGTTTTTTCTCATATATTTTTCCACACACCTTTGTGATTTTAAGTCTTTTAGTTTTTGTGCAACAAGGAAAACTTATATAATGTAAAGCATAAAAAAAGGTGTGAAAAAAATTCACGAAAAAAGCACTTAAAAATTACAAATTAGAATTTCAAAAAAAAAAAAAAAAAAAAAAAAAAAAAAAAAAAAAAAAANAAAAAAAAAAAAAAAAAAAAAAAAAAAAATGCGGCATCCAGACGGATTTGGATATTTTCTACAAGTTTAACAGTCGATCGAATTAATAATCGAATGTTAATTTTTTTTTATTCCATTATACTCCCTGTACATCTTTTCGTCGTCTATGTCTTATAGTTTTATCTCAGCAAAATAAAATGTAACATTAAGTTGTACACCCAAAACAGTGGCGGGCCTTATGATTTTTTACGAAATATTAATATGAACAATATTAACTAATCGATGCTAGTTATTTTTGTCATGCATTAGTCCTCTGTAAAAAGTATTCATGCATTAATTTGAAATTATCATGAGTTGTTCAGTATCATTGGTGTCAACCGGAGAACCAATTTCTGAGGAGGACGAAATTAGATTACAATCACGATAAAATTTTTACACGTAAGAAAAAAAAATTCTTATATGCAATTTTCATGTGATTTGTTTGTTTTATCTCTTACATGTTTTTAACTTTAAGGAATTAAAATCGATAATAATCCACGAAAATTTTCATTTTTTACTTCTTATTCGAATTCTTATTGAAAAGTACTGGCACTTGCGATAATCAGGGTAAAGGTGTGGGGGTGTAAAGAGTGGAGAATTATGACCTTCAGACCTGTTCGATTTATCGACTAAATACATATTTTATTATTCTATAATAATATACTTTATTATTCTTTTGCGATAAAATTTACTTTTACTTCACTTAAGTAGAGTTTTTTATTTGGCCTTTTTAAAAAGAAATCTGGTATACTGTTCCGAAAATTGACCCAATTTTCTTGAAAAATGATTTTTTCTTTGGCCTACAATGAAACTTGCAGCATGGCGCAATCAAAGGAAAAAATAATATAAGACGTTGCAAATTTTTTAGTCAAAATGGCTAGGTGTGCAACCAAAAAAAAAAAAAAACTAANAAAAAAAAAAAAAAAAAAAAATACTTTTTATAACTTTCCAATGAACAGTATTATCTGACAAACTTTTTCACTAATATTGAAATTCCGCGAGATATTTTCTAGATTTCCAAGTAGAATAGAACTTCTCTCTTCTTTTTTCCATCTTATTTGATTTTTCGAACTTAATCCTTTTTCGGAACACCAGGTAATATATAGCCTGGGGAATCACATTGTCCTTATATAGTGTTAACCAGTCACGAGAACTCCTGACACCAGACTGTTGGCAAGTATGAAGGGAATTTATTTTCAGTAGGGTTGTAAAGTCAATTGTTTTACATTAAATTGAAAGAATCTTGTCAGTGAAATATTTCTCATTAGAAATGAGTTTTATTCTTGGTTCTATAGCATCAGACTTTCAGTCCTGAAGAGTTCTTATGATATCTAGACAGTAATTGTCAAGCCTATCAGTATTTTGGAATAAATCTAGATAAAACAACATAATTCACGCTAAGCAATTAAAAACAATACAGGAAAAAACTTTAAAATTGTGAATGTAAGTTTTGTAACAAATTTAGGACATTTTTTTTTTACCTCATTTCTTGAGAATCACCTTCATACTTTGTTAGGTTCCCTACTCATCTATCAGTCAAAGCTATGTGTTAACTTTTCTTTTCTGGAAAACTATAAAAACTGGTAGTAAAAATGTTTAAATTCCAACTTTTATTCGGCAGAAACAAACTAACCTTAATTACTTTTTACTTAACAGTTATCTGAATAAAAGTTTATGAAATTTCAATTGTAAACATAATATAGTCATTGGTGTGCAGCAAAAAATACTTTTTATAGCTTTCCAATCAACAGTATTATCTGTTAACAAACTTTTTCACTCATTTTGAAATTGATTAATTGGATGTGAAAAAAAATAGGGTAGATTTTTACTAGTGACAATTGTGGGCTACACGTACAGTTTTGATACATTATGCAAAAGCCAGAAAGTCAAAAAATGAAATGCAAAATATAAACACTTAGAGCTAACACAGTAAAAATTATGCAAAAGCCTTAGTTTAATGATTTTTTTATACCATTATTATTAATTACTTAAACACTCAACATTAATTTCCATAATTCTTAGCATTAAAATTTTTTTTTTTCAAAATATTTTCATATTATGTTAATATTTAGCTGATTTTGCTTTGCATATGAAATTTTTATCAAAATTCTGTTCATAACAGTTACCAGATAAATTACTATTCATCAGACAATGAGCAAAATTTGGTAAGCTTTTTTCTTTTGGTTTTTACTTAAGAGAAAATTCTCTTTCGCTTTGCATTTCAATGCAGAATGCATAAGTTCCCTGACATAACATATGAAATATTTTTTTAAAACTATTTTTAATACAATCAATTTTTTAGTTACTCAATGTAGAAATATTTTTGCCATTAACAATTCTTGATAAAAAAAAAAGTTTCTTTTTTAATTTTTTCAAAAATTACAGAGAAATTTGAAAAGATACAGGTAAATGGGAGATAATCATAGAATACCGGAGTCTCCTTTAAAAAAAGCATGAGACTTGAGAGGTATGCTAACAGTATTTTGTTTATTATGGATAGATAGTAGCCCTGGCTATTTTTGCCTCTTCAATCATTTTGTGTTAAAAAAGGCTAATGCAAAACTACTCATTGACATATTCCCACTCACAGACAATTTGCTTGTGAATGAAATTTTCAGAGCTGTGAAGTGATAGTTCAAGCATTTGTATGCATGCACCAAAACCACCCCTTCCTATTTACATATGCTGATGCAAAAAAAAAAAAAAAAAAGATAAGATACTTTTTGATAAGCTCAAAAATTACCAAAAAAAAATTTCTTTTTCACTATATTGTCATGCGCAGAAGTTTAAGGCCAGCCATCCTTTTCATGATCAAGGTTTCATTGCAGGTTATATAGGATAATAAAGCAAACTCATTGGTTAAATGTGTTAAAATAGTACTCCTACTGTAATTGGTGTCTTTTCATAGTCTGCTTAATATTTTTCCAGAAGATAGCGCAACCATCCTTCTATTATTTTCTTTTTTAATCGTTGTTGAACAGCCGACCCAATTTTGGGTTTACGACTCCTAATGTTCAACTCTGTAAGCCTTGTAATTTAGAACCCAATGCAAAAGACTAGGGAACTCTGGGATCAAGTATTGGGAGAAATTTTGTCTTCGTAATTTGACAGAGGACTTTTTGATGGAACTAACCCGTTATTTGGAGAGGAAAACATCCGACGGTTAGCCTAGCGGCAAGGGGAATCTAACCCATGATCAGTCTACCACTGAGGATATTTTACGTCAGCATTGTGGACGCTACGAGCAGGAGCGGAATTCGAATCGACCTGCCATTGCTCGGATTCGAACCCGGTTCACCTCATTGGATAGCAAACGCTCTATGGCTTCTAATATAATTACTAAGAGCACTCTGTGTTTTCAAGAAATGTTAAGTTCACATATAGTTTGTCTTGCTCACATGCACACTTACTTATTTCAGATTCAGAAAAGTTAGATTTATTAAGTGCCACAATTTCTGCGCTTTCAGCAACCACTCAAAATCCAATAGAATAATTACACCACATTATCTACCTCTAAATTCATGATAGAACTGAATTTAAACAAATCAGGGACAATTATTTATGACAACTGAATGCATCTCATGCAAGATGACGAAATAATCTGCACAAATGATGCAATGTATTAAAAAAACTGAAAATTCCCAACTGGTCTTCCACTTTTGCACATTAGTCTATTAGAGTGTGGTGGTTGGTTGTGTCAGGAGACAATTGACAGAGTTTACACTAATTTAGTATTTATTTTACATTTAAAATATTAAGTAAAAAGAAGAGTAATATAAATGAGAGCAGCACGTCATGCTACAGAGACAGTTAGGATTCTTCTGGCGAATGAGAAGTAAGAGACAGTTACTTATCGTAAATGTCGCGGTTACGATTAATTGAGTTGCCGCAAGAGTAAAACTTATAAAGTGCTTAAGCCTGTATTTTTCAGAAATAGCTTATTTTTTTCTTTGTTGTTAATTGAAAATTTGCACTTGAAAAATTTATACATAATTTTTAATGGGTGTGTAAGATTAAAAAAATTATTATTATTATTTTTAATTACATCCATCACTTGCTCTCTCGAGCATGAGCAGTCTAATATAACAAAGAAATATCTCCAGAGGCAGAGAGCGTCCTGATTAAAAAAAAATCAATAAATAAAAAGTGAACAGATTAAAAAAATAAAAAGTGAACAAAACTGAGAGCTCAATAATCTTGCAATAATTTTACTGAAATTTCATTTACAAAAATATGATGAACATATGAGAAAAATAAAAATGTACAGCACAAGGTTCAATGATTTAGATATTTTTTTTTTTTTTACATAAACAAAACACAAATTGTTCAGCTGTATCAATGTACTACAGTCTTTATGGAGACGTGTATTATGAAAAAGGCAAACATGCAAAGTATTTCATTTACCTACTTTTTTTTAAAGACTAACAAGGAAAATACCAGAAGTGTCATTCTATAATCATAAAATTGGAATTATTATTTTATCTACTTCACTTTAGTTATAAAATTTAACTTTTTAAATATATAAGATTTAACAAAACAAAAAACTCAGTTTTCACTAAAAAAGTGAAAAAAGTTAGCTACTTAGATGACGTTTAATACATTTTTGAGAAATTATCTATTTTAAAGTAGCTATTGACTTATTTTTTTTAATCAGTTTCGTAAATAAACGATGCAATGTTAAAAAAAAATTTTTTTTGTATTATTATTGCAAATTTTGAGAAATTAATTTTCATTGTTAGTACTAATAAGAAAATAAGTCAAAAATCCTAAGTGATTATTAGAATTGCTTTCATTTAAAGAAGATGTTTTCATTTTAAATTATTTTTTTACACATAAGTTATGAACCTTACTTTTTAGTTTAAAATGTATTTTATAGCAGAAATTTGAGAATTGTGCAAAATTTGAAAACATTTCTATCTTAAAAACCCTTTAATAAGTTTTTTATATTTCTCAATTATCTTCTAATAAATAAATGCTGCCAGCATTCTTAAGAGAAAAGTTGAAGTTTTAAATAACCATCTCTAAATTTAAAAAAAAATTGTTTCACATGTAAATTTATACCCTTAAAAGCTATCAGTATAAGAAAATTCAGCTTGATTGACCCGTGACACTTTGGATACCTTGCTTGTAACTTTCTTTTTTTTTTCATTTTTAAGTAAAGTAATTATTTATTTTTTACAAAATACTATATAAAAGTTAACAACATTACTATATTTAATACAGAAAAACTTAAGTTTTTTTTAAAAAGAATCAAAAACTCAATACATATCAACTATATTACAAAAATTTAAAACTTTGACACACAAAAATATTCTATGTTAATTTACATAACAATGAATAAATTACGGTGATTCAAGTCAACAATTAGAGGGGAACTAGTACGTTAGTACCTGCATGAGCGTCACCTTTAAAATATAGTCATTATAACAAAATGAGGCAAGTATTGTGCATTTTTTTTAGAATGAAGTGAACATAACTTTGTCTGTACTCCAAAAATATTTTCTGAAAGGAACCAATTATTTTCAATCCCTCACAGAAAAAATATTGAGTGCAATAGTAAAAATGTTTATTGAATATGTAGTAAAATTTTGGAATGTTTTGCTGACTTGCTTTCAAAATTCACTTTATACTGAATGTAAAAGTTTATGAGGCTGCTAGTAAAAAATTTAGTATCTTATTTATCTGATACTTAGGGGTATAAGATTGAGATCAGTTAAGTTTTTTTGTTAAGAAAAAAAAGCTTTTGTTTAATAAAATAACTAATAGTGAATGTTAAATAAATAATCCCAAGAAACTGAAGTAGGAAGACATATTTGATTAAAAAACTTTATTGGCAACAAAAACATGAAGATGGAAATCAAAGTCAATATGTTTTAAGCACTCAAAATAGCATCTCCAGATATGAATGAGAAGAGACAAAAGTGCTTTGAAAAATAAAACATAAAGCTGATAACAAAAAATAAAAAATTAAAGGTGCGAAACAAAACTAGAGAAACCACACAGAGAGAAAAAATTTCTCTCTCTCTTTTTTGGCTACTGTGGTACAATATTTTTTCTCTTTCAGCTACTGCGATTTTTCTAGTTTTGTTTCTCACCTTTATTTTTTCATTTTTTGCTGGCAATTTTATGTTTTATTTTTCAAATCACTATTTCTCTTCTCATTTATGTCTAGCAAGTCTTGAAACTGGGTGGCTATTTTTGAGTATTTGAAACATGTCGACTATTTTCTCAAATTCACATATTTTTGAAGCAAATGAAGTTTTTAATCAAGTAATGACAGTAAATTCATTTTATAAAATAAAAAAAAAACACTATTAACACTATATAGTTATCACTTTTTAGTATTTTTACAGAATCACCATGGCTGTGAAGTTGATGTTACAGGAGTTGGAATCGAAAAAATTTACTGGACTGACTACGTTTGAAAGTTAAGGTTTAAAGGTAAAAAGAGGAAAACAAGACTTTAAATTTATGTATATTATTTAGACAAATATTTATATTACTACATAATTTAATTCACTTATTACATAACCAGTTGCGTTTTAATATAAAATGTTATTTAAATGAAATGCTTATAATATTACTCACGCATAATGAAAATTAAATATAAAATTTAAAATAAACATTTACTTAGTAATAATATTTTTCAAGGATTTGGTGAAAAATTAAATACGTCATAAATTGAACTGAATTCTCTGAAAAATCTTGAGCATATTGAACAACATGCTTTTTTAATTTGGATTATTTTTTTAACACTATAAATGCTGTCTTCTAGTAAAGTTTTAATGAACAAGTTAAATTTTATATTATATGACACATAATAAAATTGATCACAACTTAACTTTTTTCTTCTTATCTATCCGGTTAAATACTATTATCTTTATTTTCAATTAAAAAATAGCTGTTGGAATATATAACTAACAATCGTTAAATTTTTCAGAAACACTTCATAATTTTAAAATTTTACAAATACTAGATGCTAGAACTGAAAATTTTAATTTTTAGTTAGTAGTCAGTGGCCGGTACACTAATAATTTAGTAGCCACTTTACTTTTCCTCAAACCTATTGAGTGGATGACCAATATCAATAGGTCCTTTTGCTTTAATAGCAACTTTTTGCAAATTTCTTTTGCTTTTTGGTTAAATTATATTTTAAAAAAAAACCATATTGAAAATAATCTATGGCTATAAAAATTTAATTTAACAATAAAAATAACAAATATATGACAAAATTTAGTCAAACATAGTGACTTAAAATAACTTTATTTAAAAATATTTGGGGAGGTCGAATTTATTTTATGTACACATTACAAGTTTGAAAGACATGAATTTTCTATCCACATGAATCTTTCCATCACAAATTCATAGATTCTAGGCTCAAAATATTGAATAGAAATATTAGGCATTTTAAAGAAAATTAAGTCTTTCAAAGTCTTTCTATATTGATGTACTTTTATGATTAAACAATTTCCAAAAAAAAGAGCAAAAAGTGGCCGGTTGTTTATTTAATTCGTCACTTTTTTTTTTTAGACTCGCCATGTGGCGAGTGATTATTTTGATGTCTACTATATGCTTAGTACTTTTCTGGCTGTTACGCAGCAAATATTTCAAATATAATACAGAAAAGAAAATTGTAATTTTTCAACCTTTGGTATAAACTGCTAGCATAAACTTTGGTAATACTAATTGCTGCAAATTTGTAATAAGTCATATTCAGGTAATATTTTATCCTAGTCTTTTCTGATAATATTAAGTAATTTTATAAAGAAAAATTTAAAAAGCTATGATACGAAAAACAATAATAATTTTTATAAATAAATCATCATTTTTAGATTGATTATTGATTAAAATTTAAACTTAGATTAACTTAAATTTAATGGAGATTTCTTTTTCCTGTCTTTCTAGTTCTATCAATTACAAATAATAAGTTGTAAGTTTAGATTAAAAGATAGGGGGAAAAATGTAAAATCCCTATACTTTTCTAAATGATATTTCGTTGCTATCGAAAAAATAATTTAAAAAATTAGTTTCTGTAATTAAGCATACATCAAATTGTCTAGAATTATATTAATACAAATTACTTTTTGGTTTTCACTAATATGAAGGGCAAAATATTTGAAAAAAATGTCGAGAAAAAAAAGCACATTCAGAAACTATTTTAACTTAAATTAGATAAATATGAAAGCAATATTGCAAAATATTTTACCAACATACTAATTTCAGAAATTTTCAATGTCTATATTTTCTCCCTAATTTTTATTTTTATTATTTAAAAATAATTTAAAATTTTCAGAATAAATTTTTATAATAATATGTTTTCCGATATATCATAACCTGTGATTAATAATTAAGTATTATATTAGTGGTTAATATACACATTAATGTAAAAAAGAAATTTCTGATGTGACTTATTATAAAGGACAAATTTTTCCAAATTTTGTGTAATATTAATAATAATATATTGTTAAAAAAAAATATCATTACTCAAACATCAAGCATAAGAGAAATAAAATTGCATTTTATTTCTCTTATATTAAAAATAAGAGAATTATTTTTAAAAATAAATTATTTTATACATTTAAAATTAAAATTATATACCTATTATAAAAAAAACAAACTTGAAAGTGATATTTAAAAATTATTTTGATGGAGAAACAAGAACTCAAGTTTTAGATCATACTTCAACAATAAATTTCAATAATCAAGCATATTACACTATATACATCGCACAGTTGATATTTGAATGAATATATCACGAAAGAATATTGCTAAAATACTTATGGCCATGTGACTTAATCCATTCAACTAAAAAATTGCAACATTAGTAATCTAATAAATAACATAAATAATCCCCAAAAAATTGCATTTTTAAACCATAAAAATAATATAAAGCAGGATAATCTATTTTATGTCAGAAAATAATATTTCAAAGAGGCAAAACTATGTAAACATTGAATGCAACTGATCCAAGTGCTGCAAGCGATGAATAATGAAAACTGCAGAAACCATTTTTTTTACCTAATAAAAAAATCTACTGTAAAATTAAACAAAATAGCAATAAAACATGGGCTAAACGCAATAAATGCAGAGACAATGGATAACGTTTGACTGCAGTAGATTTTTTTTAAGTTAGCAAATAAAATGGCATCACGCAAATTTCATAGAATGGAGTGTACAAAAAAAGGCGTGATGACATGACATGAGTAAGTAATCGGCAGATGATTATTTCTGACTCGGATGTTCCTTCGTTTAGTTTTTGTACTAATAACAAGATTAAAAAGTAAAGGAACTACGTCAGAACTGCCTGCGATGGTGCTAAACTTGACACCGCTGGTGGCACGTTTGGTCTGTCCTCCAGCCTGTCGTAGTCCAGGTGAAATTCTTTTGCAACTTTCCTCCAGTTATCTGCATCGAAAAAATAGTACATCCCCCTCTCAAATGAAACACATTTTTCTGTAGGGTTCATTCCTGGAACCCTCGTGATCCATACTCTTTCATCTTTGTGAAATCTCCAGTCACGGTTATATCTAAAAATCACAATGGTTGCACATTACAAGCATTATTATTATTATTGTGAACAAAAACATTATGTATAAAAATTACAGTTATACATAAAAAAAAAACATAACATACTTAAAGAACCTTGCACACATTGTAGATTAAAAAAAAAGACTAGGGACATAGATTAAAAACATTGTAGACTTGTAAGTAAGGCCGTCCTATTAAAATAAAAATAACCACAAAGCAGAATTTATTTTTCTTTCTGCAACACATACTTAATATTCAGAAATGTATCTGCAAAATAATGTTATAAGTATGTTTGCAAATCATTCAGGGATAAAACTAGGAAATTCAAACTATGTTAAATCAGGGTTGCCACTCAAATCTGGGAAAAAATCCCTGTGCATATTTTACATAATATATTAAGAGGAAAAACACAATCACTGTGCTCTTGTGTGAGCTGTATTGGGCTAACTATACTAGTTTCAATTGCTTGAAAATTTTCAAGAAAAAAAGAACAGCTGAACATAGTTGAAATAAATAATGCTATAGTAAAGGAAATAGTTTAGTATAGCTGAATTATCATCCTTAAATGTTTCATAGATTACATATTGACTGAGTGGTCACCATTCTTTAAAAGACGAAAATAAGAAACAAAATTCTCTGTATTTTCCCATTTTCTAAAGAAAAACTCAAACTTTCCTGCATTTTCCCTGTGATTTTAAGTGATTTTTAAATTCCCTGTATTTTCCAGGTTTTCCCTATACTCTCCGTGGAGTGGCAACCCTGTAAATACAACCATTTTTTATTAAATAATGAAGTGTAACGAACCAGCCTCTAACTCGGATAAATAGCCAACACAAGATCCGAAAATTCCCTTTTTGTACTGATAAAATCACTATTCATTCAGAGTTCAGTTTCTACCAGAGATGAACCAGAATTTAGCACATGCAATCATGTGTTACATATTGTCCCGTAAACTTATTAATGTTTTTTAATAAATTGTATGTAATCCATAGCCGCCAACATGAATAGGAAAATATTAAGTAGATTTTACGAAATACAGTGGGTGATCGGTTAACGAACTGATCGGTTAACGAACACTTTCACGAAAGATTTTTGTGTTCGGATAACGAACACATATTCGGATAGCGAACAATTTCAAGAAAGATTTTTTGTGTTCGGACAACGGAAACATATTCGGTTAATGAACAAAACGAATTCTAACGAACACTTCTCGGCCTGAAAAAAATTTTTATTAAACATTTGTGATCATTTTGCATACGAAATAAGATCACTGAAAGGAGAAATGTTTAAAGAAGATGGACTAACGACAGAAGAACTCCAAGAAATTTTGAATGAAGAACACCAAGAAACACAGCGTCTCCTACTCTTGATGAAAGAGGACCAATGCCGACATCTGCCATTAAAGATATTTTGAAAAAGTGGGAGGATGTCAGAGCAATGGTCTTAGAATGGCACCCAAACCAAGCTGATGTCAGTAGGTTTGAGAATCTTTACAACGACAATGCTATTAGTTACTTCCGGAAAATCCTGAAAGAGAGAGAAAAGCAATCGACATTGGACCGCCCCGTAAGCATAAAATGAAAAGGATTGATTAATATGCTAGACTATATGTATGCATAATTTTTTTAAAAACTTATTAAGAAATTATATTTTTAAAATTTAATTTTTAGGGTCTCCAGAACGAATTAATCGATTTCACATAGAAGTCTATGGTAAATCGATAATCAGTTAACGAACAATTCGAATAGCGAACATAGTCTTGGAACGGATTATGTTCGTTAACCGATCACCCACTGTATTATAAATTTCATGATAATTGTTGCATATGTATTAAATATTATACACATAGAGAATTTTAGGAACTTTTATAGTCATCAAAATATGTCATGTACTGTAATATTTTCCAGTAAATGATTGACATCAAAAGAACTTGAAATATTATGTATTATGTCAACTCATAATTTTGAATAGTAATAAGCATTTAATTCATAAAATATAGTTAAAATATTTTGTAATTAATTTAAAAGTGAAGTTCTGAATAAAAATAAAGTGAACATTTTTGAACAAAAAGAGGTTTAAACTGAATACTATAAATGAAGCTCGCTTCATTATGTATTAGTAATACTTATTTAAATATTCAAGCAAGCAATAATCTAGCAAAATTTCTATTTTAATAGGGATTTTTTAAGGAAACTCAATTTTAAAGAATTTTCTAATATGTATAAAACCAGAATTTTTATTAAACTAGTAGACCAGGAGAACTTGGCAAAATCCAGTAAAGTTGGCAGCTATGGTAACCAAATGTAAAAATGTTATGCTATATAATACTGTCTAAACTTATCAGAAACTATAAGTATTACTAAAAGTATAACTTACAGTTCAGCTGCAGCTGCTATTTGTAGTACATCTCCGCTAAACATGTAGAACAAATAAAATAAAAGATCTTCACCATACCGGTTTAATTTCACTGGGGCTAATTTATCTCTGATACTTTGATTAACCAAGTATTCAGCTGGAACATGATAATCTGCAATAAAAAAGTTTCTTAAATCAGCTGACTGTCTATTAAAGACTTTTTATTTTATTTACATTTTCCATAAAAAAAATGTTAAAAAGCATCATAACTTACTATTTTTATGCAAAATATATTTCAGTTACTAATTCACTTGTAAGTAAACTAATTTATAAACAGTCATCTAAAGCCAAAAAATCATCTGTCCACTCAGCTTGTATTATTTAGTCAACAATCATATTCTGCTTTGTCAAAAATTTGCCAGAGCACACAATTTGATATTTAGGACAAACTAATTATTCATCAAAAATGGCCAAACAATGAACAAAAACCCAATTTCTAATATAATTGCAGCATTTCAACTAGTATTTGAAGTAATTGAAATTTTTGAATTATGAATAACATGAAAAAATTCAATAATAAAGATCTTAAACAATTATTTTAAATACAATGACAATTATTGAAATCAAAAGATTTTTTTCTTCAAAAATTGTAAACTTAACTTATATGCAGAAAAAAATGAATAAAATAAGAGACCTCCAAAACTTTGTACTTTTAGTTAAGATCACTTTTTGGCACAGCATTCAACCCACTAGCTGTTTTTCTAAGAGAGGAAAAAGAAGATTACATCAAGATAGCACATTAGCTAGAGAAAGGATCGAGTCCTTTTTCTAAGCCCTATATATTGCCCATGATGGATGATTTAATGATTTACACATAAAAATGCTGAGAGCTACAATTTTTATGTAAAAAAAAAAGCTTCAAAACTTTTTTTTAAAAAAATTGAAATACAATAAACATTAGAGCAAAGGTGATTTTGTAATTTTATTGCCACAATGTATGGCCTATAAATATTGCCATTTCATGCAATTTTTCAAGGTTTCACTAATTTACCTACTTTATTTTTACATGGATCAATGTTTCTATTGACCTGGTACAATGCATTGAATTAATTTTATTAAATTTTAATGCATACATACATATTTCTCTTCACTCAAAATTGAAGCATAGGTCTCCTATCATAGATCTCCATCTCAGGAGAGAGGCAAAATGTATGGTCACTCTATTTGTGACCATACATTTTGCCTCTCTCCATGTCTTTCCTATTATTTTCAATTCACTTATAATCGTTCACTTATAATCGTCCTGCGCAAATTTATTTTTAGGTCTTTCTTTTATTGCCCTGAGGTTTCCAATCAAAAGCTTGTTTCGTCTTGTTTTTTTCATTTCTTAGGTTTACATAGAACATGGCCAATCCATTTACGTTTTTTAATTTCCTGTTCAATAGGATTCTGTTTTGTTTTCTAAGGGATTTCAGCAATACAAATTTTATGGAACCACTTGATTGCATAGATTCTTCTTCAACTTTTGCTAATAAATACTTGGAAGATTTTTTTCATACTATTTTTAATGCAGTGTCATGTCTCAGATCCATAGAGTAGGACAGAGTTTACATCATTAGCACTGAAAATTCTAATTTTTGTTGAATTTGTTTTTCCAGAATTTATTAAGAATAGCATAATTGCATCAGGCTATGTTTAAATTATTTAGTATATCTTCACAAGTTTCTCCTTTGTTGATAATTATACTACCAAGATACGTAAAACTGGTTACCTCCACTAGTTTGCCATTTTCTAAGAATATGTCATTCAAGATTAGGATTTTAATTTAGGATAACATTAGGATTAATTTTCAAAATATTAGTTTTATTATGGTTGATAACAAGCCCCATTTTTTAATGAAATTCAATAAATCACCTTTATTAATAATAATTGTGATAATACAGTATTTGATTTTATCACCATTAATAATGAACATGATATTATCACTGTTGATAATTATTATAATGCATGGTATTCAATTGTCTATTATGAATACATTAAAAAATATCACCACATTATTTAAAAAATATCAGCATTTCACAATATCTATAAATTCACCTAGCTTTCATGAACAGTAAGAGTGTACCTATATTCCTTTACTTTTGAAATCTTAAAAAAAGTCTGAACCCAGGATTCAAAACATAAGAAAGGTATGTGATAAAAAAGCACAGCATTATCCAGGTCACAGCAGTATGTTAAAAAATGCCTAGGCTACACTTGAATAACTTTCAAAGGCACCAGCAAATATCTTTTATAAATTTTCATTCAGTTAACAGATAAACAAGTTTTCAAAAACTAAATGGAGTGCATGTAAGAATGATTAAGTTACTGTGAGAAAGATTAAGTTAATGTAAACAAACCTATGTCTTGAGGTCTACATGGATGCTCCGCCCAAGGACCACTAAAGTTAGGATATAAATTTCTGCAAGAAATTTGAAAATTCTTAAAAACTAGCATAATAAATCATTGTCATCATAACATAATCAGTGATCAGTAAAAAAAAAAGATATACATAAAAAAAACTAATAAAACTTAATGATGAAAAAATGCAAGAGACAATCAAAAAGAAATTGCACTGTTAAAAAAAATATATATATATAAAAATAATAAAAACAGGATGAAAATGTTACATTAGTTTTTAGATCACAACAGAAGTTCCAAATAAAAGCTATTCAAAGCAATAACAATAAATTTCCTTATACTTTTAATTATTTATGGACACACAGAGAAAAAAATAAATTCTTCAACAAAATGAACTTTGGCTGATAAAAAGTTTCAGGTAAAAGAGATTCAAATAAGTAAGATTTTATTAAGCATTTAAATTATTTTTAATGATTAAACAACATATTGGAATTTAAGAGCATCAAGAGACATTCTGGTAGCTACTACCACAACTAGAAATCTTTCCACTTAATGCGTAAATTTTACTGAAAATTTCCCAGTTAACACATTACAAAATAAAATAATTTATAAATAAACTAAATATCTATAGACATAAATAAAAACTTACTCTGTCGTATTAAGATTAAGACCTAATGTTGTAAGATCACTTCCTAAAGCTAAAGAGACTAATTTTGGTTCTGATTCTGCTGCTCTGATGAATGTTAACAACCCCACCATGCCAAATTGGTCCGTCACCATACCGGGTGGAATGTTAGTAACTCTACCTAAAATTCCGAACAATGCAGATGTAAGTAAATAAAACATTAATTAATGACACTAAAATCATAACTGAATATTTTTTGATCGAACAAGATAAAAATAACTTATTAATATTATAACTTAAAACAAAATATAAGTTAGATGACCTAGGAATAGTTATAAATACACTATTATTTGCAATTTGCACAGAATAGTCTATTATAAAATTAATCCCTCTCAATCAATTAATAAAGTATGTTACCAAAGAAATATTTGAAAAAAAATTGCATTTTTGGCATTAATAACCTAGCACTTTCCAATAACAATAACAGAAAACTGAATGAAGTTATATGACAAAATCTTTATACATATGAACGTCTTTATACACAGGAAAATATAGACAAATTCTACATAAATATTTTCTGAAATATTATACAGAATACAGGAACACAAAATAAGAAAAACATAAAAAATGACTTTTTTAGTTTTCAAATTAAACAGCATACACAACAATAAACTTTTTCTCTGAAATCCTTATTAAATTTGTGGAAACTTTATTATAAAATAAAAATTACCATAGATACTTCATATACACTCAGATGGCTTTTTTTTTTTAAAGCAATAATTTAGAGTATAAGGAACATAAAATAAGTATGTAACACAATCTCTAACTAATAAAAGTACATACATGTTGCACTGATTATTCTTTCTTTTTAATTAGAATTTACAATGATAGTAATGTATATTTTTTAATGTAATAATGTAAAGTAATTAAATATTTTTTTAGTTGTGACGTTATTCTTGTTGAGCTGCTATATATTTACTTGAACCAGCTGTTGCCTTACAGGGCTAGCTAGAATTATAATCCATAAGGATTAGGTAGTCCAATGTCTCACAAAGGAACAATGAACAGAAAAAAGAAATTACAAAGAACACAAATATATAAACTTTTTACGAGATTCTACTTACAATACGTTTACATTCACAAGTTTAACAGCAGAAAAATACAAATAAAATTAAAAGAGGAAAAAAATAAAAATATTCCTTATCAGCAATGGCATTATATTAAAAATATTGCTCACTTGCTTTACAACATAGAATATTGGCCACTGCACCATGATTACAAGCTATCCATATCTAGTAACTATATTTATATAATAATAATTTGTGATCGATTACCTGTGTCAATCAATATTTAATATTTTAAACATGTAATATATAATTTTTCCTACTATGACTTCTGCTTGAATTTTCTTCAGGTTCTATTAGTTTTTCATTTTCACGTAATATTTTTACCACTTTCTGTTTATGAATTCTTCTTATAAACATAAAAATGTTCATTAAATAATACTGCAATGTTTAGTAAATGTTCATTTATTTCTCTAAAAAACCAAGAAAAGCACAGAAGAAAATATAATGTCTAATTTAAAAGTGCAATATTATTGTGAGCTACAAAAAGAATTTGCAAACAAAAATTCATACCATCTTTTGATGTTTGAATTCCTCTTTTCTGTGTTACACTTGATTTATCATTTGAAAAATGATTGGAATCTTTTGATGTTTCTAAACACCTCCCAGATGTCTGAAAGATCAATTTAGATGATTTGAATATTATAATAGATGCAGAAAAAACATCTGCTACTTAAATTATCAATGACAATAATATGAAAAAAGATGTCCACATAAATGAAATGATGATTTTGTATAAAATATTTAAGAAATTGAAGTACACTTTAAAAATTATATCTGCTTTCCTATTACATTACTTTGAAGTGGATTATTTTTTGTTTCCTAAATCAACACAAAAATTAAAAACAGAATTAAATATATTCTGTAAAATGAAACAAAAGTATGCAAAATAGAGTAAATATATAAATACTAGAAATTTACTAATTGTGTCCTTGCAAGAAAGTTTCAGAACACTAAAATAATAATAATCACATTTGAAGTATGCACAGCTATTATTGCAGTCCATTTGAATTATTTTTTAATTGCAATATAATAATATCTTCGTTGCCTTTGTTTACTGTGTGCAAAAGAGAAAAAAGAAGCCTTTAATACCTTTTAATTGTCATGCACTAAGATGCAATTTTAATGGTCTCAAAGAGCTTATTTTAGATATGCTAATTATTCTGTACTTAAGATATTTTAAGTTTTAAAACCTAGAAGAAAAAAAACGTTCTTCCTTTGAATAAATATACCCTTTTCTTCAACAGACTTGAATTCTTGAACCTCAAAATATTGGGGGGGGGGGTACATAGTATAGAAAATATGGTCCTGATAATTTAGTCAGGTGAGCTTTCACCATTTAGTTCTCACATTTTCCATACATTGCCAATGACAGAACTATTTCAGTGAATCAAATATTTTTTTACACAATTATAAAACTTGTTTTTCCAGAGATAATTTCATGAATAAAAATTATAATTAATTATTTATAATTAATTATTTATAATTATTTATTTATAATATTATTATTTATAATATTATAATTAATTATTACAAATTATTTGATAATGGTCAAAACATTTTCAAACTGTAAGGTATACTAATTTTTACAGCATTTAAGACAAAGTAAAACTTGAAAAGAACCAGTTAGAATAATTATAAAAAGTTATTAGTATTCATAAAAATTATATTTGTCCTTGAGAGATGAAAATTTAAAAAATGAGGTATTTTTTAAATGTTATTACTCATAAACTGTTTGGCCTATTTTGTTCAAACTTTGAATTTTGTTATTCAGAATTACATAGTTTTAAATTAGAAAAAAGAAAATTTTTATAATAAAACAATTTTTTAGCCTATTTCGTCTAAACTTTTGATTTTGTTATTTAGAATTACATAGTTTTAAAATAATAAAAAAATTACAATCAAACAACTCAAAATCTTGTTGACCATAACTAAATTGAATAATAATAAATATTCTTGAAAAAATATTTGGCATGACACTTTTTTCAGATAAATTAGTTTTACTGATAAGTGCAAATTTTTTTTCATTCACTTAAATAGTTCCAGAGATATAACAAAATCCCCAAAACCCTAATCCTAAGGATGTGGGTTCCCCAATCCTAAGGATATATAAGGTTAGAACCTTGAAGATTTATTAAGACAGCATTTTAGTGCATGAAAAATTTGATAATGGTAATTTGTGCACAACACATTTAATACCGGATTTCATATCTGCAAAAAAATTTTTTTATCTTCTTTTCTTTTTACTACTCTTGATCTTTCATATTCCTATCATTAATATCTGAAAACTGTAAACATTGACACTTGGTAAAAAAGCCCCCCCCCCCAGATAAACTGGGAAATACTGACCTTGCTAAAAAACATTAAATATATTAAGATTGAGTCTTAAGGTATCTGACTGCACGTGAAATTGTTTTTTTAAATAGCCTAAATTAAAGTTTATTGTTGATAAAGAGAGGTCTTAAAATAAAAAACTTAAGCAAACTTTAAAATTTTCAAAAATATTTTTTCAAAATAAGGGCAAATTTGAGCACAAAAATTGCAATTTTTTGTCACACTAACAGCTCTCCATCAAACTGTAATGCATTAAGATCTAATTAATTATTTCTATTACTCAATAATATGGTTACCCATATATTTAACAAAAATCAAATATACAATAAAATAGAAACAAATATACCGAAAATAGAAACAAATATATTGAAAATAGAAACAAATAAATCTAAGCATTCTTACTTAAGCATGATAAAAATAATAAATTCACACTTTTTGTTTCAAATCATAGTTAACATTATACAAAATCTACATTCGAAGTTTCAAAGCAATCTATAATAAACAATTTTGGTAACGAATGTTATAAAGAGATTTTCTCAAAATCAACCTGTTTCTAAAAATGCATTTAAATTATGTAATTACCAAAAAAATGTCAAAACAATTTAGTTTACATCAATATAATAATTAGAAATCATAACACTCATTTTAAATTTAGAGAGATTTAGAAAGCTAATGAACTAAAGTTCAAATACAGACAATACATAAAAAACAAAATTTTCATCAACATCGCCTATTTTCACCCAGTTGGATACATAAGCACTATTGCATTAAGATTGCATCTTAGAATGTAAAAATTTGATTGCTTGTTAAAAAGTTGTTCTTGCAAATACATAGTATAATATTTGTAATGTCCTTATTTTCAGCTTACAGAATTATAAAATTGCACGTAACATTAACTTACAATATTATATTTAAAAGTACATTATCATGAATTTTTAAGAAATGGAAAACAGTTCATAAGTTTAGGAACATAAAAAATTTCTCACCGTTTTATTGACATTTTCTTGATTGCTTTCTTGAGCTAAAATTAGAGAAAATCATTAAAAATAAAAAATAAAATAATAAAAAAAAGTTACACATTTTTAAGAATAAAATAACGTTTACTTAATAAATTGAATTGAAATTTATTGAAATTAATATCTCTATTTGGATCTAGAAGAGTCATATGATTTTAGTAACATTAAAAATTTAATAACTTGCAATATGCAGTAACTTGAGAAATGCATATTTTCGAATACAAACCTAGTTTAAAAACATTAGATTTTCATTTATTATAAATGTCATAATTTGCACTTAAAATGTTAATACAGAAGTCTCTCATTTAACTGCATTAATATTTTTATAGAAGTTCCTATTATGGAATTAATTTTATTGAAGAAAATATAAGTTCTAAATGTTACAAAAAAATTAAATTTCTTTTATTTAAAAAGAAAAATAAAGACAATTAAAGGTTTTGTAAAAATGCTTCAACCTTTATAGAATTACCTTTCCAATCATGTTGTACAAATCTTATTTGTAACTGTAAGGTTGTTTTTGAAACTTGATATCAGGATATGATGAATGTATGCAATATTAAAACAAAATGAAATATATTGGTAAAATTTTTGGCAATTAGTTAAATTTATCTCTTTAATATATATTTTAAAAAATCTTATAATTGTTACCTATAATTTCCTTCCTTATCATTTGAAGTAAGAAAAACCTTTCAAGACAAAATTAAGCATCTTATTCAGTAGAAACAACAACAACAAAAAACATTATGCTTATATTTTGTAATTGAAAATGGTATCCTGCCATGAAAATTATTAGAGTTTGCTTGTAAAAATCTCTTACATGCAATTCAACTTTTGCCACACCTATACGTCACATCAGTTTTATAAGGTGGACCCATTCATACATTCATCCACAGATCGTAATTTTGACCTGAACCAGAGATCGATCATCTCCAATTCAGTACCCCCAGAGATATAATTTGTTATGGAAACAATAAGACCTTTGTGACCTGACAGATTTAACATTACATACAATTCAACTTTTGCCACACCTATACGTCGCATCAGTTTTATAAGGTGGACCCATTCATACATTCATCCACAGATCGTAATTTTGACCTGAACCAGAGATCGATCATCTCCAATTCAGTACCCCCAGAGATATAATTTGTTATGGAAACAATAAGACCTTTGTGACCTGACAGATTTAACATGCACCAGTCACCATTTACTACATGGGGAATCTTTGGTCAGCTGGATTCGAACTCCCGTTCTAACAAACGTTCTTCAAACAAAAAGTTCAGGGCCCTGCCAACCAGGCTATACCAGCCCACTATTTCAATTAAACCAAATATTTATAATCAAGGCTCTGTTCTAATCAAGAAATTATTCATATCATTAAAAAGAACTAATTAAAAAAATGTGAGCTGTTTTTAATTATTCAAATTTATGAAATATTATTTGCTAAGCATTTGCTTACATTTCAAAAGTAAAAGGAATTTGGAGCTTGTTTCATTGACACCACATTGCAAAACTCATTCAATCATTACAAAATACGTAATCATTTTTTAAAACACAGAAGAGCGATGTTTATTTGGACCAATTACGATCAAAGACAGTCCGACAATTGGACAATTTTAAAAAATGGTTATAAGAATGTTTTTAAGTAACTTCCCTTCACACTTTTCACAGGCTTAAAATTCGAAATTGTAGTAGTGCTTATTGAAGCATGTTACTAATAGTGTGATTTTTTAAATTTTACTTGAAACCTGTTACTTTATTAGAAACTATTTGCCACCCGCATTGAAACTTTGTTGCAAATGTTTTGCCAAATTTATTAATTTTTTTTAAGGAGGATGATATCTAAACTCTTAAAAAAAAACATTTTAATTGCCGTATATCTGTTTTTACAACTCAATTAACTAATATGTATTACTGTTTTACACATTATTAGGTATCTGTAAAAGGTAAAGCTAATGAATAAAATATTTCATGTATAAATTTGGATATTTTATACAAAAAAATAATAATTAATAAATAAATAAAATCACTTGTTATTTTTCTGATATTTATAAAAATTCCAACATCATTTGCAATTAGAAGCCATGCCAAAACTAACATAATCAAATTGCCAAATAATTACCAATTTTAAAACAATTAAAATATTAAGCTGCAAACAAAATAAAAATCTTAAAAAACAAACAAATATATGTTTCAGTTCCATCTTCAATAATGTCTTACTTAAAAATAAATAAAAGTTTATGAAACAAGAACTGACTTTGAGATCCTGGCAGAGCTGGAAAATCTTCACTGTGTATTTGAAATTCATTGGACTCATTAGTAGGTTGTTTCACCATTCCAACTGAAATAATAAAAAATATGTTGCAGTATACAGCTACTCTTTCTAATCTAGTTTCCTTTTTCATTCAAATGCCATTTTTTTACATCGTAAAATAATTTAAGTATTAACAAATTGAAAGTTTTACAACATTTTCTTAATTTTATTAGTCACTATGTAATTTGTTATTACACGCACAATAAAAATGCACACAACAATCCTAAAACAAAAGAAAGTGTTTAGAACTCAGTTGATTGTGACAAGACTGCAGGAAAACTGCAATAAATATGACAAACTTTAGCAACTAAATATGCAAGGCTGCAAAAATTAAAGTTAAAATTTTACTGTATTTGCCAACTGATTAAAAATAATTAAGACAGCGGTGTAGCATTAGTTTTGATATTACTTAAAAATGTAAGGACAGTAATCACTACTTCTTTCTGATAACAAAGAAAGAGGATATGGTTGAAGTCAAGTATGTTGATATTACCCTTTCTCTATGTTTATTATTCAAACATAAAATTAAACTTTTAAAGTTTAACTCAAAAAATAAAATTATAAATGAAAATAAATTTTACATCACAAGTAATTCGATTTAAAAAGTGGTCATATTTTGAAAACTAAGAGTCACAAAGAAGAAAAAAATAATAATAATTTACTAGTAGATAAAACTAAATACATGCATTTAGACAGTTTGTCTACATCAAAATAAGTGCCTATATCAACAAGAAGAGTATTAAAAAAATTTTTTCATATAAAGCTGCAAGATCATATTAACAATGACAAATTAAAAAATGTCTCAAAATAAATGAAAAGAATGGGAGTGAGGCAATTTATTAATATACATGGAAAGCCTCTTAGAAACGAGGATGGTTTTAATTACTTTTTTTAAAGTGCCAGATAACAAATGTTTAAAGTTGTTGAGTGTGTTGAAATTTGCAACGTTTTTCTTAATCCATGTGTTTAGCATTTTTTATTAAATTATTTGTGATGTTATTTTAATTTATAATAATGACTGTATCACCAAAGATACATAGTTTTTTTTTTTCATAAAACTTGTACACTTTTAACAACAACAAACACGAACAACACTTTTTAGTAAAGTAGTTCAAACAGAACAAAATTACACTTCAAATAAAATTGTATAAAATGCACAAAAAGTAAAAATATAAATACTTATATATTAATAATATTAATTTTAAAGCTATGGCCAAAACAGCATTTGGTCCCCTATCCCTAAAGTGCATTTCTCCATATAAAAGTTAAGATTTAAAAAAGAAGCAGTAATATGAAGAGAAAAATTTTATTAAAAAATGCTATGACTATAAAGCAAAAAATAAGGAATCCAAAAAACTTAAAACCAATAACAAATAAAATTATGTAACAGAACAATCAAGTAGACGGAAAGAGTGACTCATTACAATTTTTCAAATATTTATGAGTCAATTGAATAAATTAGCAGTTTATTAAAATTACTTATGAAAGTTGTTTTTTTGTTTTTTAATTTAACTATATTTACAAACTAAACCTTCTATTTATAATTAGATAGCAAGACTGTAGAAAATCTGAATTAAAGTGGCTAATGCAAAGAAAAACAAAATGAAGATAACCTGCCTCTGTTTGCAGCAATAAAGTTTTTGAAATCTGTTATAAAATATTAGTGATGTGTTAACAGTGGTTTTACTTTGCAAAAGTATCAGTAGACGTTAGAATTTAAAAGAAACAGCCATAATACAATAGAAGTATTTAGATTAATAATTAGCTGTTAAGTGAAAGAAATTTTTTTTATATTTTAATCAAAATATGAAACAAAACAAAAAGAAAGAAAAAAAAGAAAGAAATAGAGATAAACGTAAACCTATGCAGAAGCCTTTCAAGAAAATATCTCATGTAAAACAAAATACTCATGCAAATATACAAATTTATTACCATAAGGTGGCCGACCAGCCATTGGATTGTGCGACATATTGGCACTTGAATTTTCTTGAGAACTTCGATTTGTTAGAGAAGGAAATTCAGAGAGATCTAATGCTAATGGAAAAGAAAACATTCATTGACGAATGAAGATGAGAGTATGCAAAATTATGTTGCACGACAGAAAAAAAACCAACAAATAAATTTTAAATTTAGAATATAAAAAATACTTCAAAAAAGAAAAAAATTGTTGAGTTACATTCAATAGGCAAAAACTATTAACACATACAGTCTTCCCCACTTAACTGCTAATTGAATAATCGAATAACACATTTTAAATTAAACAGAGCAATATAGAATTAAATTTTTTCTAGTAATGAGAACTGTGTATATTCTTCAAAAATATAAAAGTATTACTTAAATTATCTAGCTTAATTATTAAATTGCTAGATATTTATCTACCATAGAAAATACCAATTGTTGCAGCATAGTTTTGAAAGTCAATAATTGTTTTAAAGTACAATTTGACCTATTAACACTAAAATTCTCGCATATTCAAGTTATAATAGTACAGTTATGGTTAAAAATATATATATATTTTGATAAAAAATAATACATATTTTAACTGTTATTCACATCTGACAACATGCAATTACTATTAGTAAGATACTATTTTTTTTCAAATGAATGTTACAAATGTATACTTTAAAAAAAAAAAAAAAAAACTTGGTACAGGGGTTTTTCAATTTCAAATTTAGGACAACATTGAGCAAGTATGGTTTACATTGATGAATACAGTCAATATAGGTTTTTCATTACAGTAAATAAACTTATCTTATTTTTATACATGTTAAAATACATATTTTACATTTTGTTTTCATATTCAACAAAAAGAAAAAAAAATAGTTTAAATTTATTTTAAGGTTTCTTCAAAAATTTAAGAACTTCCAAGACTAGTAGAGGGTCAAATACATATATTTATAAATTAGGACAAAATTCATTAAAAAAAATAATAATAAACCAGGGAATTTTTTAAGCAGTTTATATATACTTATATACTTTTAAAAAAGGCAAGCAATAAAACTAAAAAAAGTAATACTTGCTCACAATGTATATTAAAAGCAAACTTTATCACAAAAATAGATCAATAAAAGGTATTATTTTTAATTTCATAACTTCTTTGTTTAGAACAAATTTTTAACAGTTTAATGCATTAATTTATTAATGGAGCACTGAACAACTCACAAAAGTTGATATAATAGGAAAAATTTTAGAGCACCGTTCATTAAAATTTGTAAGAGTTCAAGACTTTCTTAAACAAATAATTTTAAAGGAGAGATCTTGATCTGAAAACAAAACGAATGTATCTCGTAACATTTTTGTACAAAAGTAATTTAGTAGATAATAAACCCTTTAAAATTTTTCTAATAATGTTACCATGTTTTTGAATGAAATTAATCATTTATAAAACCAGATGAAAGAGAAGATTAAATACAATAATTGTGAAACTTTAAAACTTCATGTTATAAGATTTGTTACTACATTTGATGAAAATAATAAATAAGTGTATGACCTTGAATTCACAACCATAAAAATTTGATAACATAAAATGGTTAACCGAATTAATTTTTTATAAAATGACTGAATTCCCAAAAAGTTTAGAAAAATAATTCTTCCAGGCAAAGCTATATACCTGAACTCTGTATGTAATTGATAGACAATCCTTAAATTTGAATAATTGGATTTTGCTAGCATTAATAATTAAAAAAGGATGCTGGATCAAAAAACCAAATCTTTTTGATTAATTTAAAACTTTCATTTGTATAAAAAGGAATGTTGTGAACTTTTTATCAAAAAAAATCAGGATATTAATAATCGGTTAAGTTTGAATAATCAGATTTTGCTAGCATTAATAATTAAAAAAGGAATTCTGGATCAAAATACCAAATCTTTCAATTCTTTGAATTGATTAATTTAAAACTTTCATTTGTATAAAATGGAATGTCGTGAACACACACAAAAATCAGGAATATTACGACAAAAAGCTATAAAATAAAATCACTATATTTTTTATCAAAAAAATCAGGACAACTATGAACTTCTAACAAAATGGTTTATTGCTGAATGAAGTACAAAATGATATAAAAGATTGAATTGGATGCTAAGTTTCAATAAGAGCCAGAATTAGCTATACTGCCTTTAATGTAAACAGTTTGAAAGGAGAAAAAGAAAAGAAAAAGGAAGAAAATCTCTGGGATTCCTTGCGGCATGAGAGCAATGTTTATACAAAAAAGTGAATATGTTATTAATTTTATGCACTGAGAGATGAATTACGTAAAGAAAGAATATGATAGTACTATGGATAGTTTACAGCAAGAGTATGGCGTATAAATTCTATGCATCCATTTTTATATAATATTTAAAGTCAACAGTATCACATGATAACTAACAAAATTGCTGCTCCAAGTCTAAGAATTAATAAAAATAAAATAGGGACTGAGAAAACTATATAGTAGAAGATATAATATCAGTCTGAAACAGGTTTACAAACTTTTAAATCTTATTTATAATTGTGACTAATTACAATTTTAAACATATGATATACAGTAAATTCTTCACACATAAATGGTTTAATAAAATAAGTTTAAAAATAATTTTTAATAAAATTTAACCAATTTGTCTCTTTCTTTGAGGAAAATATTAATTTTCAATAACTGCTATAATATAAACCTGAATGGATAATTATTTTCCAGTATCATTTTGTAAAAATTAATCATATTCAAAATCATCAAATTGGACAATTATTGTGTCCAATTTGATCAAAATGACCATGACCATCCATTTAATCATGAATGATTTTCATTTTCAAAATCAGTAACGCCGCATTAACTCAAAGTAGCATTCGAAGCTAAAAAAAATCTTTAATTTATGAAAAATTCTACTACTAAAATAAGAGAACTGTCATTTTTAAAATATTGTCAAAGATCAGTATATCGCAAACTTTGAAACGAGAGGCTTTCCGATTTTTTTGACTTTTGAGTTATATAGTATATTTTACATATCTTTAAACTTATCTACTAAATATGGCAATATTAGTCACGAACAGATCAATCTCAAAATACCTTTAATTAATTTTTAAATATTTTTTTATTTCCAATGAGCTGCACAATCGGTCTTGCCGATGAGCAGACCTAGTGCGTTCTCCAGAGGTGGTATCCACTCTTTCAGGATCACCACAATGGGTGAGATACCGTTGGTCATGTTAATTAGGACGTCTAGTTTCTGCCACACTAGATGGCAGCACCGAGACTCTATTTGAATGCTAAAGTGCACTAGGAATTTAAATTAATTTTTAAATATGGATACTTAAAAACACAGAAATTTTTTTAAAAATTTTCTGGAGCATTAGAACTAATAAAAAAAAATTATTAATTTTCTGCTTGCTTAGCTACTGAAATTGTTACCTCGAACAAATGTAAAAAGTCAATAGCTCTAGCTTAGCTACAAAAATTTCTTATCTACAATTTTCATTGTTTACACCTACAAATTTGTTTGTTTTGTTTACACATTGTTTACACCAACAGAGAATCGCTGTTTATAAAATTGCATAATATAAATCTTCTATTGTATTTCACAAAATGCAAACCTTATTACCTCAATTTTTTTATATATAAAAAAATTGAGTACATTTCTTTCTAATTATTTCTGAAAAAAAATCTAACTTTTGTTTATATTTCATAAGATTTCTTTTTGTCATGGAAATTCCTTAAAATATTCAATTTATGTACAGTAATTTCTGGAAGATAGGCATCGGCCTGTGTTTAAAAGTTCAGTTGTCACGATGTGTGGCTTATGTGCCGATGTGTCTTATCCAAAGAATTCATTTCCGCAAGTCCATTATGATAATTTTGCATTCGCAGTGGTTTTATTCAAAAACGGACTTCTACAGAAAATTTTTCGACATTACCAACCTATTTTGTAATGTTTTCTCTAAAAAAAAGTTTTTTTTAATTATTATTTTTTGAATTAAAATATGGGGTGATAAAAGTAGTTTTTTTGACTGACGAAAAACCGTATGACGTCATCAATAAATGGGGTTACAAATTCAGATTTGTAACTTAATATTTAAACTAGTACGCTATATTTTTTACTCTCTTTTCCTCATCTATATTTCCTTTATAAATAATTTATTTATTTTCAAACAGTCAGAAAACTAGAAAATTAAAATCTTTTTATTCAATGTATCAATCCAATTTCCGTAGATACTTTAATTTGTATTTTTTACTTATTTTTCAACACTAATAAAAAATTTCGGTCTCTTTTGCGAATCACTGTATACAATATATAAGAAATAAAAATTTTAAAAAACGAAGCTTCTGCACTAAATAATCGTGTCTAAGAAAGGGAAATCACAGTAGTATGTAAGTTGACACTGATATGCCGATTGACTAACGTAAGAACTGTCAGAGTGTGGCTGGGGAAAAAAAGATTAAATTTGAAAGAAGGAAAAAAATTAAAAAAAGGGAGAAAAATAAAATGAGGTTCTGGAAAAATCTCCTTCTCAGTTTATAGAAATTACCCAAAAATAAAACGGAGCAAGACTTCGAACTATTAATATATTTCAATATTTGCTTCAGTCTCTGAAACTAAATTCATTCATTCGTCATTGAAATTCATAATTTATTTTTATTTTCTCTTGAAAGTATGTTTCTTTTATATTTTGCATAGTCTTTTATAATCAATTTCAGTAATTTTCTTTTTTGTTGTGTTTGCTTTAGCATTTCCTATATCATCTAAAAATGAACTCAATGATGAACTATAACGTTTGTTTTGTTCCGAAAGTGAAGAATCTGATTATGATGGATTTGATTAAATATAAGATTGGAAATATTTGAAAAATAAATAATAAGTTGGTTATTTATTTTCATTTTGTGATTAGTTTATTTTTAATCGCATACACATTCTCCAAATTATGATTCTGATAGGTTACATATGTTTCTACCGTAAGTTAATATCATTCTCAATTCCTTCTTTTTATAATAAGTGCATATAAAAAAAGATTTATAAATAATAACTGTTTTCTAAGTATAGATTTTATGTTTTAAAGATTATCATTTTTACGTGTATTTTCATGTATGTTATACTTGATAAGAATCGGAACCCACTATTCCGCATTTTTAAAGATGTTACCTTCTTTCTTTTAACTGTGAATGACTTCTATTTAATTTCAAACTTTAATTATGTATTTAAAAAGTTGTAACCAAATTTATATGTAGTACTTCCTATTAATATAATTGAGTAAATCTAGTGAGATTTCACACTTTATTCTATGTTAATGAATAAAAAAAGGAAGTGTGGTCTTTACGTTGGTGCGGTGTATCAGCTGGAAATTACTGTACTTATTATTAATTTATTAAATATGTTAAATTATGTTATAAATTAGTTTCAACAGTGACAAATGTAAGACAAGTAGGAATTCGATTTGCTTTTTGCATGTGAATTTTATTTTTTCATACGAGACGTTCTTATCTCAATGCGTAAACAAAATAAAAAATGATTAAAAAAAATAGATCAAAAAATAAAAAATTTGCAATTTTTTATAACAGGTTGCATGAAGTACACATAAAACAAAAACAGGCTGTTTCTTAAACTTTTCATAAAAGTCAAACTTATAAATAAAATTGCTTCTAAAATATATTTCTTATAAGTTTTAAAATATTTTTCATTGATAAGGAAACCGTTTTCCTTTACTTTAAAGTGAATACATTTAGCACATTTTATGCCATATAACATAAGCAACTACAACTTCAGCATTCACTACCAGTACTGTATATGGTAATAAACATGTTTAAGTAGTTAATTGACATTTTATAATTTGTTGTAGTATCACTACTTGTAGAATACTATTAAAAAGCAATATAAACCAAAATTTTTAACATTGAACATTTGAAGAAAAATATTATAAAATATAAACATATTTAATAACAATAAAGTTTGTAGTAACTTACCGGGACTTGTAGAAAAGTTATATGACTGCATGTTGTTGTTCATTAAACCTTTTAAGAAGAAATTGAATTAAAAAAAATTAAAATAATGGTATTAAAACAATTGCAGAAAAAAATTGAAATAGCTCATAAATGTGAAATAGCTTAAAATAACTACATGATAAAAAAATTATCTACCTGGACTTGAAGAAAAATTATTTGGCTGCATACTATTGTTCATTAAACCTTGTAAAGGAAAACCTCTACTATTCTGAGAGAAACCTGTTCTATTTGCCATAGCTGCTAGAGAATTTACACCTCTAACGGAAAAAAATAATATATTACATATTAGAAAATTTAAAAAATGAACTAATATTTCACAAAACTTAACTTCTTAATCGACAAATAACATTAAATTGAATTGTTAAAAAAATTACGTTTCAATATATAAAAATCATAAGACTTTACCATAAAACTTAAAATACTGAAATAAGTAAGAAATTTTTTTTTAGCATTTTTGACTGCTGAAAGAATAACAAAATATAGACTCAGAAAAGAAACTTCAAGAATGGTTACTTAGTTAATGTTAAGAAAACAAAAAAAAAATTGCTCCTCTTATAATTTACAGCAGAATATGAAATTGGGTTTTAATTGTACAATTTTGGGCATGTATACAAATATTTAATGATAAATAATGAAATATATAATATACATACACATTAAACATAGAGCTCCTATCCCGTTTACTAAATGAATCATCAGATGATGGCATATTTCTAAAAAGAAAAATAACAAATGAACACACTAACTTTACTAATACATTTTTACAAAGTTTAATGAAGCAATATGAACACAATGAAATAAAGAAAAGTCAAATAAGTCACCAATAGCTTTAACAGAGTTATAAAATTAAATTGACAAAATATCATTGAATTACAATTTAATAATTGTAACCAATTATCTCATAAAAATGTTGAGAAACCGTTTAATTTGAGAAAAGATTTTAACGGCTTTTAGAAAATTAACTTTCAGAAAATTTAGAGAAACATTTTTTGTCATTTAAAACTAGTTCATTTTATTACGAGAATGAATGGATGTTGACCATAGCATGTTTTTAAAATGGCACATTATTTGTTTTTTTCCCAAAGCTCTTATTTTCAGAACTGATGATAGCTTAGTGCTTAAATATTTCTATTTGAAAATAGGAAATTCACACTTACAGTTTAGAATAACAGTCATTTATGTTTTAATGTATTTTATTTGTTCTTTCTTAGCAATGTCATATAAACCAAAATAACAAACTTTATTGCTTTTAAAATGCTAATTTTATACTAAACTAGTGTCTAATAAGTAAAGGGCAGAAATGACTCTCAAAATGTTTTAGCCAAATAAACCAGAAAAAAAGGATCAGTGTTAGTAGAGAAGACTTCAAAGAACCATTTATTGTTTAAAAAGAGGAATAAGACGAACTATTTATAGTTAAAACTATTTATATACAGGCATCACAATAAATCAACAATTTTCATACTCGATATTAGTATTGCATTTGATAAATGTACATAAAATACAGAAGTTTTAAAAGTAAACTCTATCAATCTTTTACTGAAGCAAGAATATCATTAAAACCATACCCTCCTAAAGGCCCAATTCCAACTATCCTTTTCATATCTTGCGTTAAAGTTCTTTGACTTGGAAGTGCTCGAGTTCCCATGAGAATATTCCTGCTGATAGACACCAATTTAATTTTATAAAAAAATAACATTCAATTATTTTATTTACAACTTTTTCTACACCACAACTTTTAATGCCTTTCAAATATTAAAACAGTTTAAGTATTGAACCGAATTAATATTTGAATATAGAGATCTTTATTATCATTTTAAATAATAAGTATAGAAAAAATGTAAACATTTGTTTTTAGAAAAAGTTTTTAAAAAATTATACATTTTTTTAAGCTTTCTAGATTGAACAAAGAATGTCAATCTAAATTTGATTTCACACAAAATTTTCTTTTTTAATATTATTTTAAAAAATAAAGAAAAGAAGAAAACAATTACTGAGTAACCATGAGGACTGCTAATTGCATCATTTTAAAAAAACAATGTCTTTCAGATAACTTTACATTTTAGCATGGTCAAAATCAATTTAAAATGATAAATGATCAGATACTTAAGGAAAAAATTATAGCAAATAGGGACTAAAATTGGCTAACATTAAAGCTTGAATGTTATTGTCTCTTGTCAAATCAAATAAGTAGTAATGACAGAATAAATTATTTTATATAATAAGAAATTCGGCTGTAGTACTTAGATTCACCAAAGTTATCATTAAAAAAAGTAAAGCATTCCCTGTTGTACGCCAAAGGTTTCATGGAAGTTAAGGCTCCACAATTCCATGGTCATTGGCATAATTGTGATCAGTATTTCTTAAAGATTGCCTTTACTTCCCAGACAAGATAGCACCCATCAATCTGAAACCAGGTGGGCTTTAAACTGCAGCTAAGAATTGAACCACAGTCTTTAACCACTGAGCCATCCCAGTAAACTAGTATCTCTTACTAGTTCTAAACATGTACAACATTAGTTAGATCCTGATATTGCCCAATAAACTATACTTTAACTAAAGACGAATTTGTGTTTGTCAAAATTTTACAGACTGTTTAACCAGAGTGTGTTCACTAGCTGTCAATGAAAGATGAGGACAACTATGCAGACAGCAGCAAAAAAGTTTCCTTTGCAAACATTGTTTTTTGTGGGTCAAGAGATTTTCATATACAGTTAGTAATAGTTTAATGGTTTAACATGCTTTGATTGCTACTGCTGTCATCTGAGCAAACAATAAACTAGTATAATAATTATATAAATTTTTATTATTAATTTATGTAAATGATGACAAGCAAGTTATTATAACAAGTTTTTGAATTAAATTGATAACTAAAGCAACAGCTCATCGTGCAAGTAAAATAATAACGACATGATTTTAATATGAAGACTGCGCATCACAAAATAAATTTAAAAATAACATTAATTAAAGAATAAGTGGGATATTACCTTTCTTCTTTAGCACCAAAAGACTGAGATGAGTACCGATTGGGTGAAGGTTGTTGTGGAGGGATACTATTGGGAAGACACTGAGAAAAATTTGGCATCCCTGAACTCGTCGGTGTTACATGACCTTGAACATGACTACCATTTCCAGTTGACCGAGAAGGGAATTGCTGACCGGTCAAACTTCGAGGCGTTTGTTGTAAAGTTGGTGTTCCCATACCTTTCAGAAATAAAATTGTCACTCAATTTAATACTTTATAACATATCTGACAGCAGCAATTAAAAATTCAGGGTCATTCAGGTGGTTACACTCGAGAAAGAAATGAAATACCCTTTATTATCATCAAGGTTTACTTAATAAATGTCAAAATTAGCAACATTTTTATAAAAAATCATATTTTTACTCAACCCCAACCTTTATCTTATTTTAAATACATGATTCTTATGAAATTCCTTAATTTTTTTTCTTTTCTTAATTTCAACATTATCATAAGTTAGCTTACAAGAAACAATTCAAAATAATAAATTTTAAAAAAACAAACACTTTATACCATACATTTAACAGAGAATTATTTACAAGGATAGAAAAAACTTAAAACTAGTCTGCACTGGTATAAACTGATTTTAAATTGAAAATTAGAATGTGCAATAGTCAAATTACAATGAAATATATTTCGGAATAAAACACAGATCAAAACATGAAACCAAAAATAAAAACAGCATATTATCCCTTTACATTGGTTGCTGGACCGTGTGACCACTGATAGTTATTTTATGGCAGACCAAGTCTTAGTCTAGTCTAGTTTAGAGGTCTCAAATCAACAGACCACTTTTAATTTTGAACTATGATTATTTCATTTAAGTGAATACCACAATTTCATAAGTTGGTGAAGTTAAGCTGTTTTGGTTTTGCTAAAGAAATCTGACAGCTGCAGTTTTTGGCATCACATTAACATCATGACTTCCATTTCTGCTAAAAAGAAGCATATGTTTCCTGGGCCAGAAAAATATATCCGAATAAGAATGAAATCCAGAAAAAAATGTTAGAAAGAAACATAAATTAAATAAATCAGCAGCTAAAATCGATACATATAATCAAACTCAAAACTCAATTACATCAGCTATAAATTCAGAATTAGATGTTGCTGGTTTATTCCAGACAGGAGTAGATGAGTACCAATAGTGCCACTGAGTTTTAAAATAACCACCAGAGTTCTCCCTATGCGTTATTTTAAAGGGCGGCCCGCCCTGCCTGCCCTTTAATCGCCATAAATGCACCCTCTTTGCTCTTCCAGTAAAAATAAGCCCACATCCCTTAAAAACACTGCCTTTTTATGCTGATCCATTTTTAAGAAAAATTAATTAACTATTAAAATAATAATGACACACAAAAATAATCTGTGTTTATAAGTTTAATCCTGATTACTATCACAAATATTTACTTTGTTAGGATTATTCTCAAAACTGCTTAAATTTTTATAAGTTTCTCTTTTTTCAAGGGGGTAGACTAATAAATTTTTTAGTGATTTTAAATTTTAAAATTATTTCCTAAATAAATACCTTTTTTAAAATGCACCTTTAAATGTTCATCTTTTAATAATTTTCAGCATAAATTATAGAAAAAATCATGAAAGCTGTTTATCAAAAAAAAAAATTTTCAGCTTACTTTTTTTGGGAAAAAAATATATGCACAGAGATTGTCTGTTAGCATGCCTTTAATTATTATTTATAAACTACAAATTTCTCTCTTATTTAAATAATGAGAGAAAATCACTTTTGGAAATATAGAAATAAAATTTTATAAGATGGTAACTTAAAAATTATTGAGGATCAAACTCAGTTATTACATTATATTATACATTTCAATAAATTTTTTTAAGTGAGTGCCCTTTCGAAACTGAAAGTGCTTTATTCTATGAGGAAGCACCCTGCCCTTCTTAATTCCTAGGACAAATTCTGTAATGACCATTAATTAAATGAACATTATTAAAATTGAATTTTGTATGGCACTAATAGTATAATAAAAAAACAGAAAATTCACATTTTATTAATTAAAAGAAAGGTAAAATTCTGCAATAAAATATTCTACAACACAGATATTACAATACATAAATTCTACAATACAAATATTTTAATCATTTCTGTAGTAATTCCAGTCCCAATAACTTCTGATAATTGAGGTCCTTTTGTATTTGTTTGCAACAGGTTTAGAACAAGACAAAAAAATTTCATTTCTTTTTTAATTTAAAATAATATATATGATAACATTAAATTATTTCACATTTATATTACACATAAGCATTAAAAAATATTCAATTTAGACAAATTTTCCTTAAACTATTTACCAGTAAACTAAAATTGTAGCTTACCTAAAGCATTATTAGCACTTTGGCCATACCCAAATGGATGCGAACCTGCACTGGACATGACCTAAAATGAGATTGATGTAATTATAATAGTTACAAATACTAATAAAGATATTCTTATAAGCACACAGATATTCTAATCAGCAGTAATATAACGTGTCAGACCAATTAAATAAATTTTAAAAACATTAGTATTGTGTTATTAATTATGATTTTTATATTATGATAAATATATAATACCAAATGTTCCTTACTGATATAAAAACTTACAAAAAAATTAGATTGAATTATTTCAATTCTACCCAAAAAGTAAAAAGGTGAACAAGATCAAAAATTTTAAATATAACTTACATTCATGAAAGTCACAAATAAATACAGGTAACATAATTTGACTTATACTAGTATTTTAATTCTAAATGCTTATTATCATAACTAGAATTTCATTTCAGATGGAGTTTAATTTTTAATTCTTATACACTTTCTTGTCTAGAAGAGTTTGAAAATTCGACCAAATTTCTAATTGAAATTTTTTGCCAAACTTCTTGAATTTATTTGTTCAGCTATGCATAAAGATATTTAAATAAATGAGTATTAATTTTATAATCATCAAACATGAAATAACACAAGGACTAAAGAAAAATAGTTGTTATTTCTTTAAATGTTACTAATAACTAACATTGTATTTTAAATCTAGTTTTTAAATATGATACAAGTTAATATCACATTTAATTTAATAATCAGATATTTAAAATATGCTACAAAAATATTTTTTAATACATAACCTTCTTAAACTTGGCCCTCATCCTAGCAATTTTTAGAAGACAATTTTTAACAATTAAAACATCTTTCTTTTTTACTTTTCTCATGTAAAATAGCAGTTTTTGACAGAAAAAAAAAACTGTCAATAGATATAATAAGAAAGGACTTGAATGTAAATTAATTAAATTAGATTCAACTGTAATTAAATCACTTCATTTTTTCAATTTACTGCTTTAAAGTAATATTTTGCATAACAAATTTCACATGAACAAGATTGGGGGGGGAGGGGCTTTTAATTTAAATTTGCTTTCTTACAAAAATTAAAGCATTTTTATTTTAAATTATGGGCAACCAAATTATAAAAAATTTAATGAAAACTTATCATATAGATTATTTAAAATTTGCTTTTAATAAATAACTCTAAAATAATAGCTTTTGTTCAAAAAATATGCTGAAATAATAAAATATAAAAAAATAATAATAGAGTGAGCAAAAAATCCCAGCTTTCAATATTAAAGAGCAAAAAACAATAATTTTACTATATTTTTTGGAGGGAGGCATACCATGTAGTGATCTTTATCAAAATGTTTAATGTAAAATTACATCCTGTAATAAAAGTTTTAAAATTAAAATTATTTGATAACAGTAATTATTTGATATCAGTTTTTCTTAATTTCATATTTTTATTAGTGATGGGAAGAGTTAAAACCTTAAAACACCAGTCTTGTGTACATAACTTTAAAGACCTCAATGGGTCGGAAAGACCTGAAAAACAACATGGACACCATTGGCAAGAAGAACGGTATGTGCATTGAGCCCTTCAATAATTGGAAATTTCAAAATGTCCCCCGAATATTTCAGACTAGCTAAAAAAATTTTTATCAATTATCAGAATTTTAAATTTAATTAAATAAAAAATAAGGTAACAATTTAAAAAAAAAAAATTAATCTCTTAGCAGATGAGAAAATTATTTTCATATCTGAAAGTTTGAAATCTATTGCGTAACTGAGTATTAAAATATTGTATCCCTCAAAACTTTAATGACTGAGACAATGATGAAAAAAATAATAAAAAAAAGTGTTAGAAGAAAAGCCCATAAAGGTTAATATTAGCTAAAGAATTTATTAATGAAAAAAAAATCTGTTTTTAAAAATTATTACCGATAGAATAATTTAAATTGAATAAAATTACTCGATGCTTTATAAATCTTTGGTTTAAATCATAAGAGATAGAGAAAAATATTCATGGGTATAAAAAAAAACATAGATTGCATTTTTTAAAGGGACTAGAGAGGGAAGAAATAATAAAAAATAGAACAATTTAAATAACTTTGAACCAGCTCGGTCTTTCCAGATAATTATACAATATAAAAGAACAAAAGCTTAATAAAACAATGAAAAGTTTTAAAAATATGAAAAGGGCATTACAATGAAGGACCAAATAACAAAGTAAGAAATGTGTTATAAATTAAAACGTTTATGATAGTATTCATTATTCAATATATTCAAACATTTTATTATTATAACTAACTTATCTACAGAATAATCAATATAATGTAGACTAGGGAAAAAACAATAAAGTTAAAAATCAAATATAAATATTTGGAAGCAGTAATCTTAAATTATACACAGCATAAAATCTTTATCAAGAAAAACTTTGAATTCACATCAACGACAAATAAGATGTAAACATTAGTAATGCAAAATCAAAGTTATGGTGAATATTTATTTACATATTGTAATTGGGATACTTAAGTACATGCAATTTCTACCTTTCACTCAATAAAATTGTTTAAAATAAAATGAAGTTGAATTTTTATTTCTTTAATTCAATAATTATAATTCGTCAATCAAAATTTCCACTACTCTCTTTCAAGTGCCTAAATCAACAACAAACTTGTTTGGAGCAAAACTCTTATGCATTTGTTTAGATTTTGACTCAAAACAGCTGAAAGTATAACATGAGAAAATCAGTGAAAACGTCAACAAAATAGGATTTGAAAAAAGAAAAGTTTCATAGAATATTTTAAACACCAATAATCATCATCAGATTGTCTCCGTTGCGAACATTTCAAGAGATAACAACAAACGAGTTAGGGATATTTACATCAGCTAAAAACGTATTTTGAATAGAATATGCATGCTTGATCTTTTGAAATATAATATTGCAAACAGCCTACAGTAAATAAATATCTCCAAACAATGCGTATAATCAACATTTAATGATTAAATTTAAACATTAGGGAAGTACAATATCGACGAAACATTTAGAAGCATTTGTCAACAAAGAAAAGTGCAACCATGAAATTTTCACAATTTTATAGCTCATTTCAAAATAACATTATACCTTAATTATTTCTCACTTCAATAAAAAAAAAACAATCACAATTATTCTGGAAAGAGATATATATACATTTGCTATACAGGCAGACGATGACACTAATACTCTGTTGCCATTTAATTCGGTAAAGCGAAACTATTCGTTTTATTTTCATAGGGTAGAGATCACAAGTAAAATTTCTTAAAAAACCATGTCAAAAGTTTAAATTTAAGGTAAGCTTTGAAAAATCAAAAGCTAATTTAATAAAATTCAAATGGTGAATATGTGAAAAATCCTGATTACAGCCACGCAATTATCTATCAAAACTCTATAATGAGAGTGGTTTCCGTTTTGGGTTAGCGGGGCAAGCACTTAGCCGTCGGAGCCCTGCTATTGAAGGTATAAAAATATAAAAAAGTGGGACCTTTATGTGTTCAACTTCGTTTTCAATACACCAAAAAGCAAACTGGCGCTATTTTTTGTTGTTAATTATTAAACATCAACTTGACGTAGCTAATAAATTATTTGATAATATTATTTGGTTATCGAAAATATTTGTAAGTCGAACAGGCAGCCACAGTTTTGAGTGTTCAACTTTTAATTTTGATTTGCTGCGCAGAAACTATTAGACTTTGAAATTTCAAATTATAGCAGGTGTGTAAAAAATGTACAAGAACTACGTGGAAATAAAAAAAATTAACATTCTATTATTATTAGCTAGAGAATTATGAACTGTTGACAGTGGCATGAAAACTTTACTTTGACTGGGGGGGGGGGNTTCAATTAAAACTGCATCACTATTTAAAGTTCAGTACACTATCTTTCGAAAAATATATGTAATATTCTAAATAAATTCAGAATATAAGTTAAAAACACTTTAATTTTAAACCTCACTATGTTAAGTCTATGACACCCTCGCCACCCAGAGACCCGCAATTGATTGTTTGTTTACAATCAATGCCCGTGCGCCATAAAACCACGTTGTGAGCCAAATGGCTTTAAAATACACAGGAAACAGCAACCCGGAAGTATAAGCAGGCCCACAGCTAGCAGCGCTCCCTAGTGTCGAAAACACCATCCATAGAGTTATTAAAAATAATTATTTTATCACATTTGTATGTTAAAGTGGCATGAATTATTTCGGATGATTATAAATTAATTATTACATTCACACTATCAAAGCAGTGAACAAAAATTATATATGAATCGGAAGCAAATTAAAAAGAAAAATTAAATGAAAATGAAAAATTAATGAATTTTCTAACACTAACTCCTTTAAATTTGTTATTGCTGAGCAATACATTTGATTGACACATTTTGATCATAAATGACATAAAATGCTTTTTCGCTTCTTAAAAAACAATTTATTTAGGCATAATTTGTGCCTTACATTTTTATCCGATCGTAATTTATTTTTCAAATTTTGATTCAGGCATAAACTGCAATAAATGGTTTCTCAAAACTGAGCAATGAAGCAAATAATTGGCAAATTTGAAACAAACATTGATCAAAATTGAAATAAAATTCACTTATATTTGAGCAAAATGCTTATAGTCTTAAAAATGATGTCGAGAGAAAAGTGTGAGAGACAGATGTTCATTGGCTGCCTGCAGGATTTAAAAAAAGGTTTGCAGGTTTGAAATTTAGTAAATATAGTCCCAAATTCAGATCAAATAGTCAGGAGATCGGTAATTTTAATTTCACTTTCTGCATATTTAGCTATATCTTAAAACCTTTTATGCGATCGGAATGTTTGTCACGCATAGGTGTTGCTAAAATCAATGCTGATGCAAATATGATAAGAGACGGGTAAAAAAATTACGGGTAACCTACATTTAATGAATATTATTGTCTATTTCGTCTATTATTTGTATTATTTCGTATGATTGTCTATAATTTTTTGGTTCAGAAGAGAAACTTGATATTAATATCAAGTCAAAAGATAGGTGTTGAAATTTCTAAGAACATACAGACATGCTAAAATACATTTTTAAAATATGAAAAATAATTTTTTTATTAGTCTTTTCCACTATATACAATTAGTACAGGTGTCGTTAAAATCGATGCTGCTGCAAAAAAATGATATAAGGCGGATTAAAAAAAAAATTCTGTGTAGCGTACGTTTAATGTATATCATTTTCTATTTCTTTAACATGCATTGTCCCCCTTTGTTTTCTATTTATAATTAATAGATGCGTTTCAGGGAGTCACTTGGCGGATATTTTAATTATTTTTTCTAATTTTTTTGGTTCGAAATAGAAATTTGATATTAATATCAAGTCAAAGGATAGGTGTTAAAAATTTCTGAAAACATATACATATTCTTAAAAATATTTATAAGACAGTTTTTTAAATTTAATTATTCTAATTTTAGATTTAATTATTTTTTTCTTTATTTTTTTGTCCTTGTTATTCTATACAGTTCGTACATGTGTCACTAAAATCGATGTGAGGCTGCAAAATTGATATGAGACAGGTTATAAAACAATCTGCGTAGCCTACATAGAATGTATGCAATAGTCTATTTCTTAGGCAGGCATTGCTCTCCTTTGCTTTCTAATTATTATTAACAGCTGCGTTTGAGGGCATGATATTATGGTCATTTTGCCGTGCAAATGCTGGTTAGTTCCATCAAAAAGTTTTCCACGAAGGCAAATTTCTCCCAATACTTGTCCCCTTGTCTTTTGGATGGGGTTCAAAATTACAAGGCTACGGAGCCAACCAAGAGCCCATTTTGATTGCCAATATCGAACTGACAGGGTGGTGCAGTTGGTTTGTCGTCGGCCTTCTGAGCCCAAGTCTGCGGGTTCGATCCCCGGGCCAGACACCGGGTTTTCGGGATGCAGAAAATCCTCAGCGGCCATGTCGTATGATTAAGCGGCATGTAAAAGATCCCTGGAGTGCCTTACTGGCTCTTGGCATTTCCGGAAAATTAAATTCCTAGTGCACTTTAGCATCCAAATAGAGTCTCGGTGCTGTCATCTAGTGTGGCAGAAGCTAGACGTCCAAAATTAACATGACCAACGGTATCTCACCCATTGTGGTGGTCCTGAAAGAGTGGATACCACCTGCACCTCTGGAGAAGGCACTAAGTCTCCTCATCGGCAAGACTGATTGTGCAGCTCATTGGAAAAAAAAAAAAAAAAAAAAATATGCAACTGACCCATCAGGGAAAATTTCATCAATTTCTTTCGGAGTAATAATGTACAATGTTCCGCTAATGAATTCGATTTACATCCCTTCATTAGGAAGTTTTTGTAATTCGATCTTATCGAGTCAATTAACACTGCTGGTGACCAACCAAAATTGCGAGAGTCCTTTTTTAAATCAAAATGAAATAGAATTTCAATGCTTTAAAAATTCACCCCCGGAGGGTAAAAACACTGAAATTCGTTGAATCGTCTTCCCGATAAGCAAATCCTATATCGAGGGGGGAAAAAAACATGGAAACAAGAGAGCGTTTTGTTATAATTCGGTTTGGAACAAATGAAAAAATCCAAAGGTGGGGATCTTCTTGAGATTTCCTTTCTTACCTCCTTCTCATTTTTTTTTTAATTGACGGAAAAAAATTAATAAATCAAAAGCATTTCCACATTCGCGATCAGAATACTCATACATCTGGGGGAGAAGACCGGTTTGCGATTTTCCAAATCAGCAGTGTTTAACGACATGCTCTCATGTTTTTCTTAAATAAAAAACTTGATTCTGGACAATCTTTCTTAGTTCAGGTAATAAAAGCTTGCATTATAATTGCGACCGGCTACAACAAAGAGAAAAAAAATCTCAAAAAAAGAAAGAAAAAAAAAGTTCCGAGTCGTTAAAAGCCGCTGGATTGCACATTAAGGACTGGTTCCATGTATTTTAACTCCCCGCTCAATTGTATGGGTATGTATTACGATATTTCCCCCTTTTATATTGTTTGCATTTCTCAGAAATATTTTTTAAAATCTTTAAGAGCTATGTTTAATGTAGCTTTAAGTTCCACACAGCTTCCTTACCAAATTTTTTATCTATATGAAAAGTAAGACAGAAACTAACGTACTTCACTCTCCTATGATTATCCACACGCTAATGGTGAAAGCATGAGAAGTATTGCCATACATAGAGTTTCCCTCGCCAATAGCAATTGTTTGAGTTGAGAGAAACTCTCTACCCCTCACCCTACTCCAGTTGTATCTAAAAGTGGGTAAAAGGTGTAATTAAGAATCCGAACTTAGGAGCTCTAATGAACGTTTTCAGATGCCTCTTGGAAACGAAAAAAAAATAAATCACTAAAAATATAAATTAATATATTTTTCCAATAAAAAAAATAGAAATATTTTTTCCAAACTTCATTTCTTAAAATGAACAACATATGTGTAAAATTTTTTTCTATTTTTCACAATATACAAAAATTAATATTTGCACTCACAACACTCGAATGCATCATCTGGGTATAAGTCCGGCTCCATGTCTAGAGCCTTCCCTCTCCTCAGATGTATGGGACTGTATTCTGTTTCCCCAAACCATAATATTTTTCGCAATTATATTATCAATAATTTATTTTAAAATTTCCATGATGCTTACATAAAACACTATGTTTAAGGCAGTTCTGAGTTCCATAAAGTGCGAAAGCTTAAAAATTTTTTATCGCTTTGAAAAGAAAGCAGAAACTAAGATATTTTCTCTCCTATGACTATCCACACGCAAATAGTGAAAGCATATCTCGTTGTTGCCGTACTGCTAAGAACCAGCTATAATAACCTATTTCGATCACCAATCCTTTAATTTTTATAAATCATTAGTAAATCTGAAAAGTAAGGAAATTTGTATTTAAGGATCCCGCTAAAATACTTATCTAAAAATGATTAAATAAATCTTATTTCTAGTTTCAACTGATATGTAAGGTTTCTTAATCCCCCCCCCTCATTGTGCAGGATCTCCTAAGGAATGTCGAGACAGCTTTTTTGTTTTTAATTTTAACTGAGATAAAATAATTTTTTTTTAAAATTAGGAAACTTTTTCAAATATTAGCAAGGAACGTGGGGCTTACACTTACAACGGCAGTTTTGAATTAATTTTTGATTGTATAAGTATTTTGCAGAATTTTGGCAAACAAATTTAATGGTGAAATCAATTTACAATAAATATATTAAATTTTACTAATTTGTATATACCTTTAGCCCAGTTTCATTGCAAATTTACTTATCACAATTTCTCATTCAATTTTATGCCACTAACTTACTAGAAATACTGCTGTATTGTAACAATTCAACAGTATCTAAATGCTATCAAAATATATACATTCCTGCCCAAAGTATTTTTTAGGTAAGGCTGACTTATTGATCAAAAATTTATAATTTTCTATTTTGAATGTTCAGGACTTCTTGAAATCAACTAAACTAAATTTTAATTACAGAAATAAAATATTCAAATAAAAACTATTCAGAAATTCTTTTCTTCAACATTCAATTTTTAATCCAAGTTTTTGATTTTCAGTATGTTTTAACTTCAAAAAAGATGTAAGTTACACACTTTGTTTCGACATTTTTTTTTGAAGAGAACAGGTTGGAGATTTTGCATCTGGGTTACTTAACTGATGAATACATTATTACTTAGCTATAATTTAGGAAGGTTTCTCAAATAGGTGCAATATTTCAAGTAAGAGGTTTACAAAACTGAATATAACCATAAAAATTTATTGATGTATAAAAGAAAGTTTTGTATCATGCGATATGGTTTTCAGTCATTCACAAATATTTTTTTATTAAGAATTCCCCAGTTTCCTTCATAGTAAAAAATTAATTAATTAAAATTTTTATGTAAGTAAAACATTCCAATATTGAAATCTTAATTTATACCTTTAATGTTACCATATATTTCAAGAATATGTAAAAATAATTTAGCACTAAAATTTTTGAAGTAATTAATAATAAAATATTTATAATTCTACACAGAACACGTGGTTCTCTTTCTCTTATGTTAAACATAATTGAATTTGAATGTTTGTTGTAAATAAATAAATCATAACTATTCAAAATTTTCGTTCTTTTACTGAATAACAATATGGTTTTAGGTATAGTGAGTCTGCTTCCGATAAAAATCAGCATATAATTTTCAGTTTAAAAGTAACTTTCTATTTATTTAAAAAACATTAAACTATTCTTTTTCACAAATTTAATATAATTCTATAAAATTCGAAATAAAGTTTCTTCAGAAGTTTAAATTTCTTTTTAAAACTGAAATACCTTTGCATATATTATAAGTAAATCTAACATTTATTTTAGAAGAAACTAAAAATATACTTCCATTTGTTACATAACAATGCATATTTATATATTTTAGGCTGCTGACAAATATATTTTTACAGGGTTGCCACTCAAATCTGGAAAAAAAAATCCCTGTGTTTTCCCTGTACATGTTATACGCAATGTATTAAGAGGAAACAATAATTACTGTGCTCTTGTGTGAGCTATATCGGACTAACTATACTTATCAGTTTCAATTGCTGGAAAAACAGCTGAACATACTTAAATAATACTACAGTAAATGAAATAGTTTAGAATAGCTGAAATATCATGGTTAAATATCTCATAGATTACGCTTTGAGTGGTCAACATTTTTTAAAAGATCAAAATAAAAAAAACAAAATTCCCTGTATTTTCCCAGTTTGTAAAGAAAAATTCAAAATTCCCTGCATTTTCCCTGTTATTTTAGGTGATTTTTAAATTCCCTGTATTTTCTAGGTTTTCCCTGTAGAGTGGCAACCCTGTTTTAGACTTATTACAAAAATACTTATTATATGCAGTTTCTAGCTTTAGTTTAAACAATGACGGAGCACATAGTGGCCAATATGGAACTGAAAAAAAAAATAATGCATGTCAAATTTAATTAATGTTAGCTATAAACTGCATACTATCACGCTGCATGATGTGGTTTAAGCTCACTGTTAGTACTTTTTGCAATGAATTATCAGTTTGCATTCTTCTTGATGGTTTTTTGGCCCATCTATACATAATAATAAAAGCGGCTGTGTGTGTGTCTGTAATCACAATATATTGCCCCAGAAGCCTCGAAACATAATTGTGTTTTGACATAATGAAGAAGTATTTTTTTTCTTTTTCAAAAATTTGGATTAGTTTTTTAGTTATCAGTCATTTTGTAAGAAAATCTATGCTTTTTCGTCTTCAAAGAGCCATATTCAAAAAACTATTAAAAAATGCTTATAAATGTATGCTAATGCGAACCTTACAAATGAAACATTAATTTTCGACAACTTAAACCAATAATATACGAAGGAATTAATAATTTAATTGTAAAGTTCGCATTAGTTTACATTTATTAAAGTGGAGAAAAGTTTAACTTTTGTATTAAAAATGTGGCAACATATTCGATACGTAAATAGAACGCTTCGCTTTGATATATTTGTCGCTGTTCATAATTGTTATAATAAGTTTTTCTTCTTCTTTCCACGCTCTATTTTTTTTTCTTAAGCGAAGACGATAATTTTTGTAGCGATATAGAAATAGAAATTGATACCATAAAAAATTATATAGAAATAGAAATTGATACCATAAAAAATTAATTCGTTTTCGTGTTCTTTTCATGTATTTAGCATTTTAGTTTTTTTTTCTTAAGCGTTGTAGCTATATAATATATAAAATAGGAATTTAATTGTTTTTGAAGGAACGATCACACTTACCTTGGACCTCTTTGGTTTTTCTATTCTTTATTTTAACAGTTTTTATTAAATGTAATTAGTTATTTTCAGAAAGTTTCAGTTTGCAGGTAAGCACCTAGATTTTAATATTGAAGTTTCATGATTTGCTTTCATAGTAATTGTTGTTCTAAAGTATTAAAAAAAGATATTAAGAGATTCTCAAAGAAGAAGGGCCCAAGAAACGTCTGTGGAACGTCAAAGAAGGATGGAACATGACCGAATTTCGACAAGCAATTCTAGAGCCCAAGAAGTATCAGAAAAATGTCAATGAAGATTGGAAGAGGATCGTGTCTCAACTAGCAGTGCTAGGGCCCGAGAAACACCTGAGGAACGTCAAAGAATATTAGAAGAGGTTCGTGTCTCAATTAGCAGTGCTAGGGTCTGAGAAACACCTGAGAAGCGTCAAAGAAGATTGGAAGAGGATCATGTCTCTACTAGCAGTGCTAAGGTCCAAGAAACATAGCGTGGCGGACAGCTGGCCGCCTGAGGCGGCTAGTTATTAATAAAAAAAATAATAATAAGAGAAACAAAATAGTTTTGGTTTATTGAAATGCAGAATTTCACGAGGGGAAAAACAACAATTTAATCCATACATTTTAGTTTTTATAAATAATTTTTTTTTTCTCTGTACAAGTATCTACAATAAAAACAGCTTTTTACAACAAGATAATTTCATATACTGTATGCATGGTATTATGGGATAACAATGGTGATAGATGATTTGATGAGCAATAACAATAACTTAAAAAAATTTGGTTTGAAAACACTAGATATGATTGCTGCTACGGTCCTTGTAATTGAGGTCCAGGCATGTAAAATCCTAATGATATAGACTGAGTGGGTAAAGGTGAGGAGTTCACTTTCAGAGTTCCCCTGCCTCTTGGTGCTGCTAGATATTTAGATGAAAATGCTCTTGCTCCAGTTCTTTGTCCTCTAAAAACTGGACTCTTTTCAGCTGTAACTTAGATAGTACATCATTAATTTAAGAGATATAAAATTTCAAACATTTGGACATAACATTCAAACATAAGTTAGATAAATACACAAATTTACACTATTAGTTACTGATAATGTTTACAATATTGAACAAAATTAAAGAAATGAAAAATAAGTAATTTAGTGTATAATAATTGACTTCTTTAAACTGAACTTGTACGTAACTAAAATGTTTACGAAAAACATGTGATATCAAATGTTTACGATTTAGCAAAATTATATTTTCAGTTTAATAAATTCCTTGTGAATATTTTATTAAAAGTCTAAGATAAATATCAATTGATTCTTAAATTATGATTGTTTAATAGAAAGAAAAAATAACAAAATTATTAATTAGAATTATTTTTTTTAAAATAGCACTGATGATAGTTTCGTGCATCCAGAGAGTAATGAGATTGAATATGTGAAGCTTAAAAAATCAACCCCAATTTTCAAAATTGCACATTTTAAATAGTAAGTTATTCCTACCCATGTATGAATTTTTAATTGGGCAATTACTTTTTGATGTGCTCAATTTACACCTATTCCTGTTCCATGCTGTCTTGCCTACCTTTCTTTCGGTAACTGTCACTACTTATTTGTACAGCGTTTTCAAAATCTCTTTTTGTATCAGATTTAATTAAGACACGCAATTTTCAAACAGTGTATTTTAATATCTTTCTTTTATTTCTAGTATTTTTTTAAGCACGAATGAATCACGCTTTTCCTTTAGTTATTTTTAGCAATTTCTATGCAGGTTTTAAAATCCAGTAATTTTTAATGATTTCAGAGTGCCGACAACTTTATCTTAAATTCACACACTAACTCTGTGCATATTCTCTTGCAAATCCACAAAGTCTAGTCGACAAGACAGTGTTTTGGATTTGTTATTTGTACACTGGCTTTAAAATTGATATTTTTCTAGTATGATAACACTCATTTGAGTAATCACAAAGCAGGAAAGAAAAATTTTATGTACGAATTTCCAAAATGTGGTAGATTTTAGTTCTGATGTAGAAAATAGGGTGAAAATGCTAAAAGCTGCCACAAAATAGGAAAGAATTTGCAAATATGGAAGTAACTAAGTTGTGTAATATCTATAATATTTCAGACACAGGAAATTTTAAGAGTCCATTAAGTATGAAATATATTATGCTAACTGCTATAAACCTATTGTAACTGCAATATTTCCATCGCACTATGAATGACACTATATGACCTTTAAAATAAAATATTTTTCTTATGTTTATTGTATTCTTGAATTCATAATTTTGAATAAAAATAGATATTGAATTTATCCAGTTACAATATAATTTCTAACTAATTTAAAAATCAATTAAGATAAATGAGGCTTATTTCACTACTAAGAAGTAATACTTAATGCTCAAGCAAGTAAAATATCACTTTTGATAGGGATTTTTTTCAGAAACTTTTAAAATTTAGGACATTTTCTAGAATATACAAAAGTCTGGAATTGAATTAAATCAGTTATGGCAATGGTCTAAATTACAAAACTATTATACGATTTAATAATATTACGTCTTTCTGCACCAAGCATTTCTTCTGCACCAAGCATTTCTTCTGCACCAAGCATTTCAGATTCAAGAATAACACATTAAAAAAATTGATTAAGAGATTTAGAGTAATTTTTTTTTTTGCATAACAAGACAGCACACAGTAATGCCCAAATGACAAAGCAGCACATTTTTCATAGCAATTTAGACTTATTTTAAATAAAATAAATGAATCCAAACAACTATACAGCAGACACAATTTGAAATCTGATTCTTACTTGGTTTTGAATTAGAAGCTGTGTATGAGAAGGCTGCTAACGCTGCAGATTTTCCTGCTTGAGCACCAGCTAATTCAGCAGCTGCAGCTGAAAGAACTCCACCTCTTCCTCTACCATTCCCCCTACCACGACCAGAGCCTCTAGGCCTACCCCTACCTCGACCACTTCCCCTCTTTTTCAGAGAACCAGTATTTTCATCATAATTGCCATTACCTATGAAAGGGAAAAAAAAGGGATAAATGATTAATCAATCCAGTCTTTTACAGAATCTCACAAGTTCAAAATATTCGCCTTTTATACACCCAACATTTTTAGAGGTTACTTAAAACTATCTAGTATTAACCTCTCAAATTTAAATCAAGCCTTGTAATGAATAAAAGGAAAAATCGGGACATTTTTCGGACTCTTAAAAAGGGTAGATGAAAATGACTTGCTCTACCCCAAAGGCAAATGTTATCACAAAAGAATAATAAAGTAATTCTTATTTTTAGAATTACCTTATTTGGAATGGAAGGTATTAACAGTTTCCAGCAAAATTTTATTAATGAAGTACTCAACAACCCATTATAGTTTAAGTCAACACATTATTAGATTAAAAAAAAAAAAAAAAACAGTATTAATTGATTAGTATTCCCTCATACTAATATTCAATTCAAACTTATAATACAGTATAAAGCAGGTAGGTACTTTGTTTACGTCGCACTAGAGCTGCAAAATGGGCTATCGACAAAGGTCTGGGAAACATCCCTGAGGATGATCCGAAGACAAACCATCGCAAATTTGATCCTCTGCACAGACGATGGGCTCCCTTGCTTTGGTAGCTCGACGACCTGCTTGCGAAGTTGAGCACTTTAAGATAGAAGACTTTAACGAGGACCGATATCAAATTCGTAATAGAGTTCAAGACTTATTCAAATGAAAACAGTGAATAAGCTTTATTAATAATAATCACTTCCGTAATTCAAGATATAAATAAAAAAAAAGTTACCTAATAGATGCTTACCAAATAACTGCATGGAAAAAGCTACAGGAGTACTAGAGGGACTACTGTCATCAACTACCAAAGTACCTTCACTGCTAGTGTCTTCATAGGCTGGAGGATTACCACTAATAGAATGCTAAAAAGAAAACATCTATGTAACCTCCAAAGTGAAAGTGAATCATTTTAGCAATTTCTTCTCAATGGTTATAAACAGTAATAATAACTCTTAATATTGGAATACATCTAACTTCCTGCGTAGCCAATTGCCAATGTTGCATTAATGAGTGGACATGCAAAAAAACTTATCAAGTATTGTTAGAGATGGAATAAAGGGTTTAGACCTCTTATTATTATAAGCTTTTCAAGTTTTATGAATTTCATTATTCCAAAAGCAATGAAATTCAGTATAGAATTTAAAATTAATAGAAAAATGGATTACAACTCTTTTGAATGCTGTCATCCATTCTGATTACGTACAACAGTAATTACATACATAGTTCACCAGGGCGCATACTAAAAAAGAAATTCCCCCCTCACTTTTCCAGGTAGATACGTGAAAAATTTCAGAATTTTTTAAAAAGTAAATTAGAATCAGAACAACTCTAAACAAGTGTTAATTATTTTTATTTAAAAAAAAAAAAATCAAGTGATTTTTAATTATACCAACTCTGATTAAAAATAATAAATTATTAACAACGATAAACATGATTGAAAAGCATAATAACTCAAAGGAAAATTACTGGGTGGATAATATATGTATATAAATCAAATTTTTGATAGGCACAAAGTTGTAAAAAAAATTATAAAGATATGCTAACTGTTTAAAAATGAAGAAAAATTGCCTTCATTCAATATAAGAATATTAAAAAATAAAGGGAGAACTTAATCAATAAAATAAAGGAACAACTTTTAGAAGAACAAAAAGTCCAATTTTTTTAGCAACTAAAAAAAAAAAAAAATTAAACAAATAATAAAAATATTACACAAATAATGTGTATTTAATTGAGATTAAATCATATTAAAAAAATTAATCATAAATAAGATGGATAAATAGATAGAAAAATCTTAAGTATGATGGTAAAAAGTGAAATTAATAAAAAAAACTTAAAAAAAAAAAAAAAAAAAACTAAGCGAAATTATAATGAACTAAACAAAACCAAATTATATTAAACTAAAGATTTATTAAAATCAACAAATTTACTAATATACTTAATAAAACAATTACTTAATAAATAAACAAAACTTAATAAACAAAAAATATTGAAAAAGATTTTATTCCCCCTTAAGGGAGGAGTAGATTGAATTAATACATACCTCACTGTAAGGACTAGGAGGAATCGAATCCATACTTTGCAGTGAATCTCCATCTTGAATAGGTTCTGACTTTATAAATGCATTTGTCGGTGTATGTAGCCCTTCATCCCTTTTCTTCTTTCGCCCTCTCTAAAAATGCAGAAACACATTCAAAATTCTGAAAATCTTAATCTTTATAATTATCTAGCATTTCAGTAAATAATAAATATTGTTTGACTATTTGCTTTTTAAAATGGTTACTAGAATTCTCAAGAGGCCTATACTCTTGCTATCTTGGATTTCAGGTAAAATTTTTAAAGACAAAACTATTATTCGATAGCACACTACCTTTAAAAAAAAAAGTGGAAAAAAAAGGGGGCTTTTATTAGATTAGGAGAAAGAGAACTAGATACGTTTTACATCTTTTATAGAATTTTCTTCACAACTATTAAGCAATAAAAACATGCAATTTGTGGTTTTGAGTCAGCAATTTATAACTAAATATTTGCCAGTTTTTAGATTTCTTAAAATTTATTACAGTTCAAACTGATGAAAATTAATTTGGATGTTGCTAAAAAATTCTTATATTGTAAATTGCACTAAAAGAATATATTTTTTAAAAAACAGACAAATGTATACTATTTAGACTATTTAACTACCTTTCAAAATTGCAGCTTTGTATTGTTATAATTCTGTCAGAAAAAAAAAAGAGAATATGAAATATCACACACTTGATATTCAAATTGTGATTGGTTGACAACATATATCAAAAGACATTATGAAATAGAGTAAATATTCACTCATCAGTTTATTAGTGAAAATTAAAAAAAAGAAAAGAAAAAAGAAGAGGATTAAAAGCCAGGGGTGATTGTGTCACAGAGTGAAAAACCCTGAAAATTTTATGTGCAAAAAATCGATATCATACATGTTTTATACTTAACATAATTTTTTTCAATAAGATTTAATTAAATTACCTACTAATGATGAATATTACATCTTTATAGTAATTAATCTTAGTTCAGGGGTGATTGTGAGCCCAAGTCAAAATTCTGGAAAATTTCTTGAGTTAAAAAAAAAGTCTAAATTGAAAAAAAAGTTAAGCAAGTTTATTTTTCCTTTTTCTCAATATTTCTTAGTTTACTTAAAATATATTTACAATTTTACACATACCTATACCATTTACACATACCTGGAGAAGTAATTAAAATTTACAAATGTCTTTTTTTCTTGAGTTTATGATTATAACAACTCAAGAAAAAATGGCATAATGTGTCTGTAATGTAGATAACTGGTAGACAAATGTGTAATGTAGACAACTGATAAAAAATTAATATTAATCATGATTATAAGCTTATAAAGTATCTCTCTGGCTCTCCCTTACAAACAAATAAAATAAATTGTGTTTTTAAGTTCCACCTTTGAAAATTTGATTTCCGGAAACTTCTGTGATCAATGATTTTTTTAAACATCTGGACCTTCAATCTCCGGAAACTTCCGGATCACTGTTAGCGAAAAATCCGGAAATCCGGATTTTTTCCGGAGCACAATCAGCCCTGTTAGTTCATACAGGAATCGCGATGTTGGATTTCTTCGTGAATATGAATCGAGAAATTGGATTTTAAAATCGTGTGACTATATTATTTTAAAATTGCATTAATACAAATCGCGATGTAAGATTTTTTAAATCAAGCGAATACGAATCGCAACATGCAACTTTCAAATGAGGTAAATATGAAATTCGATGTTTGATATTCAAACCGTGTGAATATGAATCATGATATTAGCGGATTCCGACGCAGTTTTAAATATTCAAAATGGCGAAAATCAGCCAAACCAAAAGAATCATTTGGCGGATTTCTGCCCATTGGAAGAATAATCACATGTATGCAAGAGTTTCGTTATTGCAAATTAGTGAAAGTTTCCAAATTTGGATTTTAGATTGAGGAATTCCGAAAATATTTCGTCGGATTAGAAGTTTTTGATTAGAGAAAGTCCCAGAACCAACGGTCTCAAGAAACACGAAATTCAGCGACATTCCCAGAAAAATCATATGCCCATGCTCTTAGTTTTTTTAACCACATATTTGAGAAGTCTGATTCCTGCGATTTCGTCACCAATTTTTTTTCCGGCAATTACTGCTACGGATTTCATGATTTTTAATTATTTTTTCAATGTGATGATAATTTGTGACGCAGAAGGAAATAATTTATACCCCCTCCCAAAATGAGAGAATATCACTCATAATATTAGAATAAAAAATTATGCGTTCAATTAAAAAAAAAAAAATCATATATTTTTCTTTTTGTAAATAGCGCTTTAGCATTTCAAATTAGTAACATATATGTTCGTTATTATGAAAAGTATCTTGCAGAAAGATATTAGTGGTAGAGAGTTTTGTCGCAGATAGCTCAAAAAAAGTCTGCCACAGGGCAGTGTAGAAAAATAAAATGAGAAAAAATTAATTCACTATATCAAACAGGCAATATGAAAATTTCAAAAACATCTAAGAAAAAAAAAGATTGTTAACATTTTTTTTATTGATTTTTATTGTTTTAGAATATATATTAGCAGATATATTGCTGCTATAAGTTCTAATTATAATTTAATTAGCAAATTTACATTAGTAATTTAGGGAAAGACAAATTATAGCTTTTTTGAAATGACATTTAAAATATCATACGTAATTTTTGTGGACTTTTCAGAATACAAATAAGAAACAAAGTGAAAATTTATTGCAGTTTGAAAAGTATAGTTACAATTTATTTGTAATAATTTTTGAATTTTAGTTATCTACATTTATAAAAATTTAACTTATTATAAACCGAAATATTTTAGGTATTATAAAAAAAAAATCAGAAATCACGAGTTTGCTAATTACATATCAAGAAAATAACCAGACAGGAAAATATTTTAAATAACATACAGATTTTTTTCAATGCACACTTGCAGAAAGTTATTCTTTCAGCTTATAACAAAGATTTTAATGAAAAATCCTACTTTAATAGGGTTCTTTTAATAAGATCAATGTTATTGTTGGAAATGAAAATTTACTAATTGTTATACCATATAGTACTTTATTTGAAGTACTGTATATTAGATAAATATGCTTGAATTGGTTTATTTATAATTTGACTTGGCATAAAAGACTCCAGTTAGTGTTATAATATGGACAATACAAGCACACATATTTCAGAAGCAATGAAACTTTGTTTTTCTACAGCTTGAAAATAGAAATTCACTTCAGTTTAAAAACTTTCTAGTTGTCATGTAGCTTTTTTTTTTGTTCTCTCTAAAATTTTACAGGTTTTGAGAACAATAAAAATCACACAAAAATAATTTTAAGAAACTCACTTTACTTTCACCAAATGAATCTGGCTTGCGTTTCTTTTCCAGATTAATTTTTTCTAATTGCTTCCTTTCCTCTTGTCTTAATCTAACTACAAGATAGAGATAAAATAAAAAAATATGTCAGGAAAAAAGCATACTTTTAGATAAAAACAATTTTATTATGAATGAATCACAAAAATTAATGCATGTGAAACAAACAATACAAACTTTACAACAGCTTAATATTAAGTGGTGCGTAATGCATATCCGTTAGGCATAGTTTGACTATTCAGATACACTACTTTCCTTTGTTAAAGCTAAAATATAATGCAACCAGAAGATTGAAAAATAACATAGAAAAGAAAATCGAGAAACAAAATAGAGTTAAAATGGAATCTGTGCGAATTGAATGCATTAAGAAATAATGATTCAAATTTGCTATTCAAAATTTTTTATTTTTTAAGAAAAAAAAATTCAGTGTGTTCAGCAGCTCCTGCAGGCCTCAGGTTTTCAACCCAAAATATGCTAAAATAAAACATCTCTAGGAGTACAGAAAAATATCCTTTTCCTGAAAATTGTCGTTTTTTATTTTATTTTTTAGCCTTTTCAAGCAAAAGAAGTTGCCATAGTCGCCTTATGTCAAAAATAGCTGTCTTATAGTAATTTGTAGCAACCCTGAAATTGATTTCGTGTAAGCAAATCTTCAATCTAACAACAAAAATTCCCCCCTTCAATCTAACGATAAATTTATTTAGAAATACATTTAGAATAAATAAAATCTGGGGTAATTGTGACACAAAGCAGGGGTGGGGTGATTGTGAGTCCAAGTCAAAATTCCGGAAAATTTCCTGAATTTGAAAAAAAAAAAAAAAAAAAAAAAAACTGGTATCAATTTATATATCAAGCATGTTTCATATTTATTTTTTTGAACGAGCACTTATAATTAAATTACCTACTGATAAAGAATAACACACCTTTAGACAAACTGATTAAAGAAAAAACTTACTATTTACAAGAATCTGTGATTTAAAATCGTGTAAATATGAATAACAACATTGGATTTTATAGCCGCTGAAATAAAATTGCTATACTGAATTTTAAACTGCTTGAATACGAATCACGATGAATAATTAGCACTTATAATTAAATTACCTACAGATAAAGAATAACACACCTTTAGACAAACTGATTAAAGAAAAAACTTACTATTTACAAGAATCTGTGATTTAAAATCGTGTAAATATGAATAACGACATTGGATTTTATAACTGCTGAAATAAAATTGCTATACTGAATTTTAAACTGCTTGAATACGAATCACGATGCATAATTTTCAGATAGAATTACGAATCATAATTCTTAGTTTTTAAATCACGCACAAATATGAAAATCTATTTTTGATATTACATTCCTATGAATACGTGTCGCAATGTTAGATTTTAAAAATGTATGAATACAAATCAAAACATTGGACTTTAAAAACGCATAAATACAAATCACATGTAAATTTTTAAATTGAGTAAATAGAAGATTGATATTAAAATCATATGATTAAGAATCGCAGATATTACTAGATTCCATCGCAGTTTCGAATGGCGAAAATCTGCCAAACCAAATTGAATAATATCGGAGAATAATGAGGCGGATGAATACAAACTTCTCATTATCCGGATTAAACAAAAGTTTTAAAATTTTGTCGAATTATAAGTTTTTGATTTACAGAAGTCCGCAAACAAACTGTCTTGAGATATGCGGAATTCTGTGACATTCACAGAAAAATCACATACCCTGCTTGTCCCCGGAAGAATGATACGAAAAACCCGGAACTCTGGGGTACACCCAGAATACAATCATCCTTGTAAAATAAATAAAAAAATAAAGAAAAAGAGATGAATATATTTTATCATGTTTTAGAAATTATTCATGTAAAACACACAAAGTATCTCTTCCTTAGTTAAACTTAAATTGTTAAAAAATAGCACAAATTTTTCAGAATGCATTCCTACAACAGGGTGCATAGCAAAACTCTTTAAACAAAAATAAGCACTTTTTAAGCACTATATACATGACAAAATGCAAAAAAATTTTCAAAAACTTTACATGATAATGATAAAATAACCAGTTTCTGACAAAGAACTCTTTTCTTGATTATGTTAGTCATCATAAAAAGATCAAGAGGTTTTTCAGTTTGAAGTCAGAGAGTGGAATTGGAGCTTGAAATTGAGAATATCTTGCAAAATGCAGCAGAGTTGCATATGAGAGTGCAAGAATCTCTCCGAACCCAGTTCAGTAGATGCATATGTGGACTCACAAGTATTTCATCAAACATGCAAAATGATTGGCGCTTTCATACGCTATGGACCGACGGGACGGCAAAAGAGATTGTGGTTGAATGAATTGTGAAAACGTTGAATAAAGCAATGTGAAAAGCACATTTTTGCATAATACGTGGTGAAAATCGATATGGTAAGGGGGGGAAAATATAATTTTCGAAAAAGGAATAAAATAAGCACTTTTAAAAATGCTACATACCATGTACAAGTAGATGATATTTGGATAGACTTCAACATGTTTAATTTTTTGTAATGAAATAATAAATTGTTCAGAATTTAAAAATTAACTTTCATATGTTTAAAAACAAGACAGGATCAACATTAAACAAATAAAATTACTTACATTTCTTTTCTAATTCATCATCATCTAAAAGAAGCGAAACAACTTCTTTAGGTTTCAGTGTATCAGGTTTAAAATTTCCACCACTTATAACCATTCTTTGAATCTGAAATACAACAAGTTAAAAAAGTGTCTTTTGGCAAAGGATTGTTAACTATGGTACTAACTCAATTTTGTCTTATTTTACAAACCTCAGATTTCTCCCTCGCTCTTTGCAATATCCTTTCTTCAATTGAACCTTGGCAAACTAAACGATAAACCGTAACCTGCTTAGTTTGACCCAAACGATGAGCACGATCCATAGCTTGCTGATCAACAGTGGGGTTCCAATCACTATCATAAAATATTACCTATAGACAGAAAAAAAAAAATATTTTTTATATTCAATAAGATGACTTTTAGTAAGCATGGATATCAAATTTCCCCAAACAAGAAATTTTTGCTGCTTAAGCCTAAAATAACTTTTTAAATAAATCTATTTATCTATGTATCAAAGAGAAATAAAGATTTTTACTCATAAGCCTGGAGCCTTTAATTTGTTTTGTAATTTCTTTACCACACATATTTTCCAAATGAATAGCAGGAGGAAAAACTGCTTTTTAAAACCTCTGGATTTTAAAGTTTGGAAAAAAAAGTGGTACTTCAAGTGGATCAGAATGGTCGAAAAGTGACACAAGCGTAAGCATGATATAATTAAATCAAACAATGTAAAGCAAATTTTTGAGGACTTTGAAACCTTTGTTAAGCTTCTAGTTTAATGAAGCATACATGTTAATTTTTTTTGGAATGATGAACTGTCATTAAACAAGTGACATATTTATTTATTAAAATGTTTAACTGATAATTTTGTGTTAAATCTTAAATTCCCCCCCCCTCAATACTCTTCTTTATGCTGTACTATTTACTTATGGTAAACACAGGGTTCATGCTCTACTATAAAAATAAAATTCAAGTACTTTTCAAGGACTTTTTAAGACTTATTATAAAATTCTCAAGGACTTAAATTTTAGTTAAAGATAGACTAAAATTAAACATTTTAAACTAAAATGTTTTGACGATAAATGTTAGTCGATAATAGCAGTACTGAAAAATAAGACTTCCATTGCTCTCTCTTGATTTTGGAAAGTGATCTAAGTAAAAAAAACAAAAAAAAACAAGGGTGATTGGCATCAAGTTGAGAATAAAATTCATGATGCATAAAAACGTCAGGTTTGAATTTTGCATTAAGGCTTATTTTAAGCTAGGTATACAACCTCTGAATAAGCAAAGATTCGGGCAGAAGACGGGGTAGGGGGGAATGTTCTATATAATACTGTGATATCAATTAGATATTTAAAAACAACTCTGCCGGGAGACTTTTATTTAATATTTAAAGTGGCAGAAGCATTTAGACAGTGAAATTTAAATTGTTCTTAAATATAATTTTGAAATTTCGACCACGTTTCTATTTAAGAAAATTAATCAATTATTGGATGTTGCGGCTTAATTATCATTTTAAATTTATTACCAGTCAACCATTTTAAATTGAAACAGTTGCCAACTTTCACCTCAATACCTTCTGATAGATTCTTAGTAACAATTTTGGTCAGTTTGACTTTTTTAATTAACCACTCATACTTGAATTAACTTTTTTTCAGTAGCATCGATCATACGCACTTGACATGGTCACGTGAATATGAATTGCAACGAGTAGTTTTCAAATCGAGTATAAATACGAAAATCGATGTTTGATATCGCAAAATGCGTGAATACGAATAGCGACATTGGATTTTAAACTCGCGGAAAAACTAATTGCGCTAAAAAAACGCTTAAGTACAAATCGCGATATTAGATTTTTAAATTGCTTTAATGGGAATTGCGAGTACGATTTTTGAATCACGCGAAAACGAATTGCAACACCAGGCATTAAAGTGGACAAAAATAAAAAAAGCTGAACTTTTACAACGCAGGTCACTAGGAGGAGGGGGGGGGGGAGTGCTCTATATGATACTGAGATTTATAAAAGCAACTTTTAACTATGCTGGGAGATTTTTATTCAATATTTAAAGTGGCAGAAGCATTTAGACAGTTAACTTTAAATT